AAGGGCATTCGTCGCTGATGACGTCACTGACAGGAATCGATTACGGAGATGAAAAGTACGCAAGTACCGGTCTTCATTGGGTGTAGTTACCCTGGGCCCGTCAGTTCTTGGCCTTACTGATTTCTACCCGGTCTGTATGTAACGTTACATCAGGCTAGTAACAGCAACTAGCAACCAAACGTTCTAGCAATGTGGGCATTAATGGCTCTTATCTGTATCATTCCAAGGGCCCGCTGCTTTGTCCGAGTGTCAGTCGTGGCATTTCTGTGGTGTTTTGAGTGTCTGACATGCCGTCACTATCATTTATATACCCTAATTGCACGTATAGTTTCGGCTGCCCAAGCGGCACGCGTTTTTCACATTTTCGCATTTTCTTTTTAAAAAACGTGCCGTGGACGTGTATCACATTCTGCATAGAGCATTGAGTTAGGTTGAACTTTTGTTTTTAAACGTTTGCAATTGCATTTTTAAAGGGGTAAAGTTTCTTTTGGGCGCCAGTTTAGAAGAACCAGTTGCTACAGTAAACGACACAGTAACAACAGCAGTAACAGAAGTAACAGTAGAAATAACTATATGTACCCACCACCCAAGTGGACTTTGACAGAAAACACCAAATGGCTTAGATTGAGTTAAACTAACCCACCAAATGCAGGTTGCCGGTCCTCCAGGAGAAGTCCTTGACGCCCTGACACTTGTTAAAGAAGATGAAGAGACGCCGATACCAGACCAGGAATCTGACCAAGCGGTACGCCACGTACAGAAGGACAGATGTCCCTAAAGACTGCAGAACAGTTTTACGATTAAAACGAGATACAAGTTCCAGCGGGTCCATGTTAACAAACCTCTCTCACCCACACCAGGCCGTGAATGAACCCTTCAAAGTGTTTGCTCATTGGCCTGTGTGTTATGATGAGTCACTGCGTGTGACGTCACGTTTATATGTAGGTCTTCTTCTAGCGCACAAAAAGCGTGCTTCGTTTTGTCGGGTTCATAAAAGCCGTTTGCGGAGATGACGTCTTGCATATCATCGTCCAAGCGTTGGTGTGTCCCAGTTAATGACAATGTGCAACAACTCACATAACTATATTTGCCCCTTGGGCTCCAATTTTTATCCCAAAGGAGTTTAGGTAAAGTAATATACGTTATAACCTGAGGAAGAGAATTTATGGATCTCAACTTCTTTATTACGAGGAACACAACGTTTCGGAGTATATGCTTGAGGCAGAGAGCATATATATGTACATGTAAGAACAACAAAAGTAATAAGATAACAAAAGGTGGAAACTTAACAAGGGAAGCCAACAGATAATTGGCGCTGATAGGTTATTAGCAATAGACAGTGGTAGCAAACACTTTACAGTACTTAACGCTGACATAGAGATGGACAACTGGGAGCCAGGACTAAATTATCTCTGATTGGTAATTGGCAATGGACAATGGGGAAACGGGAGGCCGGGGGTAATTACCTAATTTTCCTGATTTCCTTCCACAGCTTATCACTGTCACTTTTAATGGCATCTAACGTAGCTCTTGTTGTATCTTGGAAGTCACTTTTCTTTCGATTACATAAAGATTTGAAATATCCTCTATATAGTTTATAACGTTCAAGTTTGTGTTCGTCGCTATGTACATCTAAATGTGTCAAGAGCTGACTACTCACTCTTTGCAATCTCACACTCCATATCCAACCAGGCCGGCTGAATCGAGCGCTGGAGGTCACGAGAGGCATGTCGTCTGCTCTTTTGGGAAGCTGCTCTCGTAAACAACTGGCATACAGAAGAACGGATTTCTCAATAACAACACATATCTGACTGTTAATGTCTTCAATCATTTTGACGTTTCATCTCGTAACGATGAGATGAAATTAGCTGCATGAATATTATCCCAGACGTACTTATGATAGTCAATTCCTGCTCGGGATCTTGATCAGGTGTCAATTAAAGTTCTGTGTGTGGTTTAAAGAACATGTCCACCACATTGTTGTCCTGACATCATGGCGTTCAGACATGTTGGTGTTAATTAAAAACGTCGAATCTGAAGGTCATTAAATAACGTAGAGCGTGTACCGGGAATTTATTGCAGGAGGGAGGTTAGGTGTCGTGGTCGTATACTCATGTAGGACATCACACTCACAGTTCACACATAATGGGGATGCCAGATACACAAGGAGATGACTTGTAGCAAAGGTGAGGATAACAGCTGACTTATTTCAAAGAGCGTCATACGACTCGTGCCTAGAAGCTGCTTGATCAAGGTGACAACATTCAAGACCTCAGTAAAGCTTTATGGTAGACGTGTTGAGGACATTTCCAAATTTGACGCATCAGTGACAAATATGATGTCCGATGCTATTACCTATTTTGACTTTTGTTCCAGTGTTTTTACAGGTGAACAGTTCACATGCCTTTGCATGTGTTTGTGACGGATGCCAGCAGTGGGGCAGGATACGCTCACCTTTTCGCGAAGACCTTGTATTATTACTTTTTAAGAGTGATTCATAAATACATGCTGATGTCAAGTCGGAATCGTACAATCGACTCTGCTTTATGCGGAGATGTCTATTGGATATGGAAAAGGATTTGTCGCTTGATTTTTTATTATTATTAATCATTCAAGTTCACACATGAGAGGAAAATGATCTGAAGTATGAATATATGACATACTAGAGTGTTGTATCTGTTAAAATAATGATGAACTAGCAATGAAATAATCCACAACACTGACACCTCCATTTGCTACACACGTATACTCCCCATCTTCATCTGCTGGGTATCTGCTATTTAACATGTGAATTGAGTATGTTTTGCAGATGTGAAGCAATCGTCTTCCAAAATTGTTGACTTTCTTGTCTCTATTTGAGCGCAGAGCAGAAAAGTCATCACGGTCATAGCCGTCGGGGTATTCAACTGGGAGTCGAGGTAAAGACGTAAGGATACTTGTAGTGGCAGTACAATGGCCGCGATAAGTGAGACAATCGCGAAGGAAGTAGTTCGATCACATTTTGTCAGCACAATAAAAAAGGCGAAAGGTATCCGGTGTAATGCATTCTTTCCAAAAACAATATATATCACATTATCTCACAGAATAAATAACAGAATAATGCCCATTTTCTGAGCGATAAACATCATCCTTGAGTTTTGATCACGCGGTTACACTCCAACGGTAGATGGGAGGTCAGCTGACTGCGAGCGACTATTTTAGCAGCGTACATAAATTATCAGCACGAACTGAAGGAAAAGCACGTGCAGATGTAGTATTGAAGGGCCATTTGTCCAAGGTCACCGCTAAACAGAACTGGCAGGACACATCACGTGGTAGGGCAGGGACATCACTTGGTAGGGCGGGGCACATCGTGTGGTAGGGCAGGTCACATCACTTGGTAGGGCACATCATTTGGCAGGGCAAGGCACATCACTTGGTAGGGCAAAAAATGACGCGGTCGGACACATCACGTAGTAGGGCAGGCCGCATCACTGGTAGGGCACATCACTTGGCAGGGCAGGGCACATCGCGTGGTTGGACAAGGCACATCACTTGGCAGGACAGGGCACATCACTTGGCAGGGCAGGGCACATCGCGTGGTTGGGCAGGGCATATCACCTGGTAGGGTACGTCACGTGGTAGGACAGGGCACATCACGTGGTAGGGCAGGGCACATCGCGTGGCTGGGCAGGGCACATCGCGTGGTTTGGCAGAGCACATCGCGTAGTTGGGCAGGGCACATCGCGTGGCTGGGCAGGGCATATCACCTGGTAGGGCACATCACCACCTAGATCCCATCACCTGCACGGCAGTTTATTCCCAGCCAGGTTGTATGCTTTAGTTACACTACTCAGCTGTGCTGCCGAGGGAATGACTCATCACTAGATGCGTGGAAAAGTGCTCAATGTATCTTAAAGCAACATAAATATGTTACCAGTTTATTGATTTTATCTGCTAGTTTAACCCTGTGGGACATGGTGACATGACTTATTGCAGCTGTGGGTGGGAAAAAGGTTTCAGGAAACATGATACTCCCACTATCTGTGAAGCACGTAGCTGTAATATGAGGTTATTTATTGCACAAACTGTGTGGACAGTAATCTATAAATGCAAGGGCCAAGTTCTAGTCTTTAACATGTTACAGAGAGAAGAACAACTTTGAAAAGGGGACACAAAAATGTCAGTGAAAGGGGCAACGCAGAAGTGGTATCTGCAAATTGAGCCAGTATATACTCAATATTACCCATCCTTATTCCCTGTATCTATTCATCCTTTACTATCATTTCCTAGCTAATATTTCAAGGCATAGAATAACTATACAGGTGAAACTGGGTCTCCTTGGCGACAACTTCCTGTGATATTAAAGAAAGAGCCTCCAAATCTGTTTACCAAAACACTTTATTACACATTTAAAAAAAAGTTTTTAATCCACTTTGGAATACTTAGACCGAAATTGAACAAAATGTAGCATCTTTGAATGAAACTTATATATTTATAACTGTGACAAAAGCCTTTTCAAAGTCTATCAATAACGAGGAGTCCCAATAGCTGATAAGATTCAGTGTAGTCCATCATATCGAGACCCGTGAAGATCAGGGTAGAATAGGTCTTCAGCAACCCATGCTTGCCGTAAAAGGCGACTATGCTTGTCGTAAGAGGCAACTAACGGGATCGGGTCTCAGGCTCGCCAATTGCGTGGATCGATGCTCATGATATTAATCACTGGATTGTCTGGTCCAGACTCTATTATGTACAGACCGCCGTCATATAGCTGGAATATTGCTGAGTGCGGCGTTAAACAACAAACCAACAAACCATCATATCATAAATTAATCCGCTTATTTCTCTTATATACCTGCCCGGGACAAAACCTTTCTGACACCAATTTTTAATCAAAGACAAGATCTGTTTTAATCCTATTTCATTTAACAACTGATGCTAATTTATAAGAAACATTTAGCAGTGATATTGGCCGCCACGTTTTCAAAATGTCTTTGTGTGTTCTTTTCTTTCGGGAGGCATGTCATCAATCCTTGCTATCTGTCAGTTTCTCAGAAATTGTCGAATTTATTTGGTTGAAGTAAAGCTTAAATATATTCCTGCGATCGATATCAATTATTTTATGAAAATCTATTACTTTTTGGCGATACGCAGTGTTTTGAAATTAAGCCAGTTTTCAAGGGGAAGTGTATACAGAATAACTGACAGGACACATTCATTCCTAAATGCCAAGCAGCAAAACTATTTTCTTAAGGATATTTATTCCGTGTGGTAGAGGGCACCGTCCCTAATTTCCGTGTGAAAACAATTTGCATACAAAGGATGGTATGGCAAGTTAGACCTATAGATCAGCTATGTTTCCCTAACATCATCATTGAGGAACTCACACTGTACAATGAAAACAAACCACTTGTTATCTTAACACGAACATTGACAGAAATAATGGCATGCAACGAGATGAGCAGCATCGCTGTTATCTGATCTCGATGTAACCAAGTGTTGAAATTAGATGCACATCTTCCATGTAACAGCTGATATTGTCAAATTCCTGACAACCATACAAATTATAGATACACTGAGGACAGATTGTATCTGTTATCGCAATGCACAGGAAATTATTACATACGCTCATATGAACGACGATTAGACTTATGTTATATTTATTTTGTTTATTATTCAAAACTATAATATTCTGGGTCTTAACGGCACAAAATGTGGCAAAACTGTTTCTTTAGAAGTTTTCCAAACATACACTTATGATTGTATTGGGTAGACAGTCTACTGTGCCGTAATGCCATACATGGACCACGCTGTTCTGAAGTCAAGGACTGGTTATCCTGGATTGCGTGACGAATATGATGCTATCACGACGCCAATCGCATTCAAATCAGATCTCTGACTTGCATGCGATACCTCTCTGATTGAAGATCTGATGAGCCAATCAGATGTCAGCTTTCTAAAACATTTCGGCTTTTTTTCTTACCACCTCGATTCGGAAATTTCGATCACAGTAAGAGAATACCGCCACAATAAACAATAGTACTCTTGATAATACACTCTGTCGAGTGTAGATGGGATGGTGCCGCGAAACAAGAGAAGGCATAATTAGACAACAATATTATGGTGAGGCTTTATTCTTATGCATTCGGAACTCCCCGATTATATTCGTTAAAAACAGTCACATATGCTTACCTGAACTCCTCACTTGTACCATGCATTTAGAAGCCTCGAATGTGATTGCCTGATTACAAAAGTTCATCTTACGCGATCTCTAATGGAGACATTTGACAATGTTATGATTGAACAATAACAATGCAGAGTAGCGTCCCTTAGTCGTGCAAGGACCATATGTGATGGTGGGTTCGAATTCTATTTTTGACCTGATTATGACCCTTGGTTTGACGAGTTTTCTCGTAGGTTTTACCAAAGTTGTCTAATACCTGAATCACTGTCCAGTAATCCGGACATTCCTCAAACAGGAGATGGACGCCGTGATTTAACCCAAATAGTGTTCTAAGCGGCTTTTAACCCAATTCACTTGTGCACTTTTACCAATAGTTGAATACATTTAGCATGTGAATGCGTTTGAAGCATTTACAACTTCAAAATATATTTTCTTCCTATATATTTGTGGATACATAAATAAAGCGTCGAAACCCGTCCAATTTTTATCAGAATCCTCTGCTGAAAGCAGACTGGATTGTACAATCCGACTATATCATGAGCATCTATTTATGAAACACTATCAAGTAGTGGTTATACCAGGCGTCCGCGTGGAGGTGGGCGAAACCTACTTCACCGGTAGCACCCGTCAGAAACAGACAAACGCAAGTCATTTGTTCACCTTTAAAAAAAGTGGGGACAAATGATACAAGTCAAAATATTTCCATCGGAACATTTTTCAAATTTGAATATGGTCTCAAAATGTCTACCAAAAGACTTTTGAAAGCTTTATTGAGGCCTTGAATGTTGTATTCTTGATAAAACAGTTCTTGAGCCGGAGTCTTTGAATTCTGCGTAGAAAGAGCGTGCCCCATTGTGCTACATACGTAGACAGGTGGACAACACAATCTGGAGCTGTCGAAATATTGCTCGAGATAAAGGGAATGTTAACAGGAAAATCCCTCTTGTTTTTGTCACTCTGAAGATTGATGCATGTATCTAAATTTGAAACAGATCAGGCGGTCACACTGGTCTCATATTTCTAGTTCAGTGGGTAAATTAGTGGAAGGATATTTGTTGTTATTGAACGATATCAGATCATCGATATACCTGAAGCTTAAGTTAAACTTCATGGCCAAATTCCCTTGTTTTTGGTATTGTTAATCCAAACAGAAATTCAAATTCATATGCATAAAGAAACAGATCCGTAAGACGTGGAGCACAGTTGGTGCCCACGGGAATGTCTACTTCTTCCCTAAATGTTACATAGATGTTATCAAGGATAACGTTAAGCATTCCACTTATTGTTTTCTCAGTAAACGGCAGATGACATTCGCTATATTTGTGACAAATCTTTCTGAACACACGCACACAATTGTGCATAACGTGTGGTTATTCCAACAGTGACAGGGGCACAGCCTGTTTTTTGTGGAGTAAGTTATAGTGTTAATGAAGGCATAAAATAGATTGCAAACAATAATAATAAATCCAACACAATTAATGTTAAATTTGTATGTGCGCTTTCAGCGTGGGCACGGAAATAGAATGTCCGCCTTTTGTTAGAATGTTCAGTGTCAATATGTTCCGCTGGAATGTTCAGTGTCTGTGTCTGGCGAACACCCACAGTCCTTCAGTCGACTTCATTACGCCGGCAGTTCTTCGTCCGACCTTGTGGCTCATATCTACCTCTAACTTGTATCTGAAAAAAAACCACAAAAAAACATTCATGTTGAATTTTGTATTTGCCATGAACACTAAAATCAATGTCCAAGATTAATGTGTTTACCGATGTTAAGTTTAATACTTGAAACTGACTTCAGTCTTCTAAAAAGTTTTAATTGCAACACGCTCATTTAAATTTGGAAAGTATGTTTCGAGTTTATGTCATCCGAGAATGCATATTTATTAAATACCTTTGAAGAATTCTTCCAAGCATGACCTTTTCCTCATTTAGGGCGAAATGTTGTCCGATACAGTTTCTGAAACGTAAATGTCAATATGAACAATGTCACATTCTCACATAATCTCACATATTTCAGCACACATAAATCTGATTCATGGACAAGAAGATGTAACAGAAAAAGCGAGGGCATAAACTGAACACATACTTACGCTGTTGTCGGAATCTCACAATGATCTCTTATGATTGTCGCTCATGTTTACTTGAAAAGAAGGTCTTAGAGCTAATTTCTTGACTGTGATGGTCATGCAGAGATATCAATCACATGGGGTTTAATTGTACGAGATACGTGTAATACTACAGGTTTCAGTATCAAGTACAGCGTTATTACCATGGGCAACCGGCTTGACACACCAACTACAGCTGTAGTAGTACCATGGGCCACGAGCTTTTCTTAACCCTACAGAGAGACTGGCTTGACACACAACAGTTGTAGTATTACCATGTATCACCATGTTTACAGAAACCTACAGAGAGATTGGCTTGACACACCAACTACAGCTTTTGTATTACCGTGGACCAGCTGAGAAAGGGATATATGCGTAGGTGTCCTTCTTCTGGATGTTCTCGGGCAGAAACCGATCTGGATCATATACATCCGGATCCTCCCACACTTCCGGGTTGTGATGAATATTCCATATCCCCAGTGATACAAGGGTTCCTACTGGAAAGACCTTCCCGTCAATGTTCATGGGATTCTCCAGTTTCCGACTGACGAACGGAACGGGCGAGTGGAACCTCATTCCTTCCTTCAGACATCGCGTCAGATACTCCATCTTGGGGATGTCATCCCTAATAACATATACATGTTTCATGAACCTTGACTTTTCTCAACCCTCACCAACCCAAAAGCCGAACATATTAACATGTAGAGGCTCAACATGTCCGGGAGTATGATCTATAATTATACAAAGCCATATGTTCTGCCACCCTACTGCTAACTACAGTACCAAACTCATTGTTTTTTCTGCGATAACCAGATGCCGAGCTTATTAGGCGATGTGTCCTACCAGACGGGTGATATGCCTAACTTGGCAATCCGCTTCACAGGCAGGTTTGCTTCATTGGGTGATGTCCCCTACCGTATGATGTGCTCTACCAGATGATGTGCCCTTCCAGGGGATATGCCCTACCCAGTGATGTTCCCTACAATGTGATCGAAAGGTTGTACCCAAACAGGCGATGTGCCCTACCAGGCGATGTGCCCTACCAGTGGGTGGGCTCTACCATATGATGTGCCCTACCATGTGATGTGTCCTACCAGGTGATGTGCCCTACAAGGTGATGTGTCCTACCAGGTGATGTGCCCTACCAGGTGATGTGCCCTACCAGTGGGAGGGCTCTACCAGGGGATCTGTTCTACTTTGTGATGTACCCTACCAGGTGATGTACACTACCCAGTGATGTTCCCTACAATGTGATCGAAAAGTTGTACCCAAACAGGTTATGTGCCCTACCAGGTGATGTACCCTACCAGGTTATGTACCCTACCATGTTATGTGCCCTACCAGGTGATGTGCCCTACCATGTTATGTGCCCTACCAGGTGATGTGCTTGGACTCTCTTCCGTCCAGTAGTGTGTCCAGTTCATTCTGTATCCGGGTCTGGAACTCGGGTTTGGAGGCCATGGTAAACAGCGTCCATGATATCCCACTGGCCGTTGTGTCGTGACCTTTACAAGAATGAAACATAGACCAAAATATCCACTTGAAATAAAGGTCTTAAAGAGAAACAATAGATCCTACATATAACTGGTCTATGTCATTCGTAACGAAGCTGTACTTTTCGTGTACATTTAAGAATAGACTTTGACTTTCACTTCAAAGAGTGAGGGCCAAGCATTTTAAAAACGTCATCGCAACCTCCGACGTCCATACAGTTTGGCCCTCACTCTATGAAGGATCATACTCCAATGAATGTACAAAGTCAATTCTTATAATTTTTTATCACAATTTCTTACCTCAAAGGATGTAGGCCTAGATCTGTGTGACTTCATGTTTACGCTGTAAGCCATACAACAACCAGCTGTATCGCGGAATAAAATAGTTCCTCATAAGAGAGATATCACGAGCGTATGTATGAGATGCGAAAGGTCTGTTAAGGACTACCACGGTAAGCCAGTCACAATGACAGCGCGTCGTAATACATTTACATCAAGTACAAGATGTCAAATGGCCGACACGATAAACGTGACGAGAGAGATTTCCGATGTTAATGAACCTGTGGCGTTTACATGTTTTAGTCACCATTGATCAACTGGCCGATCTGACCCTAAGGTTAATGCATAGGTTGCTGGAGACGGTCGCTGTCAGCCTTGACACGGATCGAGTCGATACTACGATAGTTTGGTTGTGCATTTCTTCGTTTTGATCACTACGATGGGTCGTAGAGAGGGTATTCGTGAACGATCATGCAGTCAAACCCTCTGACGTTCCTCAATGCATACTAAAACGCTGAGTTCAAGATAAAAGGGTCTAAATTATCAGAAAAAAACGCTTCTGCATGTATTCGTGCTGGGGAATTCCCAGGGGTTCCCACAGGAATGTGAAAGTAGTCCGTCAGTGTTTACGTCATTTCAAGAAAACGGGCTCGTGAAAAACGTATGAACGTCCAATTGTGTCCTTCAGACACTTACATTGTATGAACGTCAATGTCGCGGTCATGTGACCGACCTTTCGTCCTATGGAAAGGCCGTATATCGTAATTAACTTCAACTAAAACAAATATTTGTCGATAAAAAAAAAATTCCTATCCTTTTGCTGAGACGAAGACTAATACAGGTGACTACGAGCGACTATATTTAGTTCATTACCAGCACGAACTGAAAGCACCTGCAGATATAGTATTTAAAGCGCTATTGACCAATGTCAGCGCGGAATAGAACCACTAGCAGTCACCTGACTGTCGATTCTTACCCGAATTGTAACCACGTGATCAAAACTCAATGATGTTTATCGCTGGCAAAATGGATATTTCTTGAAAAGCACACTTTGCAATGTTTGTCATTACTGTAAGTAGTATACCTTATCGGCGGAATGTCTAGTATTCACTTAATAAGTATCAGCATACATGCATGTAAAGACAACGACATATTTCACAGACAGTCGTCCGACAAACAGAGGTAATTTTAGATACTAGTAGTTGCCCGAGATATAATTTGTGGCCATACCTTCAAAGAGGAACGTGTCGACTTCATTCCTGATCTCCAGCGGCGTGAGGCCCTTGTCATCAGCATCTCGGGCACTCAGCAGGACGTCCAAGAAGTCGAGGTAGCGGGTCTTGGGGGGTCCATCTCTCTCCTGCATACACACAGCACAATGTGACACACATGGGAAACTGTTACATACACGGGACAATGTTACATACACAGCACAATGTTACATACACAGCACAATGTGACACACATAGGACAATGTTACACATACAGTACAATGTTACATACACAGTACAATGTTATACACACAGTACAATGGTACACACACAGTAAATGTTACATACACAGTACAATGTTACATACACAGTACAATGTTATTCACACAGTACAATGTTACACACACACAGTACAATGTGACACACATAGTACAATGTGACACACATAGGACAATGTATGGCACACAGTACAATGTTACATACACAGAACAATGTTTCACACACACAGTACAATGTTACACACACAGTACAATGTGACACACATAGGACAATGTCACACACATGAGACAATGTTACATACACAGTACAATGTTACACACACAGCACAATGTGACACACATGGGACACTGTTACACACACGGTACAATGTTACATACACACGACAATGTTATACACAGTACAATGTTAAATACAGTACAATGTTACACACATAGGACAATGTTACATACACAGCACAATGTTATACACAGTACAATGTTAAATACAGTACAATGTTATACAGACAGGACAATGTTACATACATGGGGCACTGTTACACACACAGCACAATGTTAAACACTACAATTTTACACACACAATACAATGTTACATACACAGTACAATGCTACACACACAGTACAAAGTTACACACAGTACAATGTTAAATACAGTACAATGTTACACACATAGGACAATGTTACATACACAGCACAATGTTATACACAGTACAATGTTAAATACAGTACAATGTTATACAGACAGGACAATGTTACATACATGGGGCACTGTTACACACACAGCACAATGTTAAACACTACAATTTTACACACACAATACAATGTTACATACACAGTACAATGCTACACACACAGTACAAAGTTACACACAGTACAATGTTACACACACAGCACAATGTTACACACTGTACAATGTTACATACACAGAACAATGTTACATACAAGGGACAATGTTACACACACAGTTCAATGTTACACACACAGTACAATGTTACACACACAGGACATTCTTACACACATAGGACAATGTTACACACACAGGACAATGTTACACATACAGTACAATGTTACACCCACAGTACAATGTTACGCACACAGTACAATGTTAAATACAGTACAATGTTACACACACAACACAATGTTACACACAGTACAATGTTAAATACAGTACAATGTTACACACACAGCACAATGTTACACACAGTACAATGTTAAATACAGTACAATGTCTCACACACGGGACATACACAAGGCAATGTTACATACACATAACAATATTACTTAAAAGTAAATTGTTCCGTAAAAAGTACACAGTTTCGGGGAAGGGGAAGGGGTTAGGAGTCTATTGGGCATTACTCTTGAATGTTACATATACAACAATGTTACACACACACACACACACACACACACACACACACACACACACACACACACACACACACACACACATAATGTAACACGCAAAGTACATTATTATAGGGAACATATTCTTGCTCTGAATTGCCATGGGCATTACTCTGTGAAATGAATTATATAAATTGTTTATCAAGTTAGATACTGACCAAGGTCTGTCGCCTCTTGTCGATGATGTCTTCCGCCCAGCGATGTACAAAGTCACACTGCTTCTTAAACTTCTTCCCCTCGGACGAGTTGTAAAAGATGAAGTCAAAGAAGTGCAATGGGTTGCTGAAAACAAAAAGATCCTGCTTGTAATGTGTTTTTTTATACCATGTCTGTATTTGTCCGTAAAAGTAAATCTGATCTGTTTTTTGTCAGAGATGTTATGAAGGTCTGGTGACACGCTATGAATGTCTAGCGAGGCACAATGAATGTCTGACGTAGTGGGGGTGAAATGTGTGTGTGTGTGTGTGGGGGGGGGGGGGGGGGGGGGAGGGAGAGACGGTATAATTTTGTTGCAACAACTGCAAAGACAGATATTTGTTTTAAACCAGTGTCCGGGGTATAATTATTCAAGAATTTTCTGGGACAATCTAATTTTCGATAACTTCCCAGGACTAGCATAAGCAGCCACACAAACGTGCATCGATCCTGAATCCCATTTCACCTCACCTCACCATATGGCTAATAGTCTGGTGCTGCACTAATGGTATTAGATGGTCTACACTTGTAATGTGTGCTGTTCAGAATGCCCACATACTTACATGTTTCGGTCTACAGCCAGGGCGAGTAAGTCATTCACTGCGTTTACATACGGGTGTGTTTGCCTGAAAAATATATATAAGGATGTTTAATTCAACAGTTTTACACCGATTTATATACTCACATTCCCCGTACCCATCCCTGTTGCTGTCTGTAACATTCCCCGTACTCACCCCTGTTGCTGTCTGTAACATTCCCCGTACTCACCCTGTTGCTGTCTGTAACATTCCCCGTACTCACCCCTGTTGCTGTCTGTAACATTCCCCGTACTCACCCTGTGGCTGTCTGTCACATTCCCCGTACTCCCCCCTGTTCCTGCCTGTCACATTCCCCGTACTCACCCCTGTTGCTGCCTGCCACATTCCCCGTACTCACCCCTGTAGCTGTCTGTCACATTCCCCGTACTCATCCCTGTTGCTGTATGTCACATTTCCCGTACCCACCCCTGTTGCTGTCTGTAACATTCCCCGTACCCACCCCTGTTGCTGTCTGTCACATTCCCCGTACTCACCCCTGTTGCTGCCTGTCACATTCCCCGTACTCACCCCTATTGCTGCCTGTCACATTCCCCGTACTCACCCCTGTTGCTGTCTGTCACATTCCCCGTACTCACCCTTGTTTCTCTCTGTCACATTCCCCGTACTCAACCCTGTTGCTGACTGTCACATTCCCCGTACCTACCCCTGTTACTGCCGGCCACATTCCCCGTACTCACCCCTGTTGCTGCCTGTCACATTCCCCGTACTCACCCCTGTTGCTGTCTGTCACATTCCCCGTACTCACCCCTGTTCCTGTCTGTCGAATTCCCCGTACTCACCCCTGTTGCTGTCTGTAACATTCCCCGTACCCACCCCTGTTGCTGCCTGTCACATTCCCCGTACTCACCCCTATTGCTGCCTGTAACATTCCCCGTACTCACCCCTGTTGCTGTCTGTAACATTCCCCGTACTCACCCCTGTTGCTGCCTGTCACATTCCCCGTACTCACCCCTATTGCTGCCTGCCACATTCCCCGTACTCACCCCTGTTGCTGTCTGTCACATTCCCCGTACTCACCCCTGATGCTGTCTGTCACATTCCCCGTACTCACCCCTGTTGCTGTCTGACACATTCCCCGTACTCACCCCTGTTGCTGTCTGCCACATTCCCCGTACTCACCCCTGTTGCTGTCTGTCACATTCCCCGTACTCACCCTTGTTTCTCTCTGTCACATTCCCCGTACTCACCCCTGTTGCTGACTGTCACATTCCCCGTACCTACCCCTGTTACTGCCGGCCACATTCCCCGTACTCACCCCTGTTGCTGCCTGTCACATTCCCCGTACTCACCCCTGTTGCTGTCTGTCACATTCCCCGTACTCACTCCTGTTCCTGTCTGTCACATTCCACGTACACACCATTGTTTCTGTCTGACACATTCCCCGTACTCACCCCTGTTGCTGACTGTCACATTCCCCGTACTCACCCCTGTTGCTGTCTGCCACATTCCCCGTACTCACCCCTGTTGCTGACTGTCACATTCCCCGTACTCACCGCTGTTGCTGTCTGTCACATTCCCCGTACTCACCCCTGTTGCTGTCTGCCACATTCCCCGTACTCACCCCTGTTGCTGTCTGCCACATTCCCCGTACTCACCCCTGTTGCTGTCTGTCACATTCACCGGACTCACCCCTGTTGCTGTCTGCCACATTCCCCGTACTCACCCCTGTTGCTGTCTGCCACATTCCCCGTACCTACCCCTGTTGCTGTCTGCCACATTCCCCGTACTCACCCCTGTTGCTGTCTGTCACATTCACCGTACTCACCCCTGTTGCTGTCTGTCACATTCCCCGTACCTACCCCTGTTGCTGTCTGTCACATTCCCCGTACTCACCCCTGTAGCTGTCTGTCACATTCACCGGACTCACCCCTGTGGCTGTCTGTCACATTCACCGGACTCACCCCTGTTGCTGTCTGTCACATTCCCCGTACCCATCCCTGTTGCTGTCTGCCACATTCCCCGTACTCACCCCTGTTGCTGTCTGCCACATTCCCCGTACCTACCCCTGTTGTTGTCTGTCACATTCCCCGTACTCACCCCTGTTGCTGTCTGCCACATTCCCCGTACCTACCCCTGTTGCTGTCTGTCACATTCACCGGACTCACCCCTGTTGCTGTCTGTCACATTCCCCGTACCTACCCCTGTTGCTGTCTGCCACATTCCCCGTACCTACCCCTGTTGCTATCTGCCACATTCCCCGTACCTACCCCTGTTGCTGTCTGTAACATTCCCCGTACCTACCCCTGTTGCTGTCTGTCACATTCCCCGTACCTACCCCTGTTGCTGTCTGTCACATTCCCCGTACCTACCCCTGTTGCTGTCTGCCATATTCCCCGTACCTACCCCTGTTGCTGTCTGTAACATTCCCCGTACCTACCCCTGTTGCTGTCTGTAACATTCCCCGTACTCACCCCTGTTGCTGTCTGTCACATTCCCCGTACTCACCGCTGTTGCTGTCTGCCACATTCCCCGTACTCACCCCTGTTGCTGTCTGCCACATTCCCCGTACTCACCCCTGTTGCTGTCTGTCACATTCCCCGTACTCACCCCTGTTGCTGTCTGTAACATTCCCCGTACCTACCCCTGTTGCTGCCTGTCACATTCCCCGTACTCACCCCTGTTGCTGTCTGTCACATTCCCCGTACTCACCCCTGTTCCTGCCTGTCACATTCCCCGTACTCACCCCTGTTGCTGTCTGTAACATTCCCCGTACCTACCCCTGTTGCTGCCTGTCACATTCCCCGTACTCACCCCTGTTGCTGTCTGTCACATTCCCCGTACTCACCCCTGTTCCTGCCTGTCACATTCCCCGTACTCATCCCTGTAGCTGTCTGTCACATTCCCCGTACTCATCCCTGTTGCTGTCTGTCACATTCCCCGTACTCACCCCTGTTGCTGTCTGTCACATTCCACGTACTCATCCCTGTTGCTGTCTGTCACATTCACCGGACTCACCCCTGTTGCTGTCTGTCACATTCCCCGTACTCATCCCTGTTGCTGTCTGTCACATTCCCCGTACTCACCCCTGTTGCTGTCTGTCACATTCCCCGTACTCACCCCTGTTGCTGTCTGTCACATTCCCCGTACTCATCCCTGTTGCTGTCTGTCACATTCCCCGTACTCACCCCTGTTGCTGTCTGTCACATTCCACGTACTCATCCCTGTTGCTGTCTGTCACATTCCCCGTACTCACCCCTGTTCCTGTCTGTCACATTCCCCGTACTCATCCCTGTTGCTGTCTGTCACATTCACCGGACTCACCCCTGTTGCTGTCTGTCACATTCCCCGTACTCACCCCTGTTGCTGTATGTTTTCCTCGACAGACATGGCGCACCTCAACAGGATATCAAATGTACACATGCTGATCATGTTGAACACCTCAAAGCTGGTGCCTTCCTCCACGTGCTTGTCAATCTTCTCCTGTTAAACAAATGTTGGTGCGTGAAGATTCTCACGCCAAAGTGTGTGAGTATAGGTTTACGCCGCTTTAGCAATATTCCAGCAATATCACAGCGGGGGACACCAGAAATTGGCTTCACACATTGTACCCATGTCGGGAATCTTCGGCGTCACGAGCAAACGCTTTAACCACTAGGCTACCAGACCGCCCCCTCGCGTCAAAGAACGACCTTCACACACACCGTAATCATGAGGGGAATTGAACCCGGGTCTTCAGCGTCACAAGCTTCAACCACTTGGCTAAACCCTGTGCTGGGCCTGACAAAACCATGTTCGCTTAACGCATAATGTTGAATTTGGATGACAGAAAACTACGTTTATGACGAACACGCTTATTACGAACTTATTTTTGGGTCTTGGCCAGTTGCTGTATATGTGCTTATAACGAACTGATCCGTGAAGATCCGAGTTAGAAGAGGTCTTCAGCAACCCATGCTTGCCGTAAAAGGCGACTATGCTGGTCGTTAGAGGCGACTAAGGGGATCTGGTGGTCAGGCTCGCTGACTTGTTTGATGTATGTCATCGTATTCCAATTTCGTGTATTGATGATTATGATGTCAATTACTGTCTAAATGTCCAAAAGAAATCATATATTCGTAGGGATATTTGTTCCGTGTGGTCCCTAGTTTCCACGTGTATTACCTACTGCATATTCAATGAACATTGGCTCTGTTCATGAAAAAATCAACAAAGTACATGCAATAAAATGTAATAACAAACTTTGCGTTATATGATGATAAATGGACCTACACTATAAATTGAAAAACATACACTTGTTAATACAAGATGTACATTGACTGAAAAATGGCATGCTATTAAATTATCAGAATATTATCATCTGATCTCGTTACACATCTAGTGAATCTGAAGCGGGAATTTCGACCGTTTCAACCGAAAACCACCACAGAACACAACAATACACTCGATAGCAGGCCCTGTCGGATGTAGATGGCGCTTAGAAACAAGAAGGGGCATAACATATCTACAACAATATAACAATAGTTTTAATTTTATACATTCAGAACTCCCCGATCAGATTCATTTTCTGTTTGCCAAAATCCAATATGCCTGTCTGAATGTTTCGCCCACTCGTACCGAGAGTTTAGAACTCTCTACGCTGCTTGGTTGGTTAGAACCTTCCCCTGTCGCGACGTTCTATGGAGGAATCCTCAGACCTTCAGGCATAGAAGTAATTTTCCGTATGTTTTGCACCACTGACGTAATTATATTCAGACAATATTGAATTACTTTATTTACCAGTGATACCTCGCCCATCGCACATGAGTTTCGATAGTTTTCAGAAATAGAACATGCAGTAAAGACGTTCTGACGAAGTTCCAACTGTATTTCACCCCGGAAATGTGGGAATCACACGATGTTAATTAAAAGCCTGATATTTCGTTCAAACCAAACCCCGTCAATTTTACTACTGACCTCAGAACACCTTCAGAAACTTATTCTACATTATGCTTTATATAATATCTGAGATGAGCATGTATCAATTGCAACCTTGGAAATATCGAGATGACATTGTTGAAGGCATTTACTGTCAAGTACTCGACTTACCATCATGGTGTCAATGGCGTTGTTGGAGACGTCGACGTAGGGTTTAAGGATGTCGAAGTGGAAGGCGGGGGTGAGAAGGCGGCGAGATCGGTACCAGCGTTGTCCCCCCGCAATCAGGAGACCCTCCCCCAGCCAGGGCAGTAATGTTTCATATGGGCCTCCAAATCCCCTCGGCTTTGGCTCTGTGCAATGAGAGGGTCCAAACTCGTTGAATGACTGAAACTCGTTCTCTGATTATGAAATCGATTTTCGTATTGAAACACATTATATTTGACGTTGACCAAAATATTTTGAAACTATTATCAAAGTACCAATGCAAATATCTGACAGAAATGTGTATCTGTCTTGTTGCACCATGAGGATCGAACATGGGCATGCCTTCAACTTTGAGAGTAATACTCGCAAGGACACGACGAAATGGCGAATGTTTTTGTATGGACAAAATATTGCAGAAGAATATGTCAAACATTTTACTCAAGTATAATGTACTTCGCATTAGATGTCAGTGTGTTGTCACTGTGGTCAATGCTTTGAGTAGTGTATTAAGCCTGTACACACTTACATGACAAGCCAACGTGTAGGCCATAGACATCTACTCGACAAATAGTGATGTCCTTTACGCATACTGAGAAGGTTTAGTTAATCTTCTGCGACTTATTTTTATATATGGGGCGGTGGGGTCGCCAAGTGGTAAAAGCGTTCGCCCGTCAAGCTGAAGTCCAGGGTCTGATTCCCCACATGGGTACAATGTGGGAAACCCTTTTCTGGTGTCCCCCGCCGTGATAGCGCTGGAATGTTGATAAAAACGGCTGGAATGTTGCCCAAAACCACTCACCGTTTATATACATAAAAAACCCGTTACACGATCAAAACCTTTGATCAAAAAGTTTTCTTGGTCCAAGTTGGGCTGTTTACACTCATCAAAGTTTTTGACAGGCTGTCAAAGTTTTGGTGGGAATTATCTTGCCAAATAGTCTGAAGGTGGATGCTACTGACGAAAAATTGTTTGTTATTGTCATATGCATTTTGAGTATTGCCATGTTGAGTAATATAGCGAGTAAACGCGGTAGTATAGCGAGGGAACGTAGAAGTATAGCGAGTAAACGCAGTAGTATAGCGAGGGAACGTGGTAGTATAGCGAGTAAACGCGGTATAATAGCGAGTACACGCAGTAGTATAGCGAGGGAACGTGGTAATATAGCGAGTAAACGCAGTAGTATAGCGAGGGTACGCGGTAGTATAGCGTGTACACGCGGTAATATAGCGAGTAAACGCTGTAGTATAGCGAGTAAACGCATTAGTTTTAGCGAGTAAACGCAGTAGTATAGCGAGGGAACGTGGTAGTATAGAGAGTAAACGCGGAATAATAGCGAGTAAACGCGGTAGTATAGCGAGGGAACGGGGTAATATAGCGAGCAAACGCAGTAGTATAGCGAGGGAACGTGGTAGTATAGCGAGTAAACGTGGTAGTATAGCGAGGGAACGTGGTAGTATAGCGAGTAAACGTGGTAGTATAGCGAGGGAACGTGGTAGTATAGCGAGTAAACGTGGTAGTATAGCGAGGGAACGTGGTAGTATAGCGAGTAAACGCGGTAGTATAGCGAGGGAACGGGGTAATATAGCGAGCAAACGCAGTAGTATAGCGAGTAAACGCGGTAGTATAGCGAGGGAACGTGGTATAATAGCGAGTAAACGCAGTAGTATTGCGAGGGAACGTGGTAGTATAGCGAGTAAACGTGGTATAATAGCGAGTAAACGCAGTAGTATAGCGAGGGAAGGCTGTATTATAGGATGGACACGATAAGACCATTGCAAGGAACACGGTAGAATTGCGAGGAAACGCGGCAGGATAGCGGGGACACGCGAAAAGTATAGCGAGGAAACGCTATGTTATGACTGAGAAAGAGATGGTATAACGAGGGAGCAAAAAGCAAATTGAGGCAATGCGATAGTAAATTATGGGAATGCGACAGTCCTGCTAGGCAACGAGATAGGATAATGAGGGAATGCGATGGCATTGCGAGGGAACGAGATAAATATATTTTTTACCATGGGAGGTAGAAGATTCCGTATGATTTTATATATAATATGAGACTTTAATCATTGTTATTAAACAAGCATAACTTTTTGCATTTATTTACAGTTGAAACATATTCAATAACATTCAGTTGTTAAAAGTGCATTTCAGATATCGTAGGAACGTATTTCAATACACACATGAATAACAAATTATACATTTTCTGGTCACCTGATGACTTGATGATGGCTCTGATAGAGTCTGGATGGTACACCCTGATGACTGGATTGAGAGGTCCTATCCAGAGCCGGAAATACTTGGGGTATCTCCTCATCCATTCCTTCTCCACTTCAGCACGCTTCTCAAACTCCTTAGGGAACTGAAACAAAAATATAACCCTGATCAAGTGGGAACAGGGACCCATTTGTTTTAAGCGCAATCCATCGTACAGAGTTGCTTCCCTTAGGTGTGCCAGGAACCTATGATCGTGAGTTCGAATCCCACATTCGTCCTGATTATGTTTCTGGGATTGTGGAGATACTTCTGAATCGTTGGTGTGGATGTAATATGTGGATGAATATTTGTGGTCCCAAAACTTCATCGACGTACTGAATTGAATTGCTGTCAGGTTTTAACTAAACTACGGCTAATAGGGAGTTGTGAATATGACGTGAAACTTTACAAATGCTAAACGTTTGTGTTTCGATTGGACGACTTATATGGTATCACACAACGATCGACATTTCTCCTCTGACTTATGCTTGATTTCATTGCGCTGTGACTAAGTTTCCCCAAGATTCATTGTTTTAACAGTAGATCTGCTGTAAGCGTATGTGCCTTGCATTGGCGCGTGAAATGAGCTGAGTAACAAAGGAATGACGCCATTAACTACTAGTATATATTCCACAGTTTTTATACCATGTTTATGTTCAAAACATGTTGAGAGTTTGTTATATTGATATTGTTAGATACGCTGTGCAGAGTTGCGTCCCTTGACACGCCAGAAACCTATGATTGTGGGTTCGAATCCCGGTTCGCCCCGATTATGTTTCAAGGTTTGTCAGCACCATACCCGAGCACGTGGGTTTCACCGAAGTGGTAAACGTCTGAGACCTGCATCACTTCGGGCTTTCCTCCCACATTAAGCTGACAAGCCGTGATATAACTGGAATAATTTTTAATTTTAGGTTATCAACGACTTGCGATACAGATTATCGTGAAGGTAACGTTACATTCTGTGTTTAGTGGGGCGGTGGGGTAGCCTAGTGGTTAAAACGTACGCTCGTCACGCCGAAGACCCGGGCTCGATTCACGACATGGGAACAATATGTGAAGCCCATTTCTGGTTTCCCCCGCGGTGATTTCGCTGGAATATTGCTAAAAGCGGCGTAAACCCATACTCAGTCACTGTGTTTACTGTGCATGCGTGCGTTCGTGTGTGCTAGCCCACTGACACACTTTGCCGCAGGGTAACATGAATACCCCACTCAGACACTGTGTACTGAATCCGAGCCCTCCAGTCCTTGTATTATCCCCTTAATGCCGAGCGCCAGTCGGGAAGACGCCCTATCAACGAGACAACGGAGGCGGTTCCATAGTAAACATCCCAGTAATAGCAGCAGTAACAGAAGTAATAGTAGAAATACTTATTTGTAAACACCACCCTAGTCGACTTTGACCTGTAACAACAATGACCAGAGACGAGGTAAACTGGCTCACCAAATGCAGGTTGCCGGTCCTCCAGGAGAAGTCCTTGACACCCTGACACTTGTTGAAGAAGCTGAAGAGACGCCGATACCAGACCAGGAACCTGATTACGCGGTAGGCCACGTACAGGAGGACAGATGTCCCTGCAGACTGCAGAACAGTTTTACGATTGAGACGAGATACAAGATCCTGCGGGCCCATGTTTACAAACGTCTCTCATCCACACCGGGACACAGTATCACAACCGTGTTTGTGTCACCCTTTCCAGCCTTGCACACGGCACGCTGGCGGGTTATCTGTGGGTCACCGGTTTCACAGCTGATAGGGTTCACTATGGTTTAGAGCATGTGAGACTCGTTTTTTGTATTGCAGATATCGTTATTTATAATGGATTGGCGAGTTGCGATTTTAGTGCCCCTTTGAGTGAGTGAGTTGGGTTTAACGCCGCTTTTAACAGTATTCCAGTTATATCGCGGCGTGTCAGCTTAATGTGGGAGGAAAGCCCGAAGTGATGCAGGTCTTAGACGTTTACCACTTCGGTGAAACCAACAAGCACGGATATGGTTCTGACAAACCTAGAAACAGATTCGGGGCGAACCGGGATTCGAACCCACAATCATAGGTTTCTGGCGCAAGGGACGCAACTCTGCACAGCGAATCGCGGCGCCTTAGACAACTGGGCCACCCGTGCCCCGAGTGCCCCTTTGAACAATAGGCCAGTTAAAGTGAGTATAGTTTTACGCCGCTTTTAGCAATATTCCAACAGTATCACGGCGGCGGTCACCAGACATGGGCTTCACACATTGTTCCTGTGTGGGGAATCAGAACCGGGTTTTCGGCGTGATGAGCGAACGTTTTAACCACTAGGCATTTAGCTGTGACCCTCAAATCTTTAGAGAGTCATAACAAGTTCGTGGTACAATAAACTGGAAACTCTTGGTCAGATGATCTATGACCATCACCTGGTCATTAAATACAAGAACTCATGGAGGGAGTCTCCTTTCCTACTACCATGGGTCAGTAACTTTTCTTCTGATGATCACAATAAGCCCACCTGTTCACACAGCCTCTGGCCACTGGATAGTGTTACATATTTTAGATGCCATGATGGACTTTCGTTTCCAGTTCATCACCATTAATAGTTTATACGTTTGTAAGATGTTTAAGAAGTCGAGAATCACACTAAATGCAAAAAAGAGTACAGTGATGTGATCATATTGAAATAATCTATCATGTGATTGGTGTGTAGCGGATCATGAAATATAACTGTTATGATTGATCGTCAGAAAAAAAGGTCAGCTTTGAAAAAGGAATGCCAGAAAACAAACACCCAAAGCCCCATCATACCATTGAAAGCGGACCCGGCATGTGGGTAGGGGTCATTCTTGATTTTGACACTTCATAGAAAGGTCGTCAAATTCCTCTGAGCCAAACCGCCTCCGTGGTCTAGTGGTAGAGCGTCCGCCCGGAGAGCGGAAGGTCCGGGGTTCGATCCCGGGCCGCGTCATACCAAAAGACGTTAAAAGATGGTACTTGTTGTTACCCTGTCTGGCGCTCGGCATTAAGGGGCTTAAACAAGGACTGGTCGGCTCGGAGTCAGTATACTGTGTCTGAGTTGGGTATTCATGTTAAACTGCGGCATGGTATCTCAGTGTGCTAGCACTATAAATCGGCATCAGTCCGGACTAGTACAAGCAGCCACACACATACATACACGTGCATGCACGTCGCTATATAAGTGCAATAATCTTGGACGCGACGTTAAACCCCATTTCACCTCACCTCATCTCACCTCACCTCACCTCACCTTCTGAGCCATTGGTATTGTTGATTTTCCACAGTATGTAATCCCTCTACTATTGCTTCAATGCAGTAGTTGTGATCAGATTTGGAATGCGTCGTCCACAACGTGATGAACATATAAGGGCTATTGGCCTGCTTCAAATTGGTAGAACTCAGCGAGAGGTTGCCAATATGTTCAATGTGTCTCAATCTGTCATTTGCAGACTCTGGAACAGGTTTCTGCAGACTCAAAATGTTAATGATCGGCCCTGCACTGGGCGCACTATAGTTATTTACAAACCACCGTCATATAGCTGGCATATTGCTGATAGCGACGTTAAACAACATGAAACAAACAACAACAAATATTGAGGAGCAGCAGTGTGACGCTGTGCAGAGTTGCGTCCCTTGGGCGTGTCAGACACACACCAATGGTCGTGAGTTTGCATGCTTGACTTGCCCCCATTATATTATGTCCAGGTTTGCCAGTACCATCACCTTACTCATACTCGTGCACATGGTTTCACCAAAGTGGTAAACGTCTGACACATGCACTACCTTCGGCTGACACGAGATATATCTGAAAGAAGCGGCGTTAAATAGATTTGAATGCACATTGGCTAAGCAGTGCAGTCCTCCGTACTCACTTCAGCTTAACAACTCGTTGATCTTTTCATTGTCACATCCTTGTAAGCTTGTCACGACCAGCGTATACAATCCATTGAGGAAGTGAAAGTGCTACACGCCTCTCAAGCAGAAACATGATTTTGCCCAAGCACTGTATGCATCGATTTCCGTAGCCGGAATTGCAGACTCCAAGCAGAGTGGCAGATACTTCGCTCTTGCTACGAATAAAAACTCAAGAGACATAGCAGCCTGCTCTCTGATAAAGTAGGATTCTGTTATTTTGTTGGTAAAATGAGATAATCTACAGTTGAAACAATAGAGGGACGTCATAGCTGTATTTTAAACTTATTAATATTACTGCACAATACACACACGAGTCCCAAATAGGGACGGGTCAGTCGAAATTACTCAGGGAGAAGGCGACCTTAAAAAACGGTTCAGTCAACAGCCACCCTGACCATCGAGTGTTATATACGGCATATCAGCATTTATGTTGGTTGGTTGGTTTGTTGTTTAACGCAGCACTCAGCAATATTCCACTTATATGACGGCGGTGTGTAAATAATGGAGTCTGGACCAGACAATCCAGTGATTGATATCATGAACATCGATCCTCGCAATGTGGTATCGATGACATGCATCATCCAAGTCAGCGACCTGACCACCCGATCCCGTTAGTAGCCGGGATAGCCAAGTTATTACGACGTATTGAATAAAAAATATTAAAAAGTTTTTAAAAAAAAGTTATTTCGACGTAAGCGAGCGGGGCCACGTCCAGCCAAGCAGTACGTCAGTAAAACACGTGGTAGTCATCGGTATCATTATCTGCCTATAACCGGTCAAAAACATGCCGTGGAAGTATTCGAAAAAAATCACTTTGCAATTATTTTGTGAAATACTTGAAAATAGTAAAATGTTAGAAACAAGTGCTGAAAAACATAACTGTCGTGTTAAGAAGTTGTAAAGAAGTTAATGTTCAAATAATAAATAGAATTCATGCACCCTCTGTTGGAAAGAGAACTGATGCATCTGACCGTAAAAGTTGAAAATGGACGTTTATAGTCAGTTAACGCCCTTCATTATATACCCCCAAGGAGTGTATGGTGGATAATAGCTATATTAATGACACGACAGATACAAATTCATAAACAGTCAATGTTGCTAGGTAAATATTCAGGACATTATGTCTAAAGTCATTGAAATAACATAAATATTTATATATTCATATTTATTAATCATAGTCAATTACTTTCATAATACATTCTTCTAAACACCAAAGTGCTTCAATATTTTATAAAGCAAAGAAATTTCTACACTATAAGACGACAAATGAAATACACATATTTTATGTATGAAGGCCAAGAAGGGACATCGTTCTATTGCCCTAGAAATGTTATTTGTGTAAAATTCTATCGTCCTGGTTCCTGTGAAATATAGAAATAAAGATCCTTTTTCGGGTAGAAATCGCAATTTTTAACCAACCCAATGATATTGAAACTCCATGCAAAGAATATACGTAAGCGTGTGATGTGGAGTTGAATGCTTCCACTAGCCATTGCGGCCAAATCAGCGATATTCTAAAGGTTTGTCATGAGTGTGCAGTTTTGTCAGTAATACAGCATTACTGCGTTATGTTTGTGGTTTCATGTACATTACCAGATGATAACCTGAGCCTATTTGCACCAGGTGTGCACTGTCTATCACAGTTTCACTATCGTAGCGACTGCCGTTCAGTTCACTGTTGAGTGAGTTCAGCTTGTCGTAAGAGGCGACTAACGGGATCCAAATGCGTGGATCGATGCTCATGATATCAATCACTGGATTGTCTGGTCCAGAATCGATTATTTACAGACAGCCGTCATATAGTTGGAATATTGCTGAGTGCGGCGTTAAACAACAAACAAACCTAATTCGGAGACATTAGACATGTCAAAAGTCTGAACCTTTTTCAGGTCTCCAGCAACCCATGCATGCCGTAAAAGGCGACTATGCTTGTCGTACAAGGCGACTAACGGGATCGGGTGGTCAGGCTCGCTCACTTAGTTGATGCATGTCATCGATCCCAATTGCGTGGATCGATGCTCATGATATCAATCACTGGATTGGCTGGTCCAGACTCAATTATTTACACACCACTGTGATATAGCTGCAACATTGCTGAGTGCGGCGTTAAACAACAAACAAACATCACTCTGACCGTAGGTAGCAGAAACTCATTCATTTAATAATCAGCGGATAATAATAATTAATAGCTCAATAAGAATGATAATAGTAGTAGTATTTTAATTATTACGTACCAGAGACCATATACCGGTATATGGTCGCTGTACAAACATGTAGGCTAACTATATAACAGCCACCAGGCTTCACAGGGCCTGAAAGACACCTTAATCATAATTTTTATAAAAAGATTTACATAAAAGCTTTGATCACCCTTATAAACATGATAATGATGTGTTGAAAAACTTACAATTATTATTCTAGTAATTTACTCTCGTTGTGGATATATAATATTGTGTAATTTTATGAATTTTCAGATTTGTGGAAATTTCGGACAGACAATCCTTGACAGAGGTTTTCAAATTTTAAAATCGGCATATATATACTCGATAACACCCACAGACAAAAATACATATATGTTTATCTGCATTGTGAAATACTAAAGTTATCAGCAATTTCCTATAGCACTCTGTTTCTACATGAACTTTCACAGCTGTGGGGCATGACATTGATATCATAATAATTGATGCACATATCATAATTAACTATGGATATATCAAAATTAGCATGGATATAAAAATAACACATGGTGCAACTTTTGGAAACTCAACACCAGTGCAGCAGGATAGATCCGAATTTTCCTTTATGCATTATCTACTGAAAAGTAACAATGTGCCAGGTTGGCACATCATGGTAGTGTGGGCGTTCAGGACACAATAATGTGCAATCAAACAAGTCCTTGATCCAGACATCTGAAGTACTGCGTCACCCCTTAAGACCACCAGAGGTTGCTATAGGGACCAGTTCCAACCCGGAATCGTTCATTCTAATATTAGGAAAAGCAATCTCCTGACTGGAGCTCTGAGGACGTCTACGTCCCACAGCGAATAAATGTCAACTAAAAAATGTTACTCCGTTCAACGTAGTGGTCTGTCACATCAGCATGACACGCACGAGATTTACCAAAAAAAAGAACATGCGCAACGGGTGTGTTTGGACGAGCACTTCCATATTAATTGAGTGTACTTGGACGAGCTATACCAAACCCAACCAAGAACAATTGTTTCCTTCTGTTCAAGGAGTATTATCGTTTTTGCAGAGACTCTACAGTAGTACTTCACACTCAGGAACTCAATGTGGCCAACGGTTTGCACCTGGAGTAACTGCACTCGGATTGTCCCCTTCATTGTCAGATTACCTCCCCTTGTCTCTGCCAGGCCAAGTAGGGCAATACGACAGCTATCAGCAATGGCTACAGAGTACAGCACCCTTGCTCAGCCCAAGCCAATGGTAGGAGTGTGCCAGTTCACTGCCAGAGCAGATAAAGAGGAGAATTTCAAAACATGTGTTTCATTGATCAAGAGAGCCAAAGCTAAAGGTGCACAGGTAAATATTGAACTGCTGAAGAAACTATAGGTTAATTTGGACTTCAGGTGGGTTGATCATAATAGTGGATGCAGAGGTTCAGATTGTGGAGTTATCCAGGTTATTGACCCATAAAAAAACCAAATGACCCTCCCAGGTCCTACATTTCTGATAGGTAGCGGTAGCTTACTATTTTCACACAACATTTGACCCAATGGTATTCATTTCATTCAACAGAGAGTGAAAAAAATTCCTATATCACAAAATTTTGATTCATAAATACTATATGTAAAATTTTCATGATAAGGATATAGATTATCAGAATCAATTAGCTTTATATATTTGTAATACCGTATTCGACGTAATAAGCGCCCAGGGCACTCTCAAAATTATAAATGGGGAGCTCTTATTAGAATATTATTTTGGTAGAAAAAACAGTTGAAGGATAAATTTTGTGGTTTATGCTGAGGGTCTGAACTGTTTATGTACGACAGATATATTTTTCCAGAATTTAATTGCCCATAATTAAGGGTGCATATAACACACGAGTTCGTATTATACACGAATAAATAAGTCTTGTGTACATTGATCAAACGGAAGGGGTGCTAATTGGGATTGTTCACTTGCCAATATATTAGCAAATATCGCAGTGGGTGCTTATTAAGTCGAATACGGTATGTTTTTGTTTGTTGCTATGTCTTTTATTTCAGGGCAATAATAAACAGGATTGTTCTGTCTGTCTTTGTAACAAGAAGGACACTTTGTATGACCATCTGTCTCCTGCAAAGTAAACACTAGTATGCAGTTTATGCAGATGACAAAGCAGAATTGCCATTCTACATGGTTGGTCTGGCACCAGCTGAGAACATATCCTGACTGACTGGCAATATGTGGGGTTGGCATTTGGCATCACAGGATATGTTGGTGCTATCAAAATCACACTCACAAAAATGCACCACTGCTTAAAGGGCAAGTTCACACAGAAATGAACCTATTTTTCTTGTACTTTTTCCACATTAAAAGTGTTAACCTAGTAGTGTCATAGACAAAAATATAAAAATATCACAATTAATTAACATATGTTTTGCATTAAAACGATCTATATTTTTCACATTTACCAAGTGTTCTATTTTCATAACAAAAACACCATGGCTTATGCCCCTTGCAATATGACGCCATTGGTGCCAATTGATAAACATTATGACGTCATCATGCTATGTTAGAGCCGCTTCACGTGGTGTAGGTACAGCTGTGTGATTCTAGCGTCTCGGATGCCAGCCAGCATAGTGTTATGCTGAGTCACCACTGCGCCGGAGTGTGTCGTAGGCCATGTTGTTTTACCGAAAACTGGTCCTTGATATCTTTTGCGTTGAGAATAGACAGGGATCCAGTTGAATTGGCACCAATTACGTCATAATCTAAGGGGGATAACTCAGGCCTGTTTAGCTCGAAAAATGAAGGCCTCATATCGGCATATCATTTTCACACTATTGTGAGCTTCCTACTTTCACTGTGAAAAAAATGAGTTTACATTTTCAAACACAGATATTAACTAATTCTAAAATTGCGTTTTGTTTAGAAAAAGAAAGAAAGTGATTTTTGCGTGTACACTTCCCCTTTAAGAACATCATGTTAGATCAGGAATTTTTCTGTGATTCCAAATATTGGTTGGTTTGTTGGTTTATGTCCCACTCAGCAATATTCCAGCTATATGGCGGAGGTCTGAAAATAATGGAGTCTGGACCAGACAATCCAGTAACTGATATCATGAGCATATAGGGATCTATGACATGCTTCAACCAAGTCAGCAAGCCTTACCACCCGATCCCGTTAGTCACCTCTTATGACAAGCATAGTCGTAAGTGCTGATTGGCAAATTTGGAGAAAGAAAATATTTTGTCCATAATTGGGATTTTTTAGAGTTCTTACTTTCTTAATTACAGAGGTATTTAAACATTTTACATTTTATTGAATGCAATGTTAAAATACAATTAATCCTTACCCCTTCCTCTTTACTGATCCGGTTATCAGTGATATACATGTCACCTTGAAATGCTATCACATGTAATATAACTGTTTACATATAACAGGAATTGGGGCAATGTTTCATTCCCATTGGGGATTTTGCAGACTTTGGGCCGAATATCGGCTTCTGAACTGTCTAGAGAGCCTAGGTCATTGTCCCATGACCACACTCTTTTCTCAGCATTATGAATATAAATAAATATGAGTCTCACACATGTGCTAAAACCTGGCCTATCATCTTCACAGGTATTGGATCACATCAGATTCCCCATCATTCTGATGCTCTCTGCATTACCCCTATACTGTGGTAATACGAGTGGGGTGAGGAGGCTGGGGATAGCCTAGTGGTTATATGACATTTCCTCACTCCGCAGTGCAGGTATACTGCATGACAACTGTTACATTGTAGCGCTTACTGTTACCTGGTGGATATCTGGTCTGTACCTCACCTGGTTGATGCTTGTCATTGAATCCAAATTGGATGGATCGATGCTCATGATTTCAATCACTGGATTGTCTTGTCCAGACTTAATTATTTACAGACCACCGTCATATAGCTTGAATATTGCTAAGTGTGGTGTTAAACAACAAACAAACAAAACTTACTATTTCATTTATAGAAATAACAAGCTCATATTTACTTCACCTCAATGAGTAGTTTAGTTCTCCCCTGCTTTATAATGTTATTTGGTCGCTGTGAAGAGTTGCGTCCCTTGGGCATGCCAGAAACTTATGATTATGGGTTCGAATCCCGGTTTGCCCCGATTATGTTTCTAGGTTTGTCAGCACCACACCCGTGCTCGTTGGTTTCACCGAAGTGGTCAACGTCTGAAACCTGCATCACTTCAGGCTTTCCACCCACATTAAGCTGACATGCCGTGATATAACTCTGGAATACTGTTAAAAGCAGCTTAAAACCCAACTCACTCACTCACATTATTTGGCCTATTCTAGATGGTGTTCCTGCCAGAGGCGTGTGATTTCATTGGCGAGTCACGTGACCAGTCGATGAAGATGGCAGAGCCCCTGGATGGTGACCTAATGTCCAGATACAGACAGATGGCTGTCGATACCCAAGTGTGGCTGTCTATTGGGGGATTCCATCAGCAGGTCTGTAAACAGAAAGATTGGCAGGGGACGATATGCTCCCTGACCTGTTGACCAGTTCAGGAATTTTAAATCATGCCATTGTTTCTAGAATACAAGGAATTTCAAACCCTGAATGTGGCATCAGAACTTGTTCATATTAAAAAACAGTTTATGGACATAACTCAGTCATTGTTGTTAAAAAAATAATTAAACTTGAAATGTGTGTAGTTATTAGTGTGACTCAACACATATGTTTTTAAAGATATTAAATGTTTTAAACTGTTGACTGTATAACCAGGTGAGCTACATTGCAGTGGCACTATTTTTTTCTTACCTCTAAATTTTCTGATGAATATCAATCCATCAAAGACTTGTTACCCTAACTAGACAGGCTATGTCTCTAATGACACAACATCTGGACCTAAGGTTGAAAATGGTACCAGATTATAGAACATAGTCCCTCTATCAATGTCGTCTTGTCATGATTTGTCATAAGCCATCATCCTAAATAAGTCCTTCACATTCAATATCTTCTTTGTTTATTATCCCCCGCCACGAAGTGGAAGGGGGATATAGGAATGGGTGCCGTCCTTCCGTCCGGCAGTCCGGCACATTTCATTTCCGGAGCAGATCTTGAAAAACGTACCATATTTCTTCACCCAACTTGGCCTAATAGATAGATCTAGTGGTGAACTGGTGCCTTTTGATAGTTTGGGATTTTAAAAAAAGTTATTTTTCGAGTTTCCATGGCACCGACTTTGATTTAGACTGAAAATGGTGGTAGTCCTCGTTTCCGGAGCAGATCTTGAAAACCGTACCATATTTCTTAACCATACTTGGCACATAGATAGGTCTAGTGGTGAACTGGTGCTTTTTGATAGTATGGCATGTTTAAAAACAATATTTTTTTAGTTTCCATGGCACCGACTTTGATTTGGACTGAAAATGGCGGTAGTCCTCGTTTGCGGAGCAGATCTTGAAAACCGTACCATTTTTCTTCACCATATTTTGCACATTGATAGGTCTAGTGGTGAACTGGTGCCTTTGGATAGTTTTGGATTTTTTTAAAAAGTTATTTTTCGAGTTTCCATGGCAACGACCTTGATTTCGACTGAAAATGGAGGTAATCCTCGTTTCCGGAGCAGATCTTGAAAAACGTACTATATTTCTTTACAAAAAGGCCCAGTGAACATAGTTCACAGGAGCTAATGCATTGCACACACCCGACATGTCATATTGGCGGGGGATGTGAGTATTTCATGCTTGTTTTTCATTAATTCTAGGTGGAAAGTTCCTGGCTAGGTTTCAGTTTCAGAAATATCGGGGTGGGGTGGGGTGGGTTTGGGGTCAGGGGGGGAGGAAGAAGTTGCATCGTTGTTCATGTCAGTTCCAGGTGTGTCTGGTTCAGACTCATCCATCATCCCAAGGCAAGAGAGTTTACAAGTCCGGTTTCCACACTTGCCAAACCAGGCTGGAATTTCAGAGTTAGGTCATGGCTGGACTAATGAGCCTGTGCGAGTCCAATCAAAATCACGAAACAAAATAGATATCCGGTTCATAAACAACATGGCCACTGCCGTGTAGAGTTTGGTCAACTGCAGGATTTGTAAAGCATGTCTTCTGTCAACTGGGCATTGACAGATATTTTCCATATATTTTGATGTTTATCAAGGCGATTTCATGCATTTCATGAGGAAAGATCCAGTTTATTGCAATATAATTACAGATTATTGATCAGATTCATCTTGACTGTGTGCTGCCATTTTGTTTGAAGCAAATGCAAGTGATATAAGAGGAGGAATCTGATTGGTCAATAGGAGTGACATAGAAGGGACATAACTCTTAAGAGCCACTGTTGGCGCAATGATTGAGCAATGAAATACCAGCCCTGTTTGGCAAGGATGATAGATAGACTAATCCTTGACTTTACAGTGTATTAAATCAAATGGGTCCATGGTATATATCATAATAGAGATATGATACACTGGACATTGGAGGAGGCCCAGACTCAGTTATTTACAGACCACCTTCGTTGCAGGGTCCTAACAATGAGAACCGTGTGCGGAACACCCATGTCGTTATATCAAGTGATGGACAAATAAAGGCCACCTACGACAAGAGTCATCTGTTTGACCTTGACATCAAGGACAAAGTGCGTCTATGTGAGAGCGACTATACGGTGCCAGGCAGCGAGATCGTGCCGCCAGTCGACACACCCGTAGGACGACTAGGACTGGCTACTGTATCCTTCAGACCAGGGTGTGAGTGGTGCATCTTTGGCACCTGTAGCCAGAGCGCATGTCAAGTTGTAGAGAGCTTATTTGCCAATTATGTTTTCAAGATTAATTAAAAATTGTATTCCTCCTGGCCAACTTCTAGACCAAGCTGAAAGTAATCCTTATAAGGGCACCCTGCTAACATTTACATGCCAGTCTGTATTGTCTTGTGTATATTACAGATTTTTTACAATAACCAGCAGAGTAGACGGGGGATATTGCCTAGTAACAATTATGGATAAAGTGTAAGTTTCACTGATGTTTAAAAGTATGTTCACCACTTCTCGATGTCTGAAAATATGTTAAATTTGTGTATGGTTTTGGTAAGCATCCCCTTTGTCCTAGTGTCATGTGTGCTTAATAAATCGAATACCCTACCCCTGTCTATATCTTGGGTCGTACAATGTTTGAAACCAATTTTTGATGTCCCAGGCTGTGGCCAATCTCATTAAAATCTCGCTACCGCTAAACAAAGATCTGAGGACATCCGATTACGGGTCAAATCAGACCGACCTTTCAAGAACTTTGACCGGCCAATGGAATGACTGACAAGAAGTCAACATTAGCCAATTAGAAGGCAGCTTTCTCACGCTTCACGGAACTAATTTCAAATTGACGACTACGCTTCAAAACATATTTTGCCAAATTCTCGATTAAAAATTTGAAACCTGAACAAAAGAACATTCTGGAATGGCTAATAGATGGTCTAGATTGGATGAATTCAGATGTATAGCCCGTGACTATCGTTGGGAATAGTTATCATGGTTGCATGATTAGAAATCACATTCCAACTGTCACTTTCATGATCTAGTAAGCAACGCTCTGATTGGTCTGATGAAAGGTCGTTCTGACGTGACCCCTAATGGGATGTCCTCAGTTCTTTGTTTAGCGGTACGGAGAACTAAGGTCTGATTTTAATGAGATTGAGGCTGTGGCGTAAAACATTCTCTGTCACCCTTAACATTGTGCAGTGTTATGACCTGCGGTTCCCTGAGATGTCTATAGCCTTGACCCAGCAGGGGTCTCAGATCTTGTCCTACCCCTCCGCCTTCACACAGACCACAGGCATGGCGCACTGGGAGGTAGGGGTCACTCAGTAGGGGGTCAGAGTTCACTGACGATACGCAATATGCCTAGCCTTGTATTAACTCATGTTTTGATTCAGTGTTGATTTTTATAATTAATATTTGTGAATTTTTGCACCTAACCTTGTATTGATTTCAGTTATAATTATGTGTCCATTTTTAAAATGTAGTATTTATGAAATATGGCAATTATCTGGTCTCGCAACCATTGGGCTAGCATTACCTAACATATAACACAAAGGAAAATGATAACTTGATGATTCGAAGAAGTCTAAATCATCCAGTCATGCGATGAATGGGTTGATAGCAACAACCTTATGTTAGCAGGACCATACTGAAAAGTTCAAGCAAAACGGTAACAGTAAGTATGGGATTCATAACATGTCATGAGGTTACGTTGAAATTGACAAGTCCTGAGCCCCTTCAGCTCACACCAGTCAGCACTGTATAGCAGGGATCTGTTCCAGGTCTTGTTTTCAAGCTCAGGACATTTTGGGGGTCTAAGCAGGGGTCCGGAAACCGTCATATTCGCCGGACATGTCCGATTGGGAATCTCAAATGTCCGTTTTAAAATATTGCTTACCGGACATTTTAAAAAGTATTGTCCGGACATTCTTAAATTTTGACCGGACATGATCAACAGTTAGGACTGAGCAGTTTCTGTCTGCAGTTGCAACACAATGAAGATTCACTACGTTAACAGATCGTAAACAAACGTATTTTTTCAATGTAAATCTAAAATGATATTATTTGTTATTAATTGTCCGGTGAATTAAACAATTTAAATTGAAACAATTCATAATTCATCATATTATGAATACGTAAACTTGTAATGTGTGTGAAAAGTCGTACTAAAATACGCTATTTGAAGGGGGCGTGGCCTAAATGCAAATGTCCGATTGGGATTTTAAATTTTCCGGACCCCTGGGTCTAAGCCTTGCTATATGTGGCTGGCTTAATTTGATTTCGAAATTTTTTACGTACGTCATAGGATTGCATCTGCTCAAAAGATTTTAACCTAATGGAAAGGGGGATTGTGATGTTAGACTGAAAAAAATCAACCATTGACAGCCTAAACTTGTTCGTGTTCAGAATACACATGTCAGAGATCTGACAAGCAATCTACAATTTTGACAGACTAGTTGTTCAAATAGTCATGCCAGTGTGTGTCCCACAGGACGCTGTAGGGTCGCAGTTGTACATTTTCCATTGGTACAACGTCATTTTTCAGAAACCTTTCCAACTCCATGTAAAAGTGATTTACACTGGTATTCTATCTTGCACAGACACAAGTTTGATTAAACTGCTGTTATGTTTCCAATTTTTAATATGTGGTAAAATTTTATCAATAACTGTTGACCTGTTGACTGTAACTCTTTCTCCATTATTCCTGAGCAGGTGTTGTTGAGAAGCCGTGCAATTGAGAACCAGTGCTACGTGGTTGCCGCTGCCCAGACTGGCAGACACAATGCCAAGAGGACATCATATGGTCATGCTATGGTAGGTTACATAGGGTCATGCTATGGTAGGTTACATAGGGTCATGCTGTGGTAGGAGACATAGGGTCATGCTATGGTAGGTTGCATATGGTCATGCTATGGTAGGTTACATAGGGTCATGCTATGGTAGGTTACATAGGGTCATGCTGTGGTAGGAGACATAGGGTCATGCTATGGTAGGTTGCATATGGTCATGCTATGGTAGGTTACATAGGGTCATGCTATGGTAGGTTGTATAGTGTTGTACTATGGTAGGTTGTATAGTGTTGTGCTATGGTAGGTTGCATATGGTCATGCTATGGTAGGTTACATAGGGTCATGCTATGGTAGGTTGTATAGTGTTGTGCTATGGTAGGTTGCATATGGTCATGCTATGGTAGGTTGTATAGTGTTGTGCTATGGTAGGTTGCATATGGTCATGCTATTGTAGGTTACATAGGGTCATGCTATGGTAGGTTACATAGGGTCATGCTATGGTAGGTTACATAGGGTCATGCTATGGTGGGTTGTATAGTGTTGTGCTATGGTAGGTTGCATATGGTCATGCTATGGTAGGTTACATAGGGTCATGCTATGGTAGGTTACATAGGGTCATGCTGTGGTAGGTGACATAGGGTCATGCTATGGTAGGAGACGTCATAGGGTTGTGCTTTGGTAGGTTGCATATGGTCATGCTATGGTAGGTTGTATAGTGTTGTGCTATGGTAGGAGACATATGGTCGTGCTATGGTAGGTTACATAGGGTCATGCTATGGTAGGTTACAGAGGGTCATGCTATGGTAGGTTACATAGGGTCATGCTGTGGTAGGTTGCATAGGGTCATGCTATGGTAGGTTACATAGGGTCATGCTGTGGTAGGTTACATAGGGTCATGCTATGGTAGGATACATAGGGTCATGCTATGGTAGGTTGCATATGGTCATGGTATGGTAGGAGACATATGGTCATGCTATGGTAGGTTACATAGTGTTGTGCTGTGGTAGGTTACATAGTGTTGTGCTGTGGTAGGTTGCATATGGTCATGCTATGGTAGGAGACATCATATGGTCATGCTATGGTAGGAGACATCATATGGTCATGCTATGGTAGGTTACATAGGGTCATGCTATGGTAGGTTACATAGGGTCATGCTATGGTAGGTTACATAGGGTCATGCTATGGTAGGAGACATCATAGGGTTGTGCTGTTGTAGGAGACATCATAGGGTCGTGCTATGGTAGGTTACATAGGGTCATGCTATGGTAGGAGACATCATAGGGTTGTGCTCTGGTAGGAGACATCATAGGGTCGTGCTATGGTAGGTTACATAGGGTCATGCTATGGTAGGAGATATCAGAGGGGTTGTGCTGTGGTAGGAGACATCATAGGGTCGTGCTATGGTAGGTTACATAGGGTCGTGCTGTGGTAGGAGACATATGGTCATGCTATGGTAGGTTGCATAGTGTTGTGCTGTGGTAGGACACATAGGGTTGTGCTGTGGTAGGAGACATCATAGGGTCGTGCTATGGTAGGTTACATAGGGTCATGCTATGGTAGGAGACATCATAGGGTTGTGCTGTGGTAGGAGACATCATAGGGTCGTGCTATGGTAGGTTGCATATGGTCATGCTATGGTAGGAGACATCATAGGGTCATGCTATGGTAGGAGACATCATATGGTCATGCTATGGTAGGTTGCATAGGGTCATGCTATGGTAGGTTACATAGGGTCATGCTATGGTAGGTTACATAGGGTCATGCTATGGTAGGAGACATCATAGGGTTGTGCTGTGGTAGGAGACATCATAGGGTCGTGCTATGGTAGGTTACATAGGGTCATGCTATGGTAGGAGACATCATAGGGTTGTGCTGTGGTAGGAGACATCATAGGGTCGTGCTATGGTAGGTTACATAGGGTCGTGCTGTGGTAGGAGACATATGGTCATGCTATGGTAGGTTGCATAGTGTTGTGCTGTGGTAGGAGACATAGGGTTGTGCTGTGGTAGGAGACATCATAGGGTCGTGCTATGGTAGGTTACATAGGGTCATGCTGTGGTAGGAGACATCATAGGGTTGTGCTGTGGTAGGAGACATCATAGGGTCGTGCTGTGGTAGAAGACATCATAGGGTCGTGCTGTGGTAGGAGACATATGGTCGTGGTATGGTAGGTTGCATAGGGTCGCGCTGTGGTAGGTTACATAGGGTCATGCTGTGGTAGGTTGCATAGTGTCGTGCTGTGGTAGGAGACATAGGGTCGTGCTGTGGTAGGTTGCATAGGGTCGCACTGTGGTAGGAGACATATAGTCATGCTATGGTAGGTTACATAGGGTCGCGCTGTGGTAGGAGACATCATAGGGTCGTGCTGTGGTAGGTTGCATAGGGTCGTGCTGTGGTAGGAGACATATGGTCATGCTATGGTAGGAGACATAGGGTCGTGCTGTGGTAGGTTGCATAGGGTCGTGCTGGGTAGGTTGCATAGGGTCGTGCTGTGGTAGGTTGCATAGGGTAGTGCTGTGGTAGGAGACATCATAGGGTCGTGCTGTGGTAGGAGACATATGGTCATGCTATGGTAGGTTGCATAGGGCCGTGCTATGGTAGGTTGCATAGGGTCATGCTATGGTAGGAGACATAGGGTCATGCTATGGTAGGAGACATATGGTCATGCTATGGTAGGTTACATAGGGTCGCGCTATGGTAGGAGACATATGGTCATGCTATGGTAGGTTACATAGGGTCGCGCTGTGGTAGGTTGCATAGGGTCGTGCTGTGGTAGGTTGCATAGGGTCGTGCTGTGGTAGGAGACATATGGTCATGCTATGGTAGGTTACATAGGGTCGCGCTGTGGTAGGTTGCATATGGTCATGCTATGGTAGGTTACAAAGGGTCGCGCTGTGGTAGGTTGCATAGGGTCATGCTATGGTAGGTTACATAGGGTCGCGCTGTGGTAGGTTGCATAGGGTCGTGCTGTGGTAGGAGACATATGGTCATGCTATGGTAGGTTACATAGGGTCGCGCTGTGGTAGGTTGCATAGGATCGTGCTGTGGTAGGAGACATCATAGGGTCGTGCTGTGGTAGGAGACATATGGTCATGCTATGGTAGGAGACATATGGTCGTGCTGTGGTAGGTTGCATAGGGTCGTGCTGTGGTAGGTTGCATAGGGTCGTGCTGTGGTAGGAGACATAGGGTCGCGCTATGGTAGGAGACATATGGTCATGCTATGGTAGGTTACATAGGGTCGCGCTATGGTAGGAGACATATGGTCATGCTATGGTAGGTTACATAGGGTCGTGGTGTGGTAGGTTACATAGGTTCGTGCTGTGGTAGGGGACATATGGTCATGCTGTGGTAGGTTACATAGGGTCGTGCTATGGTAGGTTACATAGGGTCGTGCTGTGGTAGGGTACATAGGGTCATGCTGTGGTAGGAGACATCATAGGGTCGTGCTGTGGTAGGAGACATATGGTCGTGCTGTGGTAGGTTACATAGGGTCGCGCTGTGGTAGGAGACATATGGTCGTGCTGTGGTAGGAGACATAGGGTCATGCTATGGTAGGAGATATATGGTCGTGCTGTGGTAGGTTGCATATGGTTGCACTGTGGTAGGAGACATATGGTCGTGCTGGGGTAGGAGACATATGGTCATGCTGTGGTAGGAGACATGGTCGCGCTGTGGTAGGAGACATATGGTCGTGCTGTGGTAGGTTACATAGGGTCGCGCTGTGGTAGGAGACATATGGTCGCGCTGTGGTAGGAGACATATGGTCGTGCTGTTGTAGGAGACATATGGTCGTGCTGTTGTAGTAGACATCATATAGTCGTGTTGTGGTAGGAGACATATGGTCATGCTGTGGTAGGAGACATATGGTCATGCTGTGGTAGGTGACATGATCGTGCTGTGGTAGGAGACATATGGTCGTGCTGTGGTAGGTTACATTTGGTCGTGCTGTGGTAGGAGACATAGGGTCATGCTGTGGTAGGAGACATATGGTCGTGCTGTGGTAGGTTGCATATGGTCGGGCTGTGGTAGTGGACATGGTCATGCTGTGGTAGGAGACATATGGTCGTGCTGTGGTAGGAGACATGGTCATGCTGTGGTAGGAGACATATGGTCGTGCTGTGGTAGGAGACATGGTCGCGTTGTGGTAGGAGACATATGGCTGATATATTCTGTGGTCTGTGGTAGAATAGAGACAAAGATTACATACATCAGGTCTGTCATACACAGTGCCGATTGGGTTTTTTTTAATTCAAGGGGATTAAGTATTTGTACAGCAATTTTATGGAATTAATATACCAAGTTTTATAACATATTTGTGTGTAGCCTTATCTGGCAGGATATTTAAGGTTTCAATTTGGACATTTGAAGGAAATACAGTGCAGTAAAACCCAGACAAGTGCAGCACTTTCCTTGTGGATAGGTAGAGTATCATGTACCTTAATCACAACGTCCAGCCTCAGATGGTGACAGTGTAGTAAGGAGTATACGTGAGACGTACAATTAACCATGAATGGTTGCAGACATCTTCCCGAGGCAAGGGAGTTAACTGACTATAAAGGTCCAGTTTCCACCCTCACCAAACTAGGATGGAATTTTGGAGTTACGTTTTTGGGGGGCGGTACTAACAAGTCTATACTTAGTCCAATCAAAATAGCATAATGAAATCGATGTTCGGTTCATAAATGGCCGAGGAGATTTCGCAGCCCCGAAGGGTTTATTCTCCCTGCAGATTTTTATTGTACGATAAACAACAACCACGAGTCGTTTATTTCTTAGATGAGATGTCATCATTATGTACAGCCTCTTTAAGGATTTTGATAAAATGTACACACTTTAAACATTTTACCAAACTTTTAATAATGATGAATAGAATCGGGCCTCAGAAATGTCGGACAAGTCCATTTTCGAACGGGTTGGTTAGGTTTGGTATTTTCCCCCATATTCTCACAATCCTCACATTGATTATATGTACCTTTTCTCCATATACAGATTGTCATGTCTTTCCCACTTTTGGATGCAATCGTTAAGCCACTGGGTTTACCTGCTACATCTACGGGGAACAACTCACTAGACACACCCATCTCAAAATAATGTCGTTGAAATTACGTCATCAAGTTGTGAGCGTATGTTCGAATCTCCAGAAATGACCGCATGATAGAACAATGTTTTATCGTGAAATAATCTTTGCGATTTATAGTCAGTTAACTCCTGTGCCTCAGGAAGATGGATTGTAGATTGATAATCCTGGACACTCAAATCCAGGGACAGACATGGTCACGAGTCTGTTAGTCCAAGTTTGGTGACAATCCAGAGGGACTAGCTGATTTCTGCCAAAAACTCACTATTATATAAACCACTTGCCCAGAATGAGCTGCTGACTAGATGGTTTTGACCAATGATGTCTTCCCCTGAAATGTTCTTACCATTATGTTGTAAAAGAATTCTTGCATCAAGTCTCACAAAACAGTTTCATTTTCTGGTAAGTCGTCTGGTGCTGTGATTAATCTCAGTGTTCCTGTCCTCATTAGATAGTAGACCCGTGGGGCCAGGTCGTCAGTGCGTGCAGTGATGGAGTGGACGTCTGTGTGGCGGAGGTAGACACGGACTATGTGGACAAAGTGAGGGAGCAGATGCCGGTGTGGCAACACCGTCGACACGACCTGTATGGGCATATACACACAGCAGCCAAATGTGAGTCTTGTGACCACAAGGAGGTCGGGGGCCTCAGTCTGCCCACAGCCCAAAATGCCAACAAAAGAAGTATGTAGGGGAAAGAGATAGTGGATCTTCAAGTAAAGTGGAATAGTGAGTGAGTTGGGTTTAACACCGCTTTTAACAGTATTACAGTTATATCGCGGCGTGTCAGCTTAATGTGGGAGGAAAGCCCGAAGCCATGCAGGTTTCAGACGTATACCACTTCGGTGAAACCCACGAGCACGGGTATGGTGCTGACAAACCTAGAAACATAATCGGGGCAAACCGGGATTCGAACCAACGATCATAGGTTTCTGGCATGCCCAAGGGACGCAACTCTGCACAGCGAATCGCGGCGCCTTAGACAACTGGGCCACCCATGCCACCTAAAGTGGAATAATCAAATTGTAGTCCAAGCAATAGAGTAAAGAAATGCATAAACATCTTAGTGATTTTTTTATATACAGTAGAACACGGATATAGCGAACAAACAGATACAACGAACTGTTAAAAAATCCCCGATTTATCTCCTATATAATATCATATAAAATTTACGTATATAACGAACTCTCTACAGCGAACTAACAGGTACAGCAATCTGATATCTGATCACCAGCAAGCCCATCTACCACTTGTTAGGGATGTGTAAAGCGAACTAAGATATCTCACTCAGTGTCAATTGTCACTGACAATTGGCGGTACGCAATCAACACAAACGCAGTGAATCGACACAATCAGCAGTGACGGATCAACCTTGTGAAACTTAAATGAATGTTATGAAATATTATCAGTTGAATGCTATGAAGTGATCACTGCTAATACAAGTCAATGCTGCAATTACGTGTATTGTGTTTTGTTTTATCCAAGATGGTGGACGTTTCCAAGCGAAAACGTATATAACGAACAACGGATATAACGGACTGATTTCTCTGGTCCCTTGTAGTTTGTTATATCCATGTTCTACTGTATGTGAGAAAATCAAAGCCACGGAAGTTTCCATGTTAAAAATCAGACATATACTAAAGATCTTGCATCTATACTAAACACTTTCCAGAGGTATTCTGTTAACCAAGAATTCATGGATAAGAGAACCTAGATGAAATGGGCTATTTTAAACAGCTTAGAGCCGTATATAGAAGTTGTAGTATCAACTGGGACTGCGTTGTCATGGATGTTAACTGCTTAGTTCTCTAATTTGACAGATGCTCATAGCTTTTTGAAGGTGAAAGAATAAAGTTTAAATTCATATGTTGATCCTGTCTTTGTGTTTTATTGTAATTTAGTGGTTATATGGGGAGCGGTTTTAATAACATAGATTATGGAGCTGAAGTTTAATTTTTATTTCTGTGTTTTTGTAGTTGAATGCCAAGATGTTATGGTTTCAGGCAAAGCTGATGACAGTCCAGAGTACGAATTTGGCCAGTACAGCATCAAGTCTGGCAATGTATTTTACAGATCAGCTCTGTCATACGGGTTTGTGAACATCAAGCCACTTCTGCCAGGCCGTATCCTTTGAGTTCTGTCAAGTAGATATATAGCAGCTTCTATATCAGTTTCAGAAAAACTTTGCATGATGGCAATATACATTCTTGTCTTTCCTTTAGAAATGTCAGACTGAGAATCAGTAAATATATTTTTGTCAGAGGTTGCACATTTAGCATGGAGAGAAAAATAGGCTTGTTTGATTAAGCATGACTTTTGCAATTTTAGTAATTTAGTTTAAAAAAGATTACTTGTTTTCAAAAATGTTTTTTTGATTAAGATTAAGAAAAAATAATAACGGCCATTATTACTATTACATTTGCAGTGTTGTAATGACCAACCATGCATAGAATATCCTAGTTGTAGTGTACTGTTATATATGTGCATGACAAGAAAATTAGGCAAAATCATTTTTCTTGACCATCTTGAGATGTGCTGGTATCACCGTTGAGACCTGCAGAGAGATTCTCAGACCTGACGGCTCCCGAGGTGGCCGACCTTTTCTCTGCTGTACAGGCCATCACACGGGTCATTGAGAAACACTACAAAGCCACGTCAGCCACAGTCGCCATTCAAGATGGCCCTGAAGCAGGTCAAACGGTCAAGGTCAGTACCACATATCATTGCCATATCTTACAACCTTGTGATGCCATGATGGCCACAGTCGCCATTCAAGATGGGCCTGAAGCAGGTCAAACGGTCAAGGTCAGTACCACATATCATTGCCATATCTTACAACCTTGTGATGCCATGATGGCCACAGTCGACATTCAAGATGGCAGGTCAGATGGTGGAGGTCAGTCCACGTGGTAACATCTTGTCTTACGACCTTGAGCTTACAGACACATACTGTGACGTCATGATGCCTAAGTCGCCATTCTAGGTGATAGGTCACATAGTCAAGGTCCTTACCAAATAGTATCTGTTTTAGGTTACAGACAAGATGCCACAACAGGGGTCAGCAGATTTATTGATTCTTGTACATGCTGTATCTGTACTGTCATTGTTCTGTCAATTGATTGTGACATCATGGTAACCGATGGCGCCACAATGGTCTGCAAAGCATTGTGATGTAATATTGTTGTGGCTACCAACGTGTATGGTGTGTCTGTTTCAGCATGTGCATGTGCATATTCTGCCCCGGAAGAAGGGAGACTTTGAGAAGAATGACGACATCTACAGCAAGGTAAGGTTTATTTGTAATACAACTCTATCAAATTATCTTCATGAAACTATGTAATGACTGAGGATGCTACAAGATGAGTAGGATTTCAAAGAAAGAAATTGTTTTCCTTATGCTGACCATATGTCTATGGGTAAAGTGTATCCCCGGTCTGTTATCGGAGGAGACGAAAATTGGGATTTAGTTTCCATAATGGCTGTTTGTTATATATTGTAAGTGGCTTTCAATAAAACTTGATTGGTTTAATAGAGACTCTAATCTTCATTGGATTTTGTTGACAGTTGGAGGAGCATGACCAAGAAATTGGCTCCGACAGAACACTTAGGACAGAGGAGGAGATGGCAGCAGAGGCACTCACTCTCCGACCATACTTCACATAGTGTTGACAGACCCTCCAGGTCTCCCTCCTTGCGCCTCCTTCACATAGTGTTGACAGACTCTCCAAGCCCCTACTTCACACCACCATCATTACCCAGAGTAGAGCCTCTCCCTCCCGGCCCCTACTTCACACCATCATCACCAAGAGAAGAGGCTCTCTCCTCTGGCCCCTATTTCAATCATCACCAAGAGAAGAGGCTCTCCCTCTCACCCCCTACTTCACACCATCATCACCAAGAGAAGAGGCTGTCGCTCCCAGCTCCTACTTCCCGCCCCCATCACCAAGAGAAGAGGCTCTCCCACCCAGCCCCTACTTCACACCATCATCACCAAGAGAAGAGGCTCTCCCTCCCAGCCCCTACTTCACACCACCATCACCAAGAGAAGAGGCTCTCCCTCCCAGCCCCTACTTCACACCCTCATCACCAAGAGAAGAGGCTCTCCCTCCCGGCCCCTACTTCACACCATCATCACCAAGAGAAGAGGCTGTCGCTCCCAGCTCCTACTTCCCGCCCCAATCACCAAGAGAAGAGGCTCTCCCTCCCGGCCCCTACTTCACACCATCATCACCAAGAGAAGAGGCTGTCGCTCCCAGCTCCTACTTCCCGCCCCAATCACCAAGAGAAGAGGCTCTCCCACCCGGCCCCTACTTCACACCATCATCACCAAGAGAAGAGGCTGTCGCTCCCAGCTCCTACTTCCCGCCCCCATCACCAAGAGAAGAGGCTCTCCCACCCAGCCCCTACTTCACACCATCATCACCAAGAGAAGAGGCTCTCCCTCCCAGCCCCTACTTCACACCACCATCACCAAGAGAAGAGGCTGTCGCTCCCAGCTCCTACTTCCCGCCCCCATCACCAAGAGAAGAGGCTCTCCCACCCAGCCCCTACTTCACACCATCATCACCAAGAGAAGAGGCTCTCCCTCCCGGCCCCTACTTCACACCACCATCACCAAGAGAAGAGGCTCTCCCTCCCAGCCCCTACTTCACACCCTCATCACCAAGAGAAGAGGCTCTCCCTCCCGGCCCCTACTTCACACCATCATCACCAAGAGAAGAGGCTCTCCCTCCCGGCCCCTACTTCACACCATCATCACCAAGAGAAGAGGCTCTCCCTCTTAGTCCTTACATCCCTATAGTCAAGAGATGTTCATATCATTTACAGAATATGTAGCTGTAGTCATTGTATATATTTTTAGGCAGTTAAACTAGTGTACTGAGTGTAATCTCGAGTTGTGATGTAGTGAGAAAAATTAGAGTGAATGGTTAATGTTTAGAGATTGTTATACAAGTATGCCTGTCATCCTGATTTTATGAATTTATGAGTGTCAGAATTCTTGTTTTTTGTAGTACACATACGATTTATATGAACTAGGTTATTTCTAACCCTATGGGTTATAAATGGGTTAAAGACATGAGGGTTTCTTGAGATGAATTCTTGCTTTAATCAGACAAGAATCAAAGTGGTGTACAGCATATTGCTTTGTTGTGCCCATCTACAAGAATTCCAAATATATTACAAACGATACTGTGTTAATATAAACTTATATGCATTGTTGGGATATTTATTGATTGTATATTGAATAAAACTAATGATGAAGACAATTTATATTTTACATTGATTTTCATGATTTTTTCTTTTCCATTGCCCCTGTGAATCCTGGTAAGAATTGGTCTTCAACAACATATGCTTGTACCACCATGAAGATCCGGGTTAGTAGAATGGGTCTTCAGCCACCCATGCTTGTACCACCATGAAGATCCGGGTTAGTAGAATGGGTCTTCAGCCACCCATGCTTGTACCACCATGAAGATCCGGGTTAGTAGAATGGGTCTTCAGCCACCTATGTTTGTACCACCATGAAGATCCAGGTTAGTAGAATGGGTCTTCAGCAACCCATGCTTGTACCACCATGAAGATCCGGGTTAGTAGAATGGGTCTTCAGCCACCCATGCTTGTACCATCATGAAGATCCGGGTTAGTAGAATGGGTCTTCAGCCACCCATGCTTGTACCACCATGAAGATCCGGGTTAGTAGAATGGGTCTTCAGCCACCCATGCTTGTACCACCATGAAGATCCGGGTTAGTAGAATGGGTCTTCAGCCACCCATGCTTGTACCACCATGAAGATCCGGGTTAGTAGAATGGGTCTTCAACAACATATGCTTGTACCACCATGAAGATCCGGGTTAGTAGAATGGGTCTTCAGCCACCCATGCTTGTACCACCATGAAGATCCGGGTTAGTAGAATTGGTCTTCAGCCACCCATGCTTGTACCACCATGAAGATCCGGGTTAGTAGAATGGGTCTTCAACAACATATGCTTGTACAACCATGAAGATCCGGGTTAGTAGAATGGGTCCTCAGCCACCCATGCTTGTACCACCATGAAGATCCGGGTTAGTAGAATTGGTCTTCAGCCACCCATGCTTGTACAACCATGAAGATCCGGGTTAGTAGAATGGGTCTTCAGCCACCCATGCTTGTACCACCATGAAGATCCGGGTTAGTAGAATTGGTCCTCAGCCACCCATGCTTGTACCACCATGAAGATCCGGGTTAGTAGAATGGGTCTTCAGCCACCCATGCTTGTACCACCATGAAGATCCGGGTTAGTAGAATGGGTCTTCAGCCACCCATGCTTGTACCACCATGAAGATCCGGGTTAGTAGAATGGGTCTTCAGCCACCCATGCTTGTACCACCATGAAGATCCGGGTTAGTAGAATGGGTCTTCAGCCACCCATGCTTGTACCACCATGAAGATCCGGGTTAGTAGAATGGGTCTTCAGCCACCCATGCTTGTACCACCATGAAGATCCGGGTTAGTAGAATGGGTCTTCAGCCACCCATGTTTGTACCACCCTGCTGGTAAGAGGCGACTAACGGAATCTAGTGGTCAGGATGCCGTTGTACCACTAGATACTGTTGGGTCTACAGCAACCGATGCTTGCCATAACAGGTGACAATGCTTGTTGTAAGACGCGACTAACGGGATCTAGTGGTAAGGATGCCGTTGTACCACTAGATACTGTTAGGTCTACAGCAACCCATGCTTGCCATAACAGGTGACAATGCTTGTTGTAAGAGGCGACTAACGGGATCTAGTGGTCAGGATGCCGTTGTACCACTAGATACTGTTAGGTCTACAGCAACCGATGCTTGCCATAAGAGGAGACAATGCTTGTCGTAAGAGGCGACTAACGGATCGGGTGGTCAGGTTCGCTGACTTGGTTGATGCATGTCATCGTATCCCAATTGCGTCGATGGATACTCTTCAAATCAGTCACTGTATTTACATATAGCTGGAATATTGCTGAGTGAGGTGTTAAACAACAAACAAACTTTCCCATTGGGACTAACAATGAGAATAGTTCACCAATCGATTGTCATCAGAGCGAACAACAATGAGGAGAAATACAGATACAGAACCTGAAAGAGCCACACCAAGTGTGTTATACCACCGTATTTACTTTTAATATTTGTTAGCAGGCACCTTAAAACAAGTTATAGGGCGAGTTCATATGCGTATTTTATGCAGATTTGCAGCTTGTATGAATATATTATATTTTAAATTCTGATCGATAGGGATATGGCCAGACTAAGAGTAGCAACGGAACATGCACATCTTCAGGCTAAACATCCAGGGGAAACTTTACAAGATCCTGGAATACAAAACCAGGGTAGGTGCATCTCGTCACTAAAATGGCCGACAAATCAGTTTAAAATTAAAGTGAAATGAATAGTTTAAAATTACCCCAACAGTTCCTACTGCAACAGGCACATTGCTGGTTTGATGTAAGCGCAAGATGCCCCAAACCTCCTAAAACAGCACAGGAAGGTTTGAGAGCGATACTTTTAAAACAAAATCTACTCGCATTCAATCCCATTAAAATCAGACCTTAGTTCTCGCTACCGCTAAACAAATATCTGAAGACATTCCATTAGGGGTCACGTCAGAACGACCTTTCTTCCGACCAATCAGAGCGTCGCTTACCAGATTATGAAAGTGACAGTCGGAATGTGATTTCTAATCATGCAACTTTGAAAACTTTATTCCCAACGATAGTTACGGGTTTAACGACTGAATCCATACAATCTAGCCCATCTATTAGCCATTCCAGAATGTTCTTTTGTTTCAAATTTGTAATCGAGAATTTGTCAAAATATGTTTCGAAGCGTAGTCGCCAATTTGAAATTAGTGCCGTAAAGCACGAGAAAGCTGCCTTCTGACTGGTCATTCCATTGGTCGGTCAAAGTTCGCGCAAGGTCGGTCTGATATTACCCGTAATGGGATGTCTTCAGATCTTTGTTGAGCGGTAGCGAGAACTAAGATCTGATTTTTATGAGATTGACTCGCATTTAAAGCTTAAAGTATAAACTAATTGATCTTACATGTCTTAGAGAAATACTGAAAGGTTTGCAAGTTGTGGCAGTGGAAACAACCCCTATCCTCAGTCGCTTGATGTACCTGTACATACGTGGAAAAGTTCAGATGAAAACTCTATATGAAAGTAGTGAACCGTTTATCAGTTGTGTCCTGGTAACGACCCCTACCTACATTTGAACAAAGTGCAATTTGTTTCTTAAAACCGCTAAAATCTTATTAAACATATCATGAATATCAAAAACTCTTCTGATTTTTATATGTTTTCAAAATAATATTGAACAGCTTATATATGCTAAGGTCGGGAAATCTTCATTTCCACATTAGTCCGACTTGCTGCCTTGGGGAAAATACTAACTTTAAAAAATCCGGACTAGCAACTGCCTTACTGGTGTGTGTGTGTAAGTTTCACGTTACATCCCAGAAGAAAACCTTGCTCGTTTTTAACCTACCGTAAATCGTAGAAGAAACGCCGATACATTAGCGACATCGAGGACAGGCATTTGAACAATTTAACATGGAAAGAAAAGCTACACACAAAGCAAGTTCTGTCGCGAATGGACACCGGGGTGCCGTTGTACAAAGCGGTCTTAGTGCTAAGGTGACCATAACTCCAATAGATTAACATAGACTTACGACAGAAGGTTGTTTTGTACAACGTCACCCAGGTCAATGGACCTTCCGAAAGATATGGAAAACTTTGATGCGAGGCATCAACATGGCGCGAAAACCTCTCCGTGGGACAACATTAGGTCAACTTGGGGGAATAAAAGAAACATAAAAGTGTCACAGATTATGTATGTGAAACAAATATATGTGTCACAGGTTACCGTGACTAGAGACCATAAAATATATGTCTCTGCTGTGACTTGCATGTTTGTTTCACAATTATTAATATCCTTGTTTCTCATATTTGTTTCACATATTTGTTTACATTCAATAAAACAGCAAGACATGAGGCTTGGTAATGGGTAAACTTACAACCGCTTCCTATAATGTATTACTGTGTATTATAGGAAGCGTCTTATGGCGTAACTCGACCAATTATTTCTTCAATATGCAGAAAGGAGCGGCTGGTACGTGGCATATAGTGGTTAAAGTGTTTGTTCGTCACGTCGAATGCCCGCATTCGATGACCCAGCGGTCGCAATGTGTGAAGCTTATTTCTGGTGTCATCTGAGCTGATGTTGAGGGGAATATTTCTAAAAGCGGTGCTGAACCCTTCTCTGCCACTCCTTCGTCAATACCCAGCGAAGCTTACGTAAAATATATTCGGGATTTTTTTTTTATGAAAGAACAGGGTGTCAGAAAATATATCTCCCTCTCATTACCCGAAGAAAATGCTGGAATTCATGGCGTCTTATTCGTAATATTTCTTTATAAATCCACATTATGGCCGCAAATCATTTAATTCATGTTAAACCAAAAGATGAAAAAAAGAATGTCAGTGCATATCGTTACAATTCAGTACACTACAGTATACGTCCTATAGTCCAAAATTATTATCTCCAACGAGAATAATAAGTTGCAAATTTGGGTTGAAGCAGCATTTTAAACAAAATTTTCTTTCATGCGCAGGAAATGTGACATTCTCTTTATCCTTTCCATGCTGGGTCCGTCTTTTTGTAAGCTGGAGGTGTGTCGCTCAAGACGAAGATCATTGGTTGGTGTCCTTACCTTCACCTTTGAAACCAACATGGCATCCATTGGCTCGCTAAAGGTAAACCTGCATGGGATCATTGCTTTGTACGAAAGCATATTGAAAAAAAAGAAAGAGAAAGTTTCATTTTATTGTTTACCACTTAGTGTCCCGTTTAAACATCTTTGTATCGTGTAGCGACATCGTTTATTGTTTACTAGATCCTAATAGTGTTCAAAGTTCACCTGACTGAAACTGTGAAAGTCAAACAACTAGTGGAGTATGTTTAGTTGACTCCTTTTGATAAACTTAATTTTATATATTTATGTTATTTTGGAAAGAACTTATTTAATTGAGTTATGCTTGTTATTTCGTTTTGAATTAGCTTTTAATACCTTAGACAAATTTTCGTATCCTGAAAAAAGCCATGGAAATTTGTCATGCAAATAGACCTAGTGTATGTCAACTCTGATGAAAAAACCTCCTTAAGACAGAGTAAAACTTGACAAATACATTCTGCAGGGCATTGCTGTCATGTTAGATGGCCCAGTTCGCATTCGCAGGTCAGAATTCTGGGAATAGGCCCCCCCCTACTTTTTGTTGTATGAGGCAAATTAATGAATGGGTGGTCTGGCTCAGAGATTTGGTTGATTATGTGATATCATGCCGGAAAGCGTGGCTAGATACATGGATAGGCGCTCACAATCAATTATTGATAATGTTGTATATGCAGAGTCATGTAGAGCTGTGTTGAGTGGTGTGACACGGCATGATGTTAATGGCCTGTGTTGTGCATACAGGGTCTTGTAGGGCTGGTGATGGGTGGAGCGTCAGGCCTCGGGCGTGCCACAGTGTAGGATGTTAATGGCCTGTGTTGTGTATACAGGGTCTTGTAGGGCTGGTGATGGGTTGAGCGTCAGGCCTCGGGCGTGCCTCAGTGTAGGATGTTAATGGCCTGTGTTGTGTATACAGGGTCTTGTAGGGCTGGTGACGGGTGGAGTGTCAGGCCTCGGGCGTGCCTCAGTGTAGGATGTTAATGGCTTGTGTTGTGTATACAGGGTCTTGTAGGGCTGGTGATGGGTGGAGCGTCAGGCCTCGGGCGTGCCTCAGTGTAGGATGTTAATGGCCTGTGTTGTGTATACAGGGTCTTGTAGGGCTGGTGATGGGTGGAGCGTCAGGCCTCGGGCGTGCCTCAGTGTAGGATGTTAATGGCCTGTGTTGTGTATACAGGGTCTTGTAGGGCTGGTGACGGGTGGAGTGTCAGGTCTCGGGCGTGCCACAGTGTAGGATGTTAATGGCCTGTGTTGTGTATACAGGGTCTTGTAGGGCTGGTGACGGGTGGACAACAGGCCTCGGGTGTGCCACAGTGTAGGATGTTAATGGCCTGTGTTGTGTATACAGGGTCTTGTAGGGCTGGTGACGGGTGGACAACAGGCCTCGGGCGTGCCACAGTGTAGGATAATGTTAATGGCCTGTGTTGTGTATACAGGGTCTTGTAGGGCTGGTGACGGGTGGAGTGTCAGGCCTCGGGCGTGCCACAGTGTAGGATGTTAATGGCCTGTGTTGTGTATACAGGGTCTTGTAGGGCTGGTGACGGGTGGACAACAGGCCTCGGGCGTGCCACAGTGTAGGATAATGTTAATGGCCTGTGTTGTGTATACAGGGTCTTGTAGGGCTGGTGACGGGTGGACAACAGGCCTCGGGCGTGCCACAGTGTAGGATGTGAATGGCCTGTGTTGTGTATACAGGGTCTTGTAGGGCTGGTGACGGGTGGACAACAGGCCTCGGGCATGCCACAGTGTAGGATAATGTTAATGGCCTGTGTTGTGCATACAGGGTCTTGTAGGGCTGGTGACGGGTGGAGCGTCAGGCCTCGGGCGTGCCTCAGTGTAGGATGTTAATGGCCTGTGTTGTGTATACAGGGTCTTGTAGGGCTGGTGATGGGTGGAGTGTCAGGCCTCGGGCGTGCCACAGTGTAGGATGTTAATGGCCTTTTGTTGTGTATACAGGGTCTTGTAGGGCTGGTGACGGGTGGACAACAGGCCTCGGGTGTGCCACAGTGTAGGATGTTAATTGCCTGTGTTGTGTATACAGGGTCTTGTAGGGCTGGTAATGGGTGGAGTGTCAGGCCTCGGGCGTGCCACAGTGTAGGATGTTAATGGTCTGTGTTGTGCATACAGGGTCTTGTAGGGCTGGTGATGGGTGGAGCGTCAGGCCTCGGGCGTGCCACAGTGTAGGATAATGTTAATGGCCTGTGTTGTGTATACAGGGTCTTGTAGGGCTGGTGACAGGTGAAGCGTCAGGCCTCGGGCGTGCCACAGTGTAGGATGTTAATGGCCTGTGTTGTGTATACAGGGTCTTGTAGGGCTGGTGATGGGTGGAGCGTCAGGCCTCGGGCATGCCACAGTGTAGGATAATGTTAATGGCCTGTGTTGTGTATACAGGGTCTTGTAGGGCTGGTGACGGGTGGAGTGTCAGGCCTTGGGCGTGCCTCAGTGTAGGATGTTAATGGCCTGTGTTGTGTATACAGGGTCTTGTAGGGCTGGTGATGGGTGGAGCGTCAGGCCTCGGGCGTGCCACAGTGTAGGATAATGTTAATGGCCTGTGTTGTGTATACAGGGTCTTGTAGGGCTGGTGACAGGTGAAGCGTCAGGCCTCGGGCGTGCCACAGTGTAGGATGTTAATGGCCTGTGTTGTGCATACAGGGTCTTGTAGGGCTGGTGATGGGTGGAGCGTCAGGCCTCGGGCGTGCCACAGTGTAGGATGTTAATGGCCTGTGTTGTGTATACAGGGTCTTGTAGGGCTGGTGACGGGTGGACAACAGGCCTCGGGCGTGCCACAGTGTAGGATGTTCATTGCCTGTGTTGTGTATACAGGGTCTTGTAGGGCTGGTGATGGGTGGAGCGTCAGGCCTCGGGCGTGCCACAGTGTAGGATGTTAATGGCCTGTGTTGTGTATACAGGGTCTTGTAGGGCTGGTGATGGGTGGAGTGTCAGGCCTCGGGCGTGCCACAGTGTAGGATGTTAATGGCCTGTGTTGTGCATACAGGGGCTTGTAGGGCTGGTGACAGGTGGAGTGTCAGGCCTCGGGCGTGCCACAGTGTAGGATGTTAATGGCCTGTGTTGTGTATACAGGGTCTTGTAGGGCTGGTGACGGGTGGAGCGTCAGGCCTCGGGCGTGCCACGGTGGAGAGGTTCGTGAGGCAGGGTGCCAGGGTAGTGCTGTGCGACCTGCCTTCATCAAATGGAGAGGAAGTAGCCAAGCACCTCGGAGACAACTGTGTGTTTGCTCCAACAAACGTATGTTGTCATGATTTTCCATGTGATTTTGTAACTCATAACGACAATGGTTTTCTATATATATGGATTTAGTCAGTGTTTACTCGTAGCCTTCAATGCCTTCAAAGATCAATTTATTAAAGACTTTTGACTTTACAAATTATATGAGAAAGATTTATGAATTATTGTTTGTAACTTGTATCATGTTAATGGGTTGAAAACCATAATTGGTTATTAGCTGATCTGCCTTGTAGTGATGGTCCTGATTTGTTTAAAGTTAACACAACACAACAAGTGATTGTGGTGACATGAAGTAATAGATCAAAATTATTCTGTCAAAATGTGTTTTTATTTGTGTGGAAGATAGCATGTTCTTCATCTTCTTAGCTCATCCTTCAATGGATATCTTATGTCACCTTCTTTGGTTAGTTTCAACTATTGATGCACTTTGTATTTAGTACATGTTTAGTAGGGCTGGCTATCGAAACAGATCATAGAGATCGATAATCGTTAAATAAGTATCGATCAATTATCAATAAATATTGGAGAAGTAACTTTAATAAAAATATTCAAAAAAAAGTCCGAGGGAAATTAACACACTTCATACCACTGGTAAGTGCATGGATTAATTACTCTGTGGACGTTAAAGTTACAACAAAAACAGTTGCTTTCCGTCTTTGGCAATTGACATGATTGATAATAACAAGTCTGTTTGGTAAATTTAAACTTTATTTCATCACAATTGTTCAGGTAAGATATTATCGACAACACAAGTTTTACGTCGATAATCATTAATATTTCTTACCATCAACGATAATGACAATTATCGACTATTTTAGCCAGCTCTACTTTTTAGCGTGTAGTTTATGTTTTCCACTTCCAGGTAACATCAGAAGCTGATGTGAAGAATGCTCTCAGTGTTGCCCAGAGCAAGTTTGGGGGGTTGAATGTTGCAGTCAACTGTGCTGGTATTGGAGTGGCCTTCCAAACATACAACTTCAAGTCACAGACGCCGCATGATCTGGAGGACTTCAAGAGAGTGTTGGAGGTAGCTCAGAGGTCCTCCTGTGTCTAATTAAGATTCCCAGTGCCTCAAGCCTGTTTTGTATAGAGACTAGGGCTGGGACGACTCCAAATTTACTCCCTGGGTACCTGTCCCCTTATTACCTGACCCTAGGGTAGCCTAGTGGTTATAGCATTTGCTTGTCACACTGAAGACCCATTCCTGACATGGGTACAATGTGTGAATATACACGGTAATATACCTGGAATTTACCCCTATGATGCTCATGTTGTCACTCACTGGTTTGTCCAGCTCAGACAGTGCACAACAAGGGGAGTCAAGCAGATGTTGTTTTTTTTGTTTCAGACTGCAGAGTAAAATAAAATTCACTGATTCATACTCACCCTGTCCAACATTGCTTAACTTCATCTGATTTATTAGCTCTGTGCTGCCACCAAAATGTATATCATACAGGTATTCTGTAAGTCAGAAGACCTCTAATTTTAAGGGTTGTCATCTATATAGACAGCCTGCACTCATTCTGACTCATTGCCCCAGGTGAACGCTACAGGAACCTTCAACGTGATCCGTCTAGCCGTGGGTCTGATTGACAAGAACGAGCCGAACACCGACAACCAGCGCGGCGTCATCATCAACACCGCCAGCGTTGCAGCCTTCGACGGCCAGAGGGGGCAGGTGGCATACGCAGCAAGTAAAGGGGCCATTGTTGGCATGACCCTCCCTATTGCCCGAGATCTGGCCAGAAGGGGGATCCGTATCTGTACCATAGCGCCAGGTAGGTATTGTCAGTGTCTGGCTTCTCCTTTCACAGACACATTTATATAGAGAAGTAGAACTGACGTACTGTGATGGTATGGATGAAGGACCGCCTCAGGTATTTCTGTTGGTGCGTGACTCTTTACTGTGAATATTATCTCTACAAATGTATATGAATATTTTTCCAGGTTTATTCTACTATTTATGAATTTTTGCCGAACAAAAACTCATCAAAGACTCACAAATGTACTTGAATATTTTTCTAGGTTTATTCTACGATTTATGAATTTTTGCCAAACAGAAACTCATCAAAGACTCACAAATGTACTTGAATATTTTTCCAGGTTTATTCGACACCCCTCTGCTGGCTGGTCTGCCAGAGAAAGTTAGGAGCCACCTTGCCAGCACCATACCATTCCCAAGTCGGCTCGGGGACCCAGATGAATACGCCCACCTGGCCCAGTCCATTGTGGAGAACCCTCTGTTGAACGGAGAAGTTATACGTGTTGATGGAGCTCTCAGAATGATGCCATGAATATCTAGACTCGCTCAGACTTAAACAAATTATCGTGATGATTGTATGTGTGTGTGTCCAGGGATCATGGCCGTGGGACCATGTAGTGCTATATAAACAGCTGTGCTCGATTTATTGATTAAAACTATGATGTACAGATTATATTTTTTATGTTTTGTTTTTACCTTGTGGATACCTTACTAAATTATACAATAATCTCTTAAAATTGTTTGTCTCAACATTTGACAAGAACAACATCAGGCACTCTGCAGTGTTGTGTCCCTTAACCGTGCTAGGATCCACTACTTGTGGTGATGCTGCCATCATTTAGATGGAATATTGCTGAGTGCGCATTAAACAACAAACAAATAATACAGACTTGTGGTGATGAAGGTCAGATATATTTAACTCCTTGGTGAAACCCATGATCACAGCCATGGAGCTGATAATCCTAGAAAAGATTATCAAGGCGAATCTGGGGGTTCAAACAAGATCATAGAATCCTGGAAGGGCTAAGGGATGCAACTCTGCCAAGCGAAGTGTAGTGCTCATTGTGACTGGAACACCTGGGTCCCGCCATAACATGGGTGTGGTACTTCAACAATATTCTAAAACACTAAGATTACATGATGGCTCTAAATGTTGGATCATGTTTTATAGCACAGCAGTATTACAAGAAAATAATATACACATAGACAGGGACCACCTCTATGGTCTAGTGGATAGAGCATCTGCCCTGAGAGCCCAAGGCAGGTGGTTCAATTCCCTGGCTTTGTCATACCAAAAGACATTAAAGTATGGTACTTGTTACCCTGCCTGGCGCTCGACATTGAGGGGGTGAACAAGGACCGTTAAGCTTGGAGTCAGTATACCGTGTGCCATACCCATGTTAACACCAGTACCATGAATTCCAGACCGCCTCTCTGGTCTAGTGGTAGAGTGTCCGCCCGGAGAGCGGAAGGTCAGGAGTTTGATCCCCGGCCGCGTCATACCAAAAGACATTAAAAGATGGTACTTGTTGTTACCCTGTCTGGCGCTCGGCATTAATGGGCTAAAACAAGGACTGGTCGTCTCGGAGTCAGTATACTGTGTCTGAGTGGGGTATTCATGTTAAACAGCGGCATGGTATCTCAGTGGACTAGCACTATACATCGGCATCAGTCCGGACTAGTACAAGCAGCCACACACACACGTGCGTGCATGCATGTCGCTATATAAGTGCTATAATCTTGGACGACGTAAAACCAAATTTCACCTCACCATGAATTCCAATACTAGCAGCAACACACATGTACGCATGTTGCTATGAAAGTGCAATAAACATGAACAGGAACAAATATAGTCTCCCGTACCAAAATCTCATTCAAAGCCAATCGGCAATTCTTTAATTGAAAACCAACAAAAGATGAGTGAAATGTGTCTATCATTTAATTACTTTTCATGAAATATATACAGTGAAAACTTAGTCATGAACTCATTCAATCAGTCTTACATTGTTATTATTATAATAATGTGTAAAGTCTATCTTTGAGTCTGAACATGTAAATAGACATAAACATATCAGTTTTGTTTAAAGGGAAGAGTAATTTTCAATAATGTTTATGTAACCAACCGTGTTGATGCTGACCCTGATTGTTCAAATACTTGTGGGGAAGACTGATAAATCCAGCATGGCATTTTCAAGATGGCCGTCCTGGTGTGTGGGTGGGTGTTGGTGGGAAGGGGGACATCTTCCCGAGACAAGAGAGTTAACTGACTTAAAAAGTCCAGTTTCCACCCTTGCCGAACTAGGAGGATATCTTCACAAGGCAAGAAAGTTAACTGACTTAAAAAGTCTAGTTTCCACCCTTGCTGAACTAGGATGGAATTACTGGGCTCCATCGTAGCGCCAACAGTGGCTTTTACCAGTTATGTCCCTTCTGAGCCTCTCCTATGGACCAATCAAATTCCACCTCTCGTATCACTTGCGTTTGCTTCACACAAAATGGTGGCGCCCAGTCAGGACGATCTGATCGATAATCAAGATCTATATTGTGATAAAACGGGTCTTACATCGCGAAATGCATCAAATCACGTGAGCACCTTGATTAAAAACATGAAAAGATTTGGAAAATATCTGCTGACAACGAGTTGGCGATGCACATGCTTTGCAAATCCTGCAATCGACCGAAATCTGCACAACAGTTTATGAACCGTATTTCGATTTCGGTGAGCGATTTTGATTGGACTATGCATAGACTCATAAGTCCAGCCAAAATGTAACTCCATAATGCCAGCCTAGTTGGGCAAGGGTGGAAACTGGACTTTTATAGTCCCTTAACTCTCTTGCCTCGGGAAGATGGAAGGGGGATGGAGCTATGGAAACAATTGCTTGGTTAACCAATCAAATGGCACAGAATCACTAGCAGTTCAATTATTTTATGTTAACTCAAATCCGTAGGTACTTGAACAAAGCATAAGAAGTTGATCAAATACATTGACACGAGCAGGGTGTATGTGATGTTACAAGCTGAATGGTCCTGTACACTGTGGGGTACACACAAACGTTCAGCTCCTGCAACCCCTACACCACTCGGGGGACACGAGGAACAAACTTATCACTAAGTTCACAAGTGACAAAGACTTAATTTCAGTGAAAAATATTTCTGTGACTGGACTTTTACTATGGTAACTCAGGTACGACCAGGATCTGTTATGATGTAACAAGTGTAACGGCACATCATGCTTATGACATCCGTACAAGCAGACTTACTGACAAGTATGGGTTTTATAAGATGTCCGCTGGCCAATCAGAGAGCTAGATATAATAACAAATTGTTACTTTCAGTTCCCCCATGCTGTGGTATCTCAGATGTTGATGTCTGACAATGATGACAACGGGCGGCAGACGAGCAGTCCATAATATTTTAGCACAAGTGCAGGTGAGCTGAAAGTTCGTTGACATTTTAGCTCACCTAGTCTGATGCTAGACAATGTCGTGGCATGCTGTCAGTCGTTCGTTTGCCATCCAATCATTGACTTCTGAGAAACCACTGCATGCAGCGAAGAAACCAAAATTATTTTTTAATTATCAGCCATATTGAAATTTCTTTTGTGGACTATCCCTCAAGGATTTTGGCAAGTATAGGTGTGTAATTAGGTTTAAAGCTTCTCATAAATGTTTCAAAAGCTTTTACCCATAATGAATATATAAATGTGAATGGATTCTCTAAATACTATAAACTGTTTGTTTCCCTGGTGACGGTCTCCATGGTTACAGCTTATATATATGACATGCTCAGACTCAGTGTCGGATCTATTGTTAACAGTTCATTCCATGTAAGTGTGATTTTATCCACATTTTACAACCCATCTTGCACGATCTTGTGCAACCAAATGTGCATATGAAGCCATAGAGAGCCATGGACTCAATAGCTCACCTAGATGTTCAAAGAAGAAACCACAACGTTCAATATTCCCATTGCTGCCTGAGCGACATAACTGACATATACTCACCGACAAAAGAAACGTGAATACCATACATGTCGGTTAATAGATGAAGAATTACTCATATGCAAGAGATATTAGATTGTTTTGATGCACAAACAAATATCCAGTTATGTTGTGTGAACCAAGGCTCATGAATGCATCACATGTGACGCATAGATCCATGACTCGAGATGCAACATTTGTCTCAGACAGGATTAGCGTGTACAGTTTTGAAATCATGGGCAGCATATATAATATATTATTATGATAAGAATAAGGGCACTCTGTGGTAAAACTTGACCGATTGTTAGTTTTGTCATTAATTGGTACACACTGGAAACATCTCCTCTTAACGTACATACTTCTCCATATGTTTCTATGGTTCACGTTTTTTTTGGCGGTGAGAATTTGTATGTTTTGAGCAAGCCTGATCGAATGGATAACCCACCCCAAACTGACAAATCTGGCATCAGAGGCACCTGGGAATAATCCAGTGATTAGAATAATAATAATATTTGTCTATACTGTGAAACCAATATATTGCAAGATGAATGTTATCTCCAATACGATTTAAAGATTATAAAAGGTTAAAAGCTTTGGTAAATATATCGTGATGAACTACAGACCACACATTATAGAGTGATCAAACAGGGCCTAGACAGACCACACCTTGTAGAGTGATCAAACAGGGCCTAGACAGACCACACCTTGTAGAGTGATCAAACAGGGTCTAGACAGACCACACCTTGTAGAGTTGTCAAACAGGGCCTAGACAGACCACACCTTGTAGAGTGATCAAACAGGGCCTAGACAGACCACACCTTGTAGAGTGATCAAACAGGGCCTAGACAGACCACACATTGTAGAGTGATCAAACAGGGCCTAGACAGACCACACATTGTAGAGTGATCAAACAGGGCCTAGACAGACCACACCTTGTAGAGTTGTCAAACAGGGCCTAGACAGGCCACACCTTGTAGAGTGATCAAACAGGGCCTAGACAGACCACACCTTGTAGAGTGATCAAACAGGGCCTAGACAGACCACACCTTGTAGAGTGATCAAACAGGGCCTAGACAGACCACACATTGTAGAGTGATCAAACAGGGTCTAGACAGACCACACCTTGTAGAGTTGTCAAACAGGGCCTAGACAGACCACACCTTGTAGAGTGATCAAACAGGGCCTAGACAGACCACACCTTGTAGAGTGATCAAACAGGGTCTAGACAGACCACACCTTGTAGAGTGATCAAACAGGGCCTAGACAGACCACACATTGTAGAGTGATCAAACAGGGCCTAGACAGACCACACCTTGTAGAGTGATCAAACAGGGTCTAGACAGACCACACCTTGTAGAGTGATCAAACAGGGTCTAGACAGACCACACCTTGTAGAGTTGTCAAACAGGGCCTAGACAGACCACACCTTGTAGAGTGATCAAACAGGGCCTAGACAGACCACACCTTGTAGAGTGATCAAACAGGGCCTAGACAGACCACACATTGTAGAGTGATCAAACAGGGCCTAGACAGACCACACCTTGTAGAGTGATCAAACAGGGTCTAGACAGACCACACCTTGTAGAGTGATCAAACAGGGTCTAGACAGACCACACCTTGTAGAATTGTCAAACAGGGCCTAGACAGACCACACCTTGTAGAGTGATCAAACAGGGCCTAGACAGACCACACCTTGTAGAGTGATCAAACAGGGCCTAGACAGACCACACATTGTAGAGTGATCAAACAGGGCCTAAATAGACCACACCTTGTAGAGTTGTCAAACAGGGCCTAGACAGACCACACATTGTAGAGTGATCAAACAGGGTCTAGACAGACCACACCTTGTAGAGTTGTCAAACAGGGCCTAGACAGACTGCACCTTATAGAGTGATCAAACAGGGCCTAGACAGACCACACCTTGTAGAGTGATCAAACAGGTCCTAGACAGACCACACCTTGTAGAGTTGTCAAACAGGGCCTAGACAGACCACACCTTGTAGAGTGATCAAACAGGGCCTAGACAGACCACACCTTGTAGAGTGATCAAACAGGGTCTAGATAGACCGCACCTTGTAGAGTTGTCAAACAGGGCCTAGATAGAGGGTGCTAAAATATCAATATATGAACAACGGCATACACATCCAGCATACAGAATATCACTGTTTTGTCATTGGTATATCACTTGTATAATATGTATTGTTCTGTAAACCAAACTCAGATAAAATACCTATCCTTGAAAGTGGAGACCAACTCATCTATTAATAAACATATGACGTTTAAATGTTTGTTTGTTGTTGAAAGCTGCACTCAGAACTATTCCAGCTATTTCACTGGCTGTAAATGACTGGACCATCATGAACACGATCCAAGAAATTTGGATATGAAGGCAGGCAATCAATGAAGTCACTGAGCCGGACCACCCGATCCATTTAGTCGCTTCTTACGACTACCTTGTGACAAGTTTTCAATAGCTGGAGAAGAATCGTTCACATGCAACTTATTTACGAAGCCCAGTCATCAAAATAACGATGGTTGTCTTGTTGTTGAGGTGTGTCAGAGGTTGACCTTGGTGATGTCACGCTGGAGGATCACTGGGGGAAGTCGGACACGTAGATCTTGGCATGCGTGATGTGACGCGAGATGACACGTGTTCGAGAAAAGTCACGGTTCTCCAGCCTCATCGTCACCTCGTACTCGGAAGGACCAAAGAGGGGCTTCAGCAGTTTCAGGAACGCTGGAAACATTACAGATCAAAATATGCATGAACAGAGAATTTGAGGGCAAGACAAACTTAGCGCTACGACTGTCGTAAGTCTACTGGTAAGTCTAAGGTATGAAGTTACGATCACCTTAGTGCTAAGATCGCTTTGTACAACAGCACCATGGTCACAAAGATCAAAATTTGAATATTGCTAAAGAAGGAATGTATGTGTGCCACCAAAAACTAAGGAAATACCAAATTTCATTACAATTTGAACAAATATAGTGCCGTGTCAGTATAGTGAGTGTGTGAGTGAGTATGGTTTTATGCCGCTTTTAGCAATATGACAGCAATATCATGCAAGGGGACACATGTTGGGAATCGAACCCGGGTCTTTGGCGTGATGACCGAACGCTTTAACCTCTAGGCTACCCCACCTCCCTGCAGCAGTTAGCTCCCCTGGGTAACCATTTACAGGGGCCACAAAGACAACCAAAAGACTCTGCCGCATTTAGATTCAAATATTTTCTGCATAAAGACTCAGGACTAAAAACTAATTTCAGAGTAGTTTACAGAGCCAAATATGTTTCTTGATTAACATCTCCCACTGTATAGCGCAATATTCCAGCGACATGACAATGACATGTAAATAATCTGCAGTCTGTAAATAATCAAGTCTGGACCAGACAATCCAGTGATTGACATCATGAGCATCGATGCATGCGATTGGGATACGATGACATGCATCAACCAAGTCAGCAAGCCTGACCACCCGATCCTGTTAGTCGCCTTTTACGACAAGCATAGTCGCCTTTTACAGCAAGCTTGGGTAGCTGAAGACGTATTCTACCCCAGATCTTCATGGGTCAAGATTACCACAACCAACATTTGCAATGAAAAGAATGGATCAGCTTGGTTCATATTTAGCATTAAATCTATTATTTGCAGGTCTATGTAGCTAATTTTTTATCTATACATAAACAGAATAATTAACTATATTACTAATGGATATATCGTGATACTTTTGAGCCGATTTATCACAACTAAAAAGTCCACTCAATGACACCCCATGCAGGTACAGTAAACTACGGTTATAACGAACTCAAAGGGACCACTAATTTTAATTTGTTGTAGCCGTGGTTCGTTATATGCATAACTACAGCATAACTACAGCAAATAGTCGGGACAAAAAAGTAAGTTCGTTATATCCGTCAGTTCGTTATAAGCGTGTTCGTTATAACCGTAGTTTACTGTACATAAGACATTGACAGCTACCTTGGTCTCCTTCCACCACTGTCTGGAACAGCCCTTCATCATTGCCGGCGATGATGCGCAGATCCAGGTTGGGGTAGATGGAGTAGCCGATGGTGCGGATGTTGAGGAGAGTGAGGGGTTTGTGGACAAACTCCACCTGGGGCAGCGCCAGGAACTGCCATGACACCGTCTTCGTCTTGTTGTAATGACAGTTGACGTCGGTGGGGACACATGATCGACCACAGACGACGCCTCCATCATCAGCAATCAGCTCGCTGCGGCTGAAGACAAAACTGTCCTGTCACAAGACATTTGAAGCTGGACTTGTACTGCTGTTTTCAAGTGCTTTGTTAACATGTCTTGACTTACAGATTTTAACATACACCTAGTTGTCCCAAGGGTACTTGATATTTGTAAGTTACAAGCACAAATGGTAAGACATTGACATCTATAAGCAAATATTCTTGACAATAAGTTTTGGAATAGTGTTCCATTGTACATGCATAAGAAAGGTGTCAGTGTTGTTACTGTTACAAAATGTTAGTTACCGGTACATCGGAATGTCTTTACTGACCTTGCTTGTACACAGGGGGTCACTGCAAACATGCGTATGGTAACAAAGCTTTGTCAAACAGAGAAGTTAAAGTATTACTCAAATTCACATGCAAAACCAGTCGACTAAGTATTCACCAATGTATTCACCAGTGTATTCACCAAAATATTTGCCATTGTATTCAACAGTGTATTCACCAATATATTCACCATTGTATTCACAAGTGTATTCACCAATGTATTTATGAATATAGTCACCAATGTATTCACCAATATAGTCACCAATGTATTCACCAATATCTTATCCAAAGTATTCCTTGATGTCTTCACAAGTGAATTCACGGATGTATTCACCAATATAACCACAAGTGTATTCACCAATTTTGCCATCAGTGCATTCACCAATGTATTCACCAATATAGTCACCAATGTATTCACCAGGGTATTCATCAATGTATTCACCAATATAGTCACAAGTGTATTCACCAGGGTATTCACTGGGGTATTAACTAATGTCTTCCTGTATTCACTCACCTAACGCGGCACAAGTCAGCCACCGCCATCACCACCATCCACTGACACAGACCATTCCTCCCTTGGCTAATGTATGATCTTCACACAAACATAGTTCATAGAAGCGCATGTGATCCACTCAATACTGAAATGCATGAGTTGGCAAGGTCTTGAGTTGGGTTTTATGCCAATTTACACCTTATTTCAGTTTGATCTGGCCTGTCACTGTAAAGATTGATAAAAACCCAACTAATGCAGGTCATAGATCATTATCATGAACTGAGATCTGAACCCATGAGCAGCAGATCCTGGAAAGCCAAAGGGGAAAAACTCTTCTCAGCAAACTGTGGCATCTTTAGACAGGTAGCCTGGTGGTGAAAGAGTCTGCTCACCCTAAAGAAGACCTGGGTTCAGTTCCTCACAAAGGTACCATTTGTGAAATCCTTTTTTGTGTCCCTATCAAAAGTTTGATGTGACATTTCTACAAGAGGTGTAAAACCACACTCCCTACATTCTTCATACACTTTCCACCATTCTTGGTCTCACTAAAAAAATCAAAGCATCAATATATAAATAGTTTATTGAAGAATATGATACATGATTATCAAATTTTCCCAAATTAGTTCAAAATTGTGCTTTACTGATTCAAAAATATTTTTCACCGGATGAATTGCATTAATGATTCCTATACATGCACAATGAAAAATGATATGCAAATGTTAGTCTAGACTGTTTATTTCTTTAATTGGTCTGTCGATTCCACCCACACCAAAACAATTAAACGTGAAAACTTAGTTATATATATGCATACAACAGAGTAAACTGCAAGGTTGGGGATTCAAGCCCACATTGGTTGCCTGGCATCAAATTCAGATACAATTTTTACAAACAAAATAGAAAAATCTGAAATGTTTTTTTTGTTCTCTTTCTTTTTTCACTGACATAGACAGAGACCACATATCGGTATATGGTCTCTGATACAGATAATAATTTTCTTCACAAAAAAATAAATGAACCAAGAAAAAAAAAAGTATTCTCGTAACATGAAAGATTCATTGTGTGGACCATATATCATTTAAAAACTGACAACAACTGTCATGCCTATAGGATATATGACTACAGACATTAAGTCTGGGACAGTACCACGCTGTGCAGTGCGTCAGAACACAGCTGTCAGCATCCATATATCTACACAAATCCTGATAATTGGTGTCCTGGTCAACGGAATGCTGGTACTGGGAATGTTTGTTGTACAACTGTACTAACCTCTGATACTTAGACAGCTGTAGCTGACCTTTAGCCAACAATCTGCACACATTTTTCAAACATTTCAAACAATATATTTTGAAAATCCCTTTTTGTTATCATAGAGGAAAGCATTTTTTCCAGGGATTCTCTTGACCTTGTATATATAATTAAATACTGGTAAATAATTCAACAGTAACCATGGCTTTATTTATTGAAAATGGTTTCAGGGAACAGTTATATCAGCATGAAAGGAGTTGTCAGCTCAATACATGAAGCTGAGGAAAGCACCTTAAAGTTTTTTTGTTAGACATAATATCTGCCTAGACATTACAAAATGCTTTGAATTTTTTTATCCTTACATCTATTTAAATATTTTGAATTAATTGTATTAATTTTTTAATCAGAATGCGAAGTTGCAGAGGTTACAAAGATTACAAATATACAGTGAAATTCAACATGAGAATATGATTATTATGCTAGTTGCCTTCTTTCCTCAAAGTACTTGTTTATAAGCTAAAATAAAACTACTAACACTTAGAGGTTTTAAATGATCTAACTTTCACTCAAACAGTATCTAAAAAATTAATAATTTTTACTCTAAAAGAAATATGTCATGTTCTGAAATGTCCCCCAATAAACCCATTCTGTACAAATCTGTTTCCTCATGATCAAATGACCTGTATATCTCTGGTTAAAAGGCAAACAAATATTCCTGAAGACCTGGTTCTGACATCACACTCACTGGAGTAGTAATACTGATTGTTTCATATAGTAGAATAAACAGCAAGTTAAGCCACATTGTCGTCCGTGATAAACAAATGCAGACGTGATTCAGCGTAACCTTCAAACCCCTTGGTAAGGTCGTTGATCCTCATTCGGAGCTGAAGCACGACATCTTGTGGACCTTGTATCCGTTGAATAAGGCTGACCACTGCTTGGTTTGAGCTTTCCTCAAGCGAGAAATATGCATCCGTGGCTTTGGGTACGCCACTCTGGCGGGGCTCAGCTGACACGATGGTCAGTTCCCAGGCGTAGAACTTCTCCTGGTCGTTGGCGCCGGTCATGGAGAAGAGGGCTGCGGGGATGATGACGTTGGTGGGGAAGGTGAGGAAGTTGTAGGACAGAGAGAGGAGCCCCTCCAGACATCGGCGGCAAGTCTTGGACCTCTTCTTGCAGCGGAAACTGGAAGGGAATGTCAGTATGCATGGAGGGTGTTAGACAACATAGGAGGAATGCAAGCTGCTACGATACACTTCAGACTGGAGAAGCAGATCCAGAGGGAGCGCACACCATTCTTTTCCCCCCGACACCTTATACGTTTACTGCACCCTCGGCCAAGTCACTTTGTGACTTAGGTATTAAGTACACACCCCATCCCCATGCCCACCTCCAGGCCCTTTTCAAAATCCTGGGTCCTCCTCTGTCTGGGATTATCCTGGCTTTTGGCGGGAATCTGCATTCAGTGCCACAGACTATGTTTTTCGAGAGACTTTTCAGTTTCAAAGATTTATTCAGAGTTTCAAGGCCACAGGCCCTCTAATAACATTATATTATGGATTTATACAGAAAACATTTCAAGTAAAAAAATTATTTATTATGTTTGGGAAACAGCACTGTAGCTCACCTGGATATGTTGTCAACGGTTTAAGATGTCGACAAGTTTAAGGAAACCACTTGAAAAAGTTGCTGTCAGCATTGCTATACAACTACTTCTGTATTAATACTGCGGACAAAAGTATTTTCAACAAATATGAAACAAGTAACTAACTATCCACAGTGTTTCTGCAAATGTGTAGGAATGAATGTTTACAATAAAATATTTAAGAACATTGTTGCAATAGACAACAGTTAAATTTACTTACACAAAGTTTGAACTCTGAACCTCACAGACCTACTATACAGAGTAATGTTTCTGATGCCATACAAGTTTTCCAATTGTTTCACAAAAACACAGAACAATTCTAATGTTTTGAACAAAATATGTCCCCATAAGGAGAACCATACATGCCAAGGTTTCCTCAGTCTGGCAATTTCAGAGATGTTTAAGAACTGCATTTTGAGCATTACAGCACATTATGAGCAGAAATGCTGCACCGTCCTTATGAAAATCATATCCAAACCTGAACAAATTCTGATGTCATCATCAATGGTGGGAACAAGCATCTAAGTTTCAGCTTCATCGATTCACGGGTTCATGAGAAGATGATGTTTACAGCTCAAGGAAATGCATTTTGAAAGAATAGAAGAGCATGGTCCAAACAGGAAAGTTCAAACAAAAGCAAAAAAAATAGATATCTCCCAAATCACAACCTGTTTGTTGAGTCCCACTACAAACTACATATATACCAAATATCATAACATTTTGACACAAAATGGCTGAGTAATGGTCACAAGAAGTTTCAGCTTTTAGTATGGTCAAAGTGCAAAGGTCAGATTAAGGTCAAAATTCAAAATATCTCTAGGAACAGAATATATATGTTGAGCCCCACTACTAACTACCAGAGATCATATAATAGATCATTATGGTCTCTGTAACTACACATGTACAATATTTCATTGCATTCTGAACAGAAATTATGGCCATAAATAGCATTTTCAATATGGCTCATGTGGTGGCCATATTGAAAATCAAATTCCAATCTCTGGAGCAAATCAGTGTCATCATTGCTGAGAACAAGCATTTGAACTTTCAACTTCATTGGTCCAGTGGTTGATGAGGACAAGATGTTTACGACGGATGACTCGTTTTTTGTTTTTTTTCAATGTGGCCAAAGGCATCCATATTTGATTTCAACAAACTTGGTACTCCACAAGGTGATCATCGCACTCACCAAGTTCTTAATCATAAATGGATTTTGACAGCCATATTGAAATTCCAATTTTGATCCCTTGAACAAACTTAAAACCACTTATAGTAACAAACATCTACACACAATCCATCAAGCCTTTTCGGATGTAAAAAATGTGAAAAGTTCATGGTTGACACCGACAGACAACTTCCAAGGACATATGCTCACCTGGTCTTTCTGGCCAAGTGAACTGGAAAACAATAACTTTGAGAGGCTTTGCCTCCTACCTACTAAATCATGGTTTGCTGCTGGCACAGTCATGTATAAAACTTTAGTGGACATTAAAGTTATTTTCAGGGTGCTTCAGTCAACTAGTCCATATCGTGTAACTTCTCAAACAATTTCTGAAGTTTGTGTACATTATGTTTGTTTGTTTAACTTCTTTGATAAGCATTTAGAAGTTGAACCTACACCAAAACGTCGCTCTTAATTGTAATAAAGAAGTTGTTCATCCATAAATTCTTATCCTTACTTAGTTTGTTTGTTTGTTTGTTGTTTAACGCCGCACTCAGCAATATTCCAGCTATATGATGGAGGTCTGTAGATAATTGAGTCTGGACCAGACAATCCAGTGAATAACATCATGAGCATAGACACATGCAAAATTGGGATACGATGACATGCATCAACCAAGTCAGTGAGCCTGACCACCTGATCAGCATATTCGCCTGTTAAGGCAAGCATGGGTTGCTGAAGACCTATCCTACCTCGGATCTTCACAGGTCTTGTATACATTGCGAAAAAAAAAAAAGAACAAAGAAAGAAAAACTGTTATATTATGAGACAGTATGCCTCTCATTAGTCCTTGTGACACCAGTAATTGCTAGGTATAACTGGATACAAAATCCCCAGCTGTGTGGTTTGAATGGCCTGTATCAACCTTGCTTGGAGTACTACCAGGTCTTGCCATTCTGCTCATTGTTGGAAATTAATAAGACTGATTTTCAGTGAAGAAAGACACCTCCTACCTCACAAACATCTCCAGTTAAAGTACTCCTTATTTTCACTGTGACACTTCATATCCAAACATCTCCTCTATTAAAGCTGTCAGTTAAAGCAACAAACAACACCACTCAAACATGTTAAAGATTAATGATTAATGAACAACAAAAGTACACCATCTAACAAACAAGCACATACAAGCATATTCAAGTTATAGTGGCCAATTTGTTCATCAATGTCACAGCATGTACATAATTATCATCTTTGTATGTTCCATTGCCAGTACTTCACAGGTTTGTAAAACATTCCTTCATCACCTATGAATCCATGCAGCAGCTGTGTGACGCAGTAATGACGCTGCTATATTTTTAGTAATACAATGAAATGAGTGAGTGAGTATGGTTTTACGCCGCTTTTAGCAATATTCCAGCAATATCACGGCGGGGGACACCAGAAATGGGCTTCACACATTGTACCCATGTCGGGAATCGAACCCGGGTCTTCGGCGTGACGAGCGAATGCTTTAACCACTAGGCTACCCGACCGCCCTATAATGAAATGAGGCAATTTATACCTCATGGCGTCCAATGACCCTACTCTGTGCATGAGCATTGCACACTGCCGCCGTCTGACATGAGGAAATGTGTAGAGCAGACAGCAAATGACGTACACTAAACTACGGTTATAACAAACTCAAAGGGACCACTAACTTTAGTTTGTTATAACCGTAGTTTGTTATAAATATATATATACAGCATAACTATAGCAAATAGTCGGGACAAAAAAATCAGTTCGTTATATCCGTCAGTTCGTTATAAGCGTGTTCATTATAAACATATTTTACTTATGACGTTTCACTCATTGTGTGATATAAGCTGGGTGACCATTGGTCTTGTAGGGACTTCCTGTATTGCGGCCTTATGTATTCACAAGTGATAGAGGAATAGTTTGCATATGACTGTGAAGTAATGACAATGTTCGTTTGTTTGATGCAAAATTTGCAGTAAGTTTGAAAAAAATCTTGTTTGTGACTCGATGTTTGTTTGTTTGTTTGTTTGTTGTTTAACGCCTCACTCAGCAATATTCCAGCTATATGATGGCTGTCTGTAAATAATTGAGTCAGGACCAGACAATCCAGTGATTGACATCATGAGCACCGATCCACGCAAAATTGGGAAACGATGATATGCCTCAAACAAGTCAGCGAGTCTGACCACCCGATCCTAATAGTTGCCTATTCTTTATTCTGATCTTCACAGGTCATGTGACATGATGACTCTGTATGCAACGGGAAGCCTGATTGGCTCATCTAAGATTTATATTGATCAGCCAATCAAATCAATAACTTCTGATGATGGGAAAACAGTTGATATCTGATCCTCCTGCAGTTTACAGATTGTGTCCTTGTATCATGATATGCATCATATTTTAAATGATATCCAGATTGTGAGTCGTGACTTTATGTATCATCCATATATAATGTGAATGATTATCAGCATAGATGTGAAACCTGAATTAAAGGTTTGAGTGTCTGTGTGTCACATACCTGTTTTGTCGTCCGCCTGATGGAATCTTGACAAACCCGTCTGGACATCGCACCAGTGGACACTTGAAGCCCCCGCGGACGTTGACGCAAAACTCATCTCTATTGCGACATGTAGCAGCACCAGTCTTACATTCGTCGATGTCTGGGACACACAAAATAACATGTACAACACTTCCGGTATGGTCTTTGCAGAAAGAAAAGAAATTAAATACGCCAGTATGAAAATTTCAATCCAATTTGCTAACATTACATAGTCAATACGTCACAGGTTTTGTACAAACTCAGTCCTCCATTATGTCAGTCTTGTCAACAATCTAAGTAGCCTCAAAACTTAAATCCAACTTTTATGGTTAATTATGGTATTTAAATGTTCTCCCAAGAGACAGGACTCAACTCTGTCTTCTGTCGCTGTACAAAATAGTATGTTGAAAATGCACGTTGTCTGGGCGAGTCTTACCTTCACATGACCTCCCATCACCTTTGACCCTCCATCCCTCGGGACACTCACATCGGTACGACCCCTGGAGATTGATACAGCGACCTCCACATACGCCACCGCGGATACCTCCACGACCACCACGCCCCCCAAACTGAGTACACTCATTGATGTCTACAGAAGAAAAACAATCTCTCAGACTGCAAGGTAAATGTCACATTTAGAACAAGACTGAATGAGGGAGTGAATTGCGTTTTCACCTTAGTCAGCAATAATGGAGGTACCGTACATCACCGCAGATAAGACGACCCCGTAGATAAGCCGAGGTATCAACTTGACCAATTAAATTTGAAAGAATATGATATGACCTGCCGAACCAGGAAGTGAAAGACAATGACACACCGCGACTGCAAGACTGTACCGATACTTGCAGATATTTAATAATATAAGATGAAAAACATTGTAATTATATTGAAAAAGTCATTATAATTTCTAATAAAGATTTAACAAACCAGTCATCCACTCCCCTAATGTGGGAAGCCATTTTTGTTGTCTGTTTTTAATCTCATCATGATCGTTATGTAGCCATGAACAACAAGACACCATTTTGTGAATCGGTGTATATAGAATTATGAATCAGTGAGAAAATGTATTGGCAAATGAAAACACAAGTCAAAAGTTCAGATACAAATCATTGTATTTTTTGGTTATTTGTTTTGTGCACAAATAAAAACTATATAAAAACATATATACATCATCATTTATACATAAATACATATGTGTACAATTTTACGCACACACATCATCACTCGTGAATCCATCGAATTCAGTGTCACTGTCTTCGCCGGCCAGAATTGCCCACGCAGCTTCATCAGTCGCATCATCGTAGTCATCACAAGCCATGACATCTTCCACATCTGTTCCAATGAGGGCGGGGGTGACAAACTCCTCAAACAAAACTTCTTCTCCGGAACCGTCCATTGCGTTGGAAATTCCACACTTCAGAAACGACTTTTGTACCATTGCTGTGGGTATCTCATTCCATGACTCTACCACCCGCTTTGTGACTTCCGTGAGTGGAGCTCTTCTCATTGCGTTGGACTTGGCGAAGGTGTGATTTCCGTGTAACATCCACTCGGACCACTTCTCCCGGCGTTGGTCTTGAATGGCTTGTTTAGACAAACGTCAAGTGGCTGGAGTAGGGATGTACTGCCGCTTGAAATGACTGCCTGGTGTGTCTTGTTCTCGGTCAGTTTCTTCTTTACACTCTGGCACAGGTGAGCTCGAAACATGTCCCAGACAAGTAGCGACTTGCATCCCCTCATGCAGCCCGGCCTCGACATCCACACGTCTGTCACCCATCGGTTTACTAAGGCCTCGTCCATCCATCAGTTAGGGTGTACAGCTACAACTCCAGACGGAAACTTTTCTTTAGGCATTGTCTTCCTTTTAACCACAACCATAGGCTTTAGTTTAGGCCCATCGGCCAAACAGGTTAAAACAACAGTGAAATGTTGTTTTTCACTTCCCGGCATCTTCACCGATGTGGTCTTGGCACCCTTGTGATCAACTGTTCTTGAACCTGGCATATCAAAGTTCAATGGTGTTTCATCCATATTGCCAATTTGAGAAAGTTCATACGTCACAGCCTTACGTTCCATGATAACAAAAGCATGAAATAAGTCAACTTGGTGTTCACCTGGCCAGGCAGTTTCTGGGCGATGTGAGTTTTCTGCCTAAGTGTAAGATGTCTCCTGTTCATAAATCTTAAACACCAGTGTGAAGATGCCTTGAACGTAGTTGGGAGATCAAATTCCTTTTTCGTCGACGTGTATATCGTCAGTGCCTGTTTTCGAATCATATTTCTGGTTACCATGTATCCCATCAGCTATAGCCAGACTGTATTATGATACATATCCCATAATTGTAGAAATTTGAATAATAACTTTACATGTACAGATGTGCTTTAGTAATTCTCAGTATTGATTGGTCAGTATGAGTAATATGGTGTCACAGTGTTCCACAGTTTCTCTGTCTCATCTGTTTGATTTCAATTTCTTCCTAAAAATGAAAATATATATAGCGATATATATGAAATATAGACATTCTGAATTATGGATTATATGTTGCTCATGAAATCTGTATATCTTCACAACTCATTCATCATTGACAGAAAATCTGAATAAATTCACAGCTCATTCATCATTGACAGAAAATCTGAATATCTTCAGAGCTCATTCACCATTGACAGAAAATCTGTATATCTTCACAGCCCTTTCTCCATTGACAGAAAATCTGTATATCTTCACAGCTCATTTATCAGTGACAGATAATCTGTATATCTTCACAGCTCTTTCTCCATTGACAGAAAATCTGTATATCTTCACAGCCCCTTCTCCCTTGACAGAAAATCTGTATATCTTCACAGCTCTTTCTCCCTTGACAGAAAATCTGTATATCTTCACAGCTCATTTATCAGTGACAGAAAATCTGTATATCTTCACAGCTCTTTCTCCATTGACAGAAAATCTGTATATCTTCACAGCTCTTTCTCCCTTGACAGAAAATCTGTATATCTTCACAGCTCATTTATCAGTGACAGATAATCTGTATATCTTCACAGCTCTTTCTCCATTGACAGAAAATCTGTATATCTTCACAGCTCATTTATCAGTGACAGATAATCTGTATATCTTCACAGCTCTTTCTCCCTTGACAGAAAATCTGTATATCTTCACAGCTCATTTATCAGTGACAGATAATCTGTATATCTTCACAGCTCATTCATCAGTGACAGAAAATCTGTATATCTTCACAGCTCATTCATCAGTGACAGAAAATCTGTATATCTTCACAGCTCATTTATCAGTGACAGAAAATCTGTATATCTTCACAGTTCTTTCTCCATTGACAGAAAATCTGTATATCTTCACAGCTCACTTATCAGTGACAGAAAATCTGTATATCTTCACAGCTCACTTATCAGTGACAGAAAATCTGTATATCTTCACAGCTCATTCATCAGTGACAGATGATCTGTATATCTTCACAGCTCATTCATCAGTGACAGATAATCTGTATATCTTCACAGCTCATTCATCAGTGACAGATAATCTGTATATCTTCTCAGCTCATTCATCAGTGACAGATAATCTGTATATCTTCTCAGCTCATTCATCAGTGACAGATAATCTGTATATCTTCACAGCTCTTTCTCCATTGACAGAAAATCTGTATATCTTCACAGCTCATTCATCAGTGACAGATGATCTGTATATCTTCACAGCTCTTTCTCCATTGACAGAAAATCTGTATATCTTCACAGCTCATTCATCAGTGACAGATGATCTGTATATCCTTGTGGCTCTTTCACCATAAAGACCAGAGAAGATCCGTGTTGGAATAGGTCTTCAGCAATCCATGCTTGTCGCAAGAGTGTGGATTGGTGCTCATGATATCAATCACTGAATTCTCTGGTCTAGACTTGATTATACATAGATCACTGTCATATAGCTGGATTATCGCTGAGTGTTGCAATAAACAACAAACAAACAAACATTCACCCTGACAGCTAATCTGTAATCCTCGTAGCTCACTGGTTATTCTGAATCTGTCTGAACCCTTATGCCCCACTTTCACTACGACCACGAATATCCCAAATCACCCCGAATCGGAAACTTTCGAAATTCGTGATGATTCAGCCAGTAATAACTTTTGTGGCTAATTCGGTTGAAAAATATGAAGAATGCCAGGAATGGGTTAAGAAACATGTACGAATTACAAGATGCATGTACGGATCATGCACGAATTGTAAGAATCACTTACAACTAAGTTACGAATATGCCGAATGTTGTTCTTACTTAATTCTTACATGATTCATAGTTGACTTGGGACATTTGTGGCTGTTTCAGGAAGTTTTCGGGTTGAGGACAAGAAATTTTGGGAGCCACGAATCACTAAGAATAGCCAAGAATGTAAAAGAATTGATTACGAAGCTGTTACGGGACATAAGAATTAATTACAAATGGATTACGATAAAGCAGTGAAATTGCAATTCGGGGACCCTTCCACCAAAGTTTTTGACAAACAAAAACTTTCTCCCCGATTTGACAAACTCCTGCGAACTGTACAAATGTTTGGGAATCAAATAAGATTCATTTAGGAACTTCAAGAAATGATTGAGATTTATCTACAAACATGAAAAATTTCCTATTCGGGGTGATTCGGGTTATTCGCGGTCGTAGTGAAACTGGGGCATGAGGTCAGGAACAGCCACAACGGAACTTTGACTCAGTCTGTCCAGCAGTTCTCGAAGTGGGGGAGGATGTTTTGATGCCACCTTCAGCATCATTCAGACATATCAAGGCAGTTCATACCAACAAAGAGCTTCACACATATACCCATGTGGGAAATTGAACCGGATCATCAACACAAATGCTTTAACCAACCACCCTCTCCTGAAAAAAAAGTTGAGTTCTGGAAAACAATCTCCTCAACAAGGAAGAGTATGTATGGATGTCAACGTCTTTATTATGAGGAACACAACATTTCAGAGTATATACTCCGAAATGTTGTGTTCCTCATAATAAAGAAGTTGACATCCATAAAAACTCTTCCTTATGTGTATCACATCTAAATGCCTTTCAAAGACTTAATCTCCTCAACATATGAGCACGCAATGCCTATAAGAAAGTGGTCAAACATAAATTTGGGATAACACTTTCTCAGTAAAGTACAGATTCTAGAACTTTTAGGGGTTGAGTCCCATCCTCAACATACACCTAAAGTGAGGAGGTAGCCAAAACAACCCCTCCAGATATATAGAGGCAGAGGGGCGGTCGGGTAGCCTAGTGGTTAAAGCGTCCACTCGTCACGTCGAAGACCCGGGTTCGATTCCCGACATGGGTACAATGTGTGAAGCCCATTTCTGGTGTCCCCCGCCGTGATATTGCTGGAATATTGCTAAAAGCGGCGTAAAACCATACTCACTCACTCACTATAGAGGCAGACTGATCCACTATCAGAGAGTTGTCGCCTAACTAAGAAAGGCAGTAACCAAGGCAGTTTAACCATGGTCCAAATGACTAAAGTCACCAACATAGGCATAAATTGACAGAGGCGAAAAATCTTCATATTTGTTTTTACAATCTTGGAATATAAATATATTACAAAATTGTAAAGGAAAAATCCCAGGAGTTCTTTTTATCCAAAGGTTGTAGGTGACTGCCCTACCTTCACACAGTCTCTTGTCCTCGGCCAACTGGAAGCCACGATTACAGGAGCAGAAGTAGGAGCCGATGACGTTCACGCAGCTGTGGTGGCAGATGTTGGGGGTCTGACACTCATCGATGTCTGAAACAACATCACATAACAGCATTCAAGACACTCATCGATGTCTGAAACATCATCACATAACACCATTCAAGACACTCATCGATGTCTGAAACAACATCACATAACAGCATTCAAGACACTCATCTATGTCTGAAACAACATCACATAACAGCATTCAAGACACTCATCTATGTCTGAAACAACATCACATAACACCATTCAAGACACTCATCGATGTCTGAAACAACATCACATAACACCATTCAAGACACTCATCGATGTCTGAAACATCATCACATAACAGCATTCAAGACACTCATCTATGTCTGAAACAACATCACATAACAGCATTCAAGACACTCATCTATGTCTGAAACAACATCACATAACACCATTCAAGACACTCATCTATGTCTGAAACAACATCACATAACAGCATTCAAGACACTCATCTATGTCTGAAACAACATCACATAACAGCATTCAAGACACTCATCGATGTCTGAAACAACATCACATAACACCATTCAAGACACTCATCGATGTCTGAAACAACATCACATTCAACACCGTCACTGATAGACAGTTAATAATCACCGAAACAACTTCAAAAGGCTATTAATAAAAGTCATTATTTCGGTGGCTTTGATTTATTTAGTGATACTGTTGAATGCACATTTCCAAGAGCTTTCCATGTATCTATCACACATGGTGTGGTTTCCAAAAGGGGTCACATGACCAGCCCCTAATGCATTATGTTCGGAAATTTAATCCGATTTCAATATGCAGAGTGAGTTAGGTTTATACAGCATTAAAAAGTGTTTCAGTTACATCACTCCGTGTCAGGAGAGAGGAAAGCCTCATGATGCAGGTAGTAGAGATAGATGTGAAACCCCAATACAGGGCTGACAAAAAACAAGGACTATTTACTCAAAAACATATGTCTTCTCCCCTCCCCCCTCCTTTTTTTTGCTCAGTAAAGGATGGGAATACGCCAATGCCAACAGAACCCAAGCCAAAAACGATATGTGCCTCCTCCCTTTCAGGATGTATGTGGGGGGGGCATGTAATTATAATGAAGGCACATCTCGAACCCTTTCCCCTACAATGTCAAGAACAAATCTGGATCTAACAAGGTTCGCTCAGATTTGATCATTAATATACTACTGAGCACTGTCCACATAGTGGACCACTGACCATGTAGTGGCCCACATAGCACTGACCACTGACCACTGACCACTGACCTGAACAGCTTCCCTGACCGTCGCCCTGTAGACCCTCCTTGCACTGGCAGGTGTAGCTGCCGGGTGTGTTGGCGCACCGGGAGTTGGAGGGGCAGATCGCCGCACCGTACGCACACTCGTCCACATCTGACAACAACGACGTGAGACTACACTCAAGAATCAACAGCTATAGAATCATGTAACTAGGCTCTGATCAAAGCTAAGTGTCTATGTCCTTTGCTGATAATATTATGGAATACAAAAACTGTCGATAGAAGTGTACAAATCCTCAGCAAGCCTTAGGAGCTTTTATCAATTTGTGTTCGATATGAAAAGACATGAGGGTGAGATTCACATGAGGGTGAGATTCCACATGAGGGTGAGATTCCACATGAGGGTGAGATTCCACATGAGGGTGAGATTCCACATGAGGGTGAGATTCCACATGAGGGTGAGATTTACATGAGGGTGAGATTCCACATGAGGGTGAGATTCACATGAGGGTGAGATTCATATGAGGGTGAACTTTGAATGAGGGTGGGAAGGATTGGACTGATTGGGTTGGCGGTGTCTGATGTTACACTGACCGGTGCACCTGCCGCCGGCACTGGTGCGGTATCCGCGGGGGCACTGACAGAAGTAACTGCCCTGTCTGTTGACACACTGTTGGTCCGACCCACACCGGTCACTTCCTTTATCGCACTCATCAATGTCTGCCAACAGAAGAACACAATGGTTCAAATAAAATATTTAGTGGTCATTTTCTGACATTTTCCTTCTTTAGGCCAAACAATTAAATTACATGTTTTACACATCCACACCTCTCACTTTTTAGCCCCAAAATACAGAAATTCTGTAACCTGTCTGGTCACCTTTTATCTCATTTTTATTGAATATGTTTGTTCTCATCAGCCTGCTCTGAAGCATCTTCCCGAGGCAAGGGAGTTAACTGACTAAAAGTTTAGTTTGCCAAACTAGGCTGGAATTTCTTGGCTCGATCATAGCGCCACCAGTGGCTATTACGAGTTATGTCCCTTCTCTGTCCCTCCCATTGACCAATCATATTCCACGTATCATATCACGAAATAAAACAAAATGATAGCATTTTCCCCAAAGAAATGAAGCCCAAAAGATCGGTGTGTAGTTATACACAAGTACATATGTTGATAGACACAATGTACTAATGCATTCAGTCATTAAATTTTGTATTATCAAAAGTGATCTTTAGTTGTATTTGTTTCCCTCCTAACTTGTGGTATTTGGGTGAAACAAGGAATTAAATTTTCCCGACCTTTATCATACATAATTCTAAACAGAGAATGGCATGTGACATATTGACTGGAAATCAATGATTCATTCAGAATATCCGATAGATAGAAAATGTAGAAATATCCAGTTTCTTGTATCCTATCTTCAATGACAGACAATACCCATATACTCCATCTTTACAAAAACAATAATATGGCACAAAATTGATATTTTCTGTGTCTGGCATTATTAAATGATGCAGACAGAGCGATTATTGCATCCTGGTTCTTCAAGAAGTGGTCTATCAACAGAAACTCCATCATTGCAACATAAGTTGTTAGTTTGTCTAACACCTCACTCAGCATGGAACCTGCCAATAACTTAGTCAATCTCATTAAAATCAGATCTTAGTTCTCGCTACCACTAAACAAAGATCTGAGGACATCCCATTTCGGGTCACGTCAGACCGACCTTGCGCGAACTTTGACCTACCAATGGAATGACCAATCAGAAGGCAGCTTTCTCGTGCTTTACGACACTAATTTCAAATTGGCGACTACGCTTCGAAACATATTTTGACAAATTCTCGATTACAGATTTAAAACAGATTTAAAACCCGAATCTAGATGGTTTAGATTGTATGGATTCTGTCGTTAAACCTGTAACTATTGTTCCCAATTTAAGTTTTCGAGGTTGCATGATTAGAAATCACATTCCGACTGTCCCTTTCATAATCTGGTAAGCGATGCTCGGATGAAAGGTCATTCTGACATGACCCCTAATGGGATGTTCTCAGATCTTTGTTTAGCGGTAGCGAGAACTGAGGTCTGATTTTAATGAGATTGATAACTTAGTATGTCCACTTGTCTCACACATCAGATTACATGCTCACCAGGACTTTGTTTCCCTTTATACTGAAACTACCGGGTACCTACCTACACATCGGCCACCATCAGCAGGTTCAAACCCAGGAGGGCAGTTGAGAGTGCTCCGACAGGTATAGGAACCGACAGTGTTCATGCACTGCTGGAAGTTTCCACAGATGTTGGAGTATTCCCTGCACTCGTTGACGTCTGCACACACAACATGAACAGTCAGGGTCTTGAAGTCTTGAATGGCATTTAGAAGCGATACACATTCGAGAGAGAATTTATGGATGTCAACTTCTCTTGTTAAGTTTCCACCTTTGTTATCTTATTACTTTTGTTGTTGTTTACAGGTACTAGGGCTGGGACGAGTCTAAATTTACTACCCGGGTACCCACACCCCTATTACCCAACCCTACCCGGGTACCTGCTGTAGGTCTCAAGAGGTAGGTACAAACTGTGCGATTGGGAAAAGTTTGCCTGTAGCTCCGGTAAAATGTGTTGAGATACATGTATGAAATGATCTGGTGTATACACTGAAGTTGACTGAAGTTTTATTTTTATTCAAACATTTAAAAGTCAGAAGGAATGAGCGTAGTAGTCAGGAAGAACTGCGAACATTAGTGACTTGTAGTTTAAACATAGAGTTTTAGATACCTTTTGTCATTGAACAATATATCACGTGACTAACCACGGGTCCAGGTAGCCCTGTGGGTACCAGGGTCCTACTCAGTACCCACCCGACCCGAGTACCCGAGTTACCCGTCCCAGCCCTAACAGATACATATATATGTTCGCATCCTAGCATTCATTCACCAGATGAAGGAGTAAGCATGAACGCCAAAACGTTGTGTTCCTCATAATGAAGAAGATGACATCTATATATTCTCTCTCTTCTCTCATGTCATACTTCCTGCATATGAACATCTACCTTCTGGGCTGTGAAACCACAAACAAGAACAGGATCCACTAGCAGCTTTAGAAGTTGGCAAAAGTTCTATAGTCCTTGCCAAACTGGCCAACAGTTAAGGAATCATAAGGACTAGTAGAATATTGCCCTTTTTAAGGGTTTTGCTACATGTTATCATTATAAGGACTAGTGGACGAAAACTGTTAGCTTCTACCGCTGACTAGTCCCTTTTCCCAGGAAGTATCAAGCTTCTCAACCAATATTTCAGTGTGAACATCTAACACAAATGCAGCACTAGTGACATTTCTCACAGGATATCATGTATCTGTAAAGTTTGCATACATCATGTTGCTTGCTGCTGAGTATAATGGAAAACAAATTTCCCTCAGGATAAATACTTTCCCATTATCTTATCTAAAAACACCTCTATACTGCTCGTCGCCATTGACAAACACGCTATATCTGATGACATGATTTACAAAAACCGAGACAGAGTTGGTCTGCTGGCATACTAATTAAGTGTTCTGGTAGCTCATGAACTGTTAATGACTGCCAATGTAAGAGTGGAAAAACTGTGATTGATCTCTCAGCTTTGATAAACATTTAAAACCAGTTGTTGGTCATGGTTTAGAATGTGGTAAAACACAAAACGTTTTAGCTCTATTGTATCTATATTAACATGGATTTATTGTCATGCGATTACTTTGTAGATCAGTCTATGGAATATCGTTACTTCTTTGAATGAGTGTTCATAATTGTATCAAGTGAGGCATATTTGCATTTTTCTTAAATACTCAATACTTTTAAATTCTTTGAATGTGTCCCAACTCATGACATGAGGAGATTATTTCATGCAGTGCCCTGGCCTCATCATGAATCATGACCTGACTTACCGACACAGTTGCCATTAGGCCCTGGCCTAAAGCCCCTCCGACACGAGATCCTCTCACATGCTCCCCGAGCAGGATTGAAGCGGGACCCCTCAGGGCACGTCTTGGGCACACACCTGAAGGAACCGTTGGTGTTCTGACATTCATAGCCGCCCCCACAGTTGTCGATTTTCAGGGTGCACTCGTCAGTGTCTGGAAGGACACAATGAGGCACTCACATACTTGTAAGGTTCCAAAGAAATGGTGAGGTTCTCACTATCCATATTTGTGTCACATTTCACAGAGGTACCTATTGACGCATCTGTAAGTCTATCTCAAAGCTTATCAACACAGTAACTGTCAACACAGCTTTGGCTCTGTGTCTGAGTGTATCACAGGTACCTACCCACACATCTCTGGATCACTGCGTCTGAGTGTATCACCATGACCTACGTACCAACACATCTCTGGCTCTCTGTGTCAAGAATGTAGCCTGTTCCACAGGTACCTACCCACACATCTCTGGCTCTCTGTGTCTGAGTGTATCACTCCCGCACAGGTACCTACCAACACATCTCTGGCTGTCTGTGTCAAGAATGTAGCCTGTTCCACAGGTACCTACCCACACATCTCTGGCTCTCTGTGTCTGAGTGTATCACTCCCACACAGGTACCTACCAACACATCTCTGGCTCTCTGTGTCAAGAATGTAGCCTGTTCCACAGGTACCTACCCACACATCTCTGGCTCTCTGTGTCTGAGTGTATCACTCCCGCACAGGTACCTACCAACACATCTCTGGCTCTCTGTGTCGAGAGTGTAGCCTGTTCCACAGGTACCTACCCACACATCTCTGGCTCTCTGCGTCTGAGTGTATCACTCCCGCACAGGTACCTACCCACACATCTCTGGCTCTCTGTGTCGAGAGTGTAGCCTGTTCCACAAGTACCTACCCACACATCTCTGGCTCTCTGTGTCTGAGTGTATCACTCCCGCACAGGTACCTACCAACACATCTCTGGCTCTCTGTGTCTGAATGTATCACTCCCGCACAGGTACCTACCCACACATCTCTGGCTCTCTGTGTCGAGAGTGTATCACTCCCGCACAGGTACCTACCCACACATCTCTGGCTCTCTGTGTCTGAGTGTATCACTCCCGCACAGGTACCTACCAACACATCTCTGGCTCTCTGTGTCAAGAGTGTATCACACCCGCACAGGTACCTACCAACACATCTCTGGCTCTCTGTGTCGAGAGTGTAGCCTGTTCCACAGGAATAGATTCTTCGACACATGTAGGACCCCACCTTGTTCTCACACCTCTCCCCTGACTGACAGTGGTAGGCCCCTGTCGCACACTCATTGATGTCTGCAACACAAGGAGCCAGGCATGTACAAACCAAACACATCAAGTGTACAATTCTATAACTTATTTAAGATTGTATGTGAACTATAATTTTTAAACGTATTGTTTAAGTACTCAAAAGCGAAATGAAATGAAAAAGAATTAAAAAATTAACAAAACCTGTGTGACAAAACTAATAAATTCTAGTAAAATGTTTTATACATGGTAATCGCTTACGATTTTATCAAAGCAACACATATATGCTTTTCCTAACTTACAAATAACAATGCAACAGCACTGGTACAACATTATTTGTTTGTTGCGTAAAGCTGCACTCAGCAGTATTCAAGATATGTAAATAATCAAGCCTGTAAGTAATCACGTCTGGAACAGATAATCCAGTGGCTGATATTATGAGCAACATAAAACGCCGTGGGAGTACAATGACAATCGAGTCAATAACCTGGTAATTCATTCCATTGTGTCACCTCTTACGACCAGCATAGGTTGCTGCAACCAATTTTCACCTGGAATCCCCATGGGGATACAACATACAAGACGCACATGATAGATAGAAATACTTTCCTTCTGAACATGCTGAAGGTCGGCACAAAGTAACACTGAAGCACATCTGACCAACTGGCCAAGGGGGGAATCCAACAATCACGTCATCAATACAAACTGGATAAGCTTGGTTAAAACAACTACATTCAGTTTTTACTTGATGCACGAGACAGTTCAGCAACACATGTCAGCGACACACAGGTCATGCTGCTGCTCACTGGAGTGTGAGTGAGTGAGTTGGGTTTAAAGCCACTTTTAACAGTATTCCAGTTATATCGCGGCGTGTCAGCTTAATGTGGGAGGAAAGCCCGGAGTGATGCAGGTCTCAGACGTTTACCACTTCGGTGAAACCCACGAACACAGGTATGGTGCTGACAAACCTAGAAACATAATCGGGGCAAACCGGGATTCGAACCCACAATCACAGATTTCTGGCATAGCCAAGGGACACAACTCTGTACAGTGAATTGTAGCGCCTTACATGACTGGGCCACCCGTGCCCCCGCAGCTCATTGGAAGCCATGACAGATGGTGTACACAAAACCAAAGATGTCATGTGACAATGGAAGTCATGGCATATGATTACACAAAACAGGAGATGCCTGATAAGAAGATGGAAATCATGGTAGATGATGTATAGAAGCCATGACAGGTGATGTACACCAACAAATAGAGAATCTCACCCAAGTGTCTTTGGATAACAAATATATCAACACGAGTTGATAAAAGTGGGAAAACTCCGAGGCTTGCCAAGGATTTTTTCCACTTTTTTCAACTCGTGTTGATATATTTGATAGCAAAAGACACTCGGACGAGATTCTCTATATAAGACCATGACACAATGAATACTACCATTTGCAGATGAAATCATGTACATCCTGTTCAACAGAAACTTTATTTATCAGAGTCACAATAGTTTTTCAAAACAGACAGTCAGTGGTCAAAATATCAACAACAAAAAACACTCTTCAAATATCGCTGTGTTCTTGTAAGAATATATGGTCCATAGGATGATAAACTTTCAAATTCTCTATCTTCCTTTCAGCATATTTTTAAAATGTGACAGGAATGTAAAAAATGTCAGAGCCTTCACATGAGGACAAAGCTACACACTACCTGGAGTACCGGATGAGGCTGTGAACATTAAATAGTACAGGTTATTGAGCATGTTCCTCTTATCTTCGAAGGGCACATCTTTATGAGAAAATGACGTTAACTGACTGTAAAAGTCCAGTTTCCACGCTTGCCGAACTAGGCTGGAATTCTAAAGTTACATTTTGGCTGGACTAACGAGTCTTTGCATAGTCTAATCAAAATCACACAATGAACTAGACAAAAACTAGCATTTTAGATATTTTCCAAATCTTTTCATGTTTTTAAACAAGGTGCTCAAATGCTCTGCAGCATTTTGCGAGATAAGACCCGTTTTATTACAATACAGATCTTGATTATCGATCAGATCATCTCGACTGTGCCCCGTCCTTTTTGTTTGAAGCAAATGCAAGTGCTATGAAAACTGGAATCTGATTGGTCAATAGAAGGGACAAAGAAGGTACATAACTCGTAATATCCACTGGTTGTGCTACGATTGAGCCATGAAATTCCAGTGTAGTTTGACAAGGGTGGGAACTGTTCCATTGTAGTCAGTTAACACCCTTGCCTCAGATGAGTAAGGCATGGAAGCAATTTGCGATTGTTTATTCATAAGCATGATTATCAGGTCAGGTTCTAAAGAAGACCTCGATTTTTTTTGGATGGGTCGGCAGATCCCTAAAGAAAATCAAACAAAAACAGCTAAGTTAAAGAATATGTTGCTGATGCACTGTAGCAGAGCACACACATGTCAAGCATCATACACAATATATCAAATCACACACACTGTGTTAGCAAGCTCCTCGCAGCGATAGCCCGTTCACGGAGCTCTCTATTCTATCGCTGCCACCAGTCAAAACTTCCCACAGTGATAGGTCACCCCAACCAGGCTTGGAGTTGAACTCGCAACCGAATGACCGTTATGTTTACAAACAAGTGACCGAATACACTTACCCCTGCTAAATTACTTTCTTTGTTTGGCAATTTGAATTTCTATTTCATTAAAACTATCATGTTATTGATATAGTGAGTATGTAAGGGAGAAGTTGGTTGATTTTCCGTCTAGTTAGTCTGCAATCTCGAACCAATCTGATTATACAACAAAGTAAATTCATCTGGAAAACATGGTCAGTCGTAAACCTTTTCAAAATTCACTATGATGGCATTCCCAAAGACATAAACAAAAGTATGAATGTTACTGCATTTGGGGTTAGAGGCCAATTTTCTTGTAATGGCCGCACCCACACTGGTGGCAGCGATGTTACCGCGAGTGTAACGAAAGTGTCACGCGCTGGGAAGGAGCTTGACTGTGTTAGCAGTAAACCACACAGTAACCAACATGCAGCTAACATGGTCAGTACATTGAACCCACTGACAAACCCTCTTAGGCTTTCATATGTAAAAACACTGTTTCAGGAAATTAGTCTCTTCATCATACCTGTCAGACAGGCATGGAGGTACTGGCACTGAGACACACAGCAAGGATCATAAACAGGTGGCACAAATATTAGCAAGGCCAGATGTTTGTCAATGGTTACATGAATAAAAATTCTGAAAATTGACCTTTCATTGTTTTCATGCATTTTTCCCAACATTCTGAGTGTGGTTATGCTGTTAATGTTAGCTGAAAGAATTCCACCTTTTCCAAATTCGAGAAGTCTTTATTGCAACCTAACTGTCCCGAACTGACCAGGACTATTCTCTGCCATGCCATGCTACATTGACACCACAGGGCAGGGAGCCACAGAGCCATGCCAGTCCACAGTACCGAGGCACTCTCCCTGGGTGATGTTGTAGTGGTAGCCCTCCACACAGTCGCACTTGTACGACCCGTTCAGGTTCACACAGATCTGGTTGTCTCCGTAACAAGAGTGCTGGTAGATTGTACACTCGTCAATGTCTTGAAACAGCAATACATAATCACTGTCATACTTGCAGCGCAGCTACATATTCATAAGGAGGGGTGTATTGACACGAAAGTATAGATTTGCTATGTCATGGTACATGTATTTAAACCATGATATGCAACCAAATTACTGCCAACCATCCTTGCAACCAAACTTGTCAAGGACTATCCATGTACATTTATAGACCTAAGATGCCAAAGACTGTCCCTAAAATCTCATTGACCTATAATGTCAGAGACTGTCCCTAAAATTTCATTGACCTAAAATGTCAAGGACTGTCCCTGAAACCTTATGGACCTATAATGTCAAGGGCCGTCCCTGAAACCTTATGGACCTATAATGTCAAGGACTGTCCCTGAAACCTTATGGCCCTAACATGTCAAGGACTGTCCCTGAAACCTTATGGACCTATAATGTCAAGGACTGTCCCTGAAACCTTATGGACCTATAATGTCAAGGACTGTCCCTGAAACCTTATGGCCCTAACATGTCAAGGACTGTCCCTGAAACCTTATGGACCTATAATGTCAAGGACTGTCCCTGAAACCTCATGGACCTAACATGTCAAGGGCTGTCCCTGAAACCTTATGGTCCTAACATGTCAAGGACAGTCCCTAAAAATCTTATGGACCTAACATGTCAAGGACTGTCACTGAAACACAATACTATTCAAATGGGCAAGAGGCAGCCCTGAAACATATGAAATGACATAAGAAATCCTGTAGTGATGCACGCTTAGATATTGACACTTTGATGAAACCCAACAGCTGACAAACCTAGAAACATAACCATGGTGAATGGATTCGAACCCACACGACCTTGGGTTTCTGACACACCTAAGGGATGCAACTCTACTAAACCATTTTGACACCTTAGACGATTGGGGCCATCTGTGCAGAACATTATAACCCTGGTTTCAAAAAGTAAAAAACAAAGTTTGTACAACAGTAGGTAAGACACTCACCTTCGCATCTTGCAGAGATGCTGTTGAAGCCGTAGCCAGGGGCACACTCCATCTTCTGTTCACAGACACCAGTAGTTGGGTTCTTGGTGTAGCCCGGGGGACACGTGGAGGGGGAGCACGTGTAGCGCCCCATCACATTGATGCATTCCTCATGTCGACCACATCTCGCATAGCCAAGGGCACATTCATCAATATCTGCAGGTTACAGGAATACATCCTCGTTTAAGTTTTATTCCAAAAACAATGAGTGCATTAGAACATATATCACTGTGTTTTCAATTTGGAGGTTCACAACTTAGATTTGATACCTACACAATTTCAAAGATGACCATGATTTATTACCAGGTTTTGTGACAGTTGTTTAATGTACAAACATGATGCATGTGTTATAACTATCTTACAGTTTCGACTTATAAATATACACTTTGAGTTCTGTTATCACAGAGAGCCAGGGACTTAAGGTCTCGCCCCAGCCTAACCCTAGCTAGGCTAGAAATGAGATCCAAACTTTCCGTCTCTCTGCGTCTCCCTTTGTTCCTAACTGGAACTGACTCTGGACCCTCTCTGGACCAGTCACATGACCAGGATTAAATAATTTAAGTAAACATTGTTATAAATATATATTGACATAGCTTGTTTAGGATGGCTGACAGCAAAGGTAATTAAAACAATGCAAAAAAGAATATATTAACAAAAAAAGCTCATATGGGGAATATCACCTGGCTGTTTAATAATGGCACTGAAGTGATTGACAAGTAATATAGATTCTAGACTCGGATTATGTATGGGACTCAATCCCCCAAAAGTCCTCAAATCTGTACTTTACTAAGAAAGTGTTATCCCAAATATAACATTTGTTACCTTTGACCACTTTGTAAATGGCATTGTGTATTCATAGATTCTAGACATTAACATTAATGCTTGTCATGAATTGGATGCCATGATACAGCTCTGACAAGCAGGGAATAATGTGGGTGTTTCTCACACAGGAAGCCATGCACTCTGGGACTCACCTGAGCATGTGGTCTGGTCGTCATTCAGCTGGTAGCCATCCATGCAGCTGCACATGACACCACTAGCATCTTCATCACACTGGTGTTCGCAGGGGTTGTTCTCCCCACAGTTGTAGGCCTCTACAGAGTGAGTGAGTGAGTGAGTGAGGTTACATCACAGTCAGAAACACTAGCCATGTAACAACATATTCATCCCCAATACTTCACAGGTTTGTAGACACTACATTCCTCCATCATCCTAGAACACGTGAGGCTGATTTGCAGTAGGGCTCAGACAAGTCAAAATTCACTACCTGGGTACCCGACACCATATTACCCTACGCTAACAACGTACCCACTTTAGGTCTCAAGAGTTGGGTACAAAATGTCTAAAATGGAAATTGTTTTACCGCAGCCCTGGCAAAAACTATTTAGATACACATACATGTACAACAGGTTCTGATCATGAATACACTGTTGTTGACTGAAGTTTAATCTTCACTCAATCCTATAAAAGTCAGAAGGAATGTGTGCATTGTTAGAAAGAATTGAGAACATTAGGGATTTGTAGTGTAACCATGGAGTTTTATTGTTATTGTCATTAAACAATATATCACGTGACTAACCACGAGTCCGAGCAGTCCTGTGGGTAACAGGTCCAACTCAGGGCCCCATTCCACAAAGCTATCGTAGCGCTAAGATGATCGTAACTCCCATACTTTAACACAGACTTACGAAAGACTTAGCGCTAAGATCGCTTTGTGGAACAGGGCCCTGGACCCATCCGACCTGAGTGTAGTCGCTCGTTTGAAACAACCAATCAACCACAGCCTGGGTCCATCAAGGAGAAAACCAGTGAGAGCTCTGACCAATAAGCGCTCAGATTACATCGCACAAACGGCACATTTCTTGTGCAACATGTGCTACAGCCTTGTGGACATCTACTCTACACACTACTTCAACATCAATAGGTTTTCAGACGTAAAAGACGACTATGATTGTCGTAAGAGGCGACTATGCTTGTTGTAAGAGGCGACTAACAGGATCGGGTGGTCAGGCTCGCTGACTTGGTTGATGCATGTCATCCTATCCCAATTGTGTGGATTGATTCTCATGATGTCAATCACAGGATTGTCTTATCCAGACTCGATTATTTACGCCGTCATATAGCTGAAATATTGCCAAGTGTGGCATTAAACAACAAAGAAACAAACTTTAACATCAAGCAATGATACGGTTCGCACAACAATCCTCCACAGGAGTAGCACTCTTTTGACTTTCATGACTTATACTCCGTCTTATTTCATTGCCAGACTTAAATAGACATGCATCACAACTACACCATAAAGCAATGTAACAGAGGAAAGTTGTACAAACACATGAAGTATTGGCGATTCCCTATTGAGAACAGATCAATCCCCCTACCCACATGGGCATTCGGGGAAATTGTAGATCATGGCTGCTATTACTTGTAATAATTAAAATAAATTAATTGCTGCTTAAATTAAATGACTCAGGAGTATGTTTCCGAGTCGTAAATATCATATATTTGTCATTACAACTGTACCACGCTTACTTAAAGTACTTCCTGCTTGGTGACCTCACTTCCATATTTTTCGGATCGTAATTTCTAGATTACCAGATTGGTTTATCGATAACACTATCAATTACTGGTATATGATAACATTATATGTCGTATTATCACTTGAATAGTACTACTGGTTTCATTATCAGTATCGATGCAAGTTTCAGACCACCATCATATAGTTGGAATATTGCTGAGTGTGGTGTAATACAACAAACAAACAAATCCAATGTTGGTGACACACTCATGCAACATGGAGCAAGATCACACAGAACCTACTGGAGTTAAACCAAGAGGAAACACACACATGTTTGTAACACAGAACTAATGCAGATGTTTATAAAATGATATTCATATAAACAAGCAAACCAATTCTTTCAAAATATATCAACTCGCACAATCGTTAAAGAGGCAATATGCTAACACACATTCACAAAACCTGAACTTCCATAAAACCAGATGTGATATGGGTAACTTACAAACCAAATTGCAAGTCTGTAAACTGAAAAATACAATCCACATTAGGACAAGGCTGATGTACTTATGATATTTTAATTATTAATGAGAAACAAGCTGGTTCTGCATTCACTCAAGTGATTCCAAGGGGTGTCAAAATGGTGTCATCTACCTCTACAAATGTCAATGATTTTGTCACCCTCGCTATGAATACAACCTAAATATGATTGGGATCCTTTATGACATTCCTGTATCCATACCTGACAGTTATACAATTTTAAAGTTTCATGTAACATTTGTTTTAAAACAGGTGCTATTATAGAATCTATTTGCCTACCTAGAGTAGAATAAAACTAGACACATCACAAGAAAAACTATTTAGTTGAACTTCCTGGAGCCATACTTTACAGTTTTACAATTTTACAGTTTCATGTAACATTTGTTTTAAAACGGGTGCGCTAAAAGAATCTGTTTGCCTACCTATAGTATCATAAAACTAGATACATCACAAGAAAAACTATTTAGTTGAAATTCCTGGATCCATACCTTACAGTTGTACAATTTTACAAATTCATGCAATATTTTGTGAAAGATGGCTGCAATTATGGAATCATTTTGCCACTCAATAGAATAGTAAAACTAGATACATATCAAGAAAAATGATTTAGTATTTACATATTTACGCATGCCTCTTTGATCCTTAGGATTATTTGTGTTTGGGTTAGGGTAGGTAGGTTATCTGCAACTCTATCTTTAACCCTTGGATCCTTGAATGAAAATGGCAGCAAACATATTCTATAGCGGCTCAGTACAGTGCTTTCTTGAACTATCAAGGAAATGTTCTGTTACGAGTTTCAGTTTTTTAAGATACATAACCACCCTGCCTGGGAAAAAGTACCAGAAATGTACTTAGTCCACACTAGCAATGAAAGCAGCATGGACTCTTCACAGTCACATGGTTCCAAATGGAAATGTTACAGCTAAGCTACCCTGCTGACATTGCTCTAGAACCCGTGGGGATTCCGGCTTGGAATAAGTCCCTAGCAACCTATATTTGTCAGTGAGCAAATGATCATATGGTCAGTCTCTGTGACTTGATAGATTGTGTGTCATTGTACCCTGATGGCATGAATCGTTGCCTACAATATTAATCACTGGATTGTCTGGTTCAGACTTGATTATTTACAGGCCGCCATCATATGGCTGGAATAGTGCTGAGTGCAGTGTTAAACAAAAACCAAACAAACCAAGCCATGGCTTAAGATATTTTGAAAAACCTCATTACTATAAAAAAATTAAAAAAATTTACTTCATTAGTTGCTTCAACCTTCATATGGGCCTATTATATCTTTTCTCTCAAAAGTTCAACACAGAATCATAATCACCTTGGACATCCTTCAGTCTACATGTGCGGCCATCAGCGTCCAGTATGTAGCCCTCACTACACTCACAGCGGAAACTGCCAGGAGTGTTCACACAACGCTGGGAACACAGCTTATTGGGGAACAGTGCACACTCATCCTTGTCATCTTCCCCTTGGTCTCCGATCCCGTTACCTGGAATACCAGGCCCGATGTCCCCTACAGGCATTGTGGTCCATTAGTAAACACATTCACATGGGATTATCTATCCAGGCAGGGTTAATACTTCAAACGACAGGGCCAGAAAACTTTAAGAACAACTTCTTTCATGCTTTCCAAAACATATACTGAAAAAGAAATAGCTAGGGATCATCAATATTTTGGAGATATTTTTATGAAATTGTGTGCTTGGTCTTTACTAGGAAATAATATCCCAAAAAATATTTTTGATCCCTAACATTTCTGTTTAGCATAATACATGCCACAAACTAGAAATGTCTAAGACAGTAAGCCCACTTGTCTAAGGCACCATAACCTGACAAACAATTTAAGATTTTGTTAGCTTTGTTTGCACATAAAAAACTCTTTTCAAAGTGAGAACATGCAAGAGCTTCTGTTTCTGTTCACAGCCACTGCACTGTTGCCATGCTGACACTGACCTGATGTTTGGTTCTGTGCCACCTCACGTCCCGTGCAGCACTCCATGAACTTGATGTCACATGGGTTCCCGTATGCCGTGCTCTGACAGGACAGACTGGACTTGCGAGCCGTCAGACCAAGCTGACAGCAGTGACAACACTCCTGCAACATAGACGGGGACATCATCAACAGTCAGGGACATCATCAACAGACAGGGACATCATCAACAGACAGGGACATCATCAACAGACAGGGACATCATCAACAGATAGAGACATCTTCAACAGACAGGGACATCATCAACAGACAGGGACATCATCAACAGACAGGGACATCATCAACAGACAAGGACATCATCAACAGACAGGGACTTCATCAACAGACAGGGAAATCATCAACAGACAGGGACATCATCAACAGACAGGGACATCATCAGAGACATCATCAACAGACAGGGACATCATCAACAGATAGAGACATCTTCAACAGACAGGGACATCATCAACAGACAGGGACATCATCAACAGACAGGGACTTCATCAACAGACAAGGACATCATCAACAGACAGGGACTTCATCAACAGACAGGGAAATCATCAACAGACAGGGACATCATCAACAGACAGGGACATCATCAACAGACAGGGACATCATCAACAGACAGGGACATCATCAACACACAGGGACATCTTCAACAGACAGGGACATCATCAACAGACAGGGACATCATCAACAGACAGGGACATCATCAACACACAGGGATACCATCAACACACAGGGACATCATCAAAAGACAGGGACATCATCAACACACAGGGACATCATCAACAGATAGGAACAGTTACACAACCTACAGACAGTATCTCACCATGAACTGCTCCCTGCCGGGCTCGATGTCCCTGATGGCACAGATCTGCTGATCCAGGGCTGTCTGCTTGCCCTCGGCACACTTCTGTACATGGACCTCCTTCATGCAGCACACCTCCACAATGGCCATACAACTCTGCCGGTCCTCCGCGGACACATTGAGGAAGGCACTGAAGCTGTTGCACCTGCCGCCATCCACCGCCCATTTAACCCCCTCCACACAACAAGAGGTGAGGATGTCATTGAGACCACCTACAAACAGATCACATCAACAGCTACATTGGTAATATGTCAGTCATTCATTAGCTGCAAAATTACCAAGCATCAGATTGTGTTTCAAGTCAGTCAGTCAGTCATTGTTTTTTCTATAAGACATTCAGAACAATGTTGGTTGACAACAACTTACCAGCTACATGGAATTATGGATTACTTCTTGAAAATTAACGTTGTAATTCCCAAATCTTGAATGGCTTTCTTTAGTAGCCAAGATGAAATTAAATCTAGATTGTCAATAAAACTTCTGCTTCATGGAGGTGAAATCATGAAGCCCTTGCTTGTCATTAATATCTGGCTACATGTATCTGGCTGTAATATTGCTGATGCAATGTAAAATCTTAACTTAATGACTCGCTTTGCTTAACATCTCACTTAGCAATAATCTAGCTCTATGAAGGAGGTCAATAAATAATCAAGTCTGGACCAGGTATCCAGTGATTGATATTAGCATCAATCAATGCAATTGGGATAAGATGACATGCATCAACAAAGTCACAGAGTCTGACCCCCCGAACCTATCAGAGGCCTCTTACAACAAGGGTTGTTGAAGCTCAATTCTATCCTGGATCCTCATTGGTATCTGGCAAACATAATGATATCAACATTCGGACATCCCAATGCCCAGGCATCACTACCCAGAGCTTGTGATACACATCTTTTGAAATTAGACTTATTCAACAGCCAATTTAATATGAGAAAAAGTGGGAATGTTGTGAATGTAAGACGCCTGATCACTGTGTCTCTGTGTCTTCTTGAGTAATAGTAAGAGTCAGTCCCTGTTTTCAACACAATGATAAAATCCAAACAAATTCAAGTTGAGAGATAAGAACTAATATTGTCTCTTATCCATCATGAAGCAATTTTAACAAGGTTTCATGATATATGCCCAAATCTCTATCTAACGATCACCCTTATTCTCTGGCATTTCTGTTTGCAAAAGATATTGGGGGCCACAGAATCCAATCTGATATTGTCAATGCTCCCAGCATTGCTGAATCCTGGACCAACAAAACAATCTTAAAGCTGTGACTATCGTAAGGCTATGTTAGAGTACAGGAGTTATGACTGTCTTAGCGCTAAGATCGCTTTGTGGAACAGGGAACAGGGTGGAGAAGATATTTAAAGTCTTTGGTTTGTTTTCGACAACACTTTCTGCAGCCTCTTGTGATGTCATCATTTGTTTCAAAAGGTTTCTTATTTACATGTAACATTTCCTCATTTCATGATATTGAAATATGTTTTGTCTGAAATAATAATAACCTTTTTCTTTGCTGAGTGAAATTTTACAAACTTCTACATACTGGGAGGGAGTCAGGGACCCCTTCCACAAAGCTATCTTAGCGCAAAAACAATCGTAACTCCCATACTTTAACATAGGCTTACGACAACCACATCGCTAAGATTGCTTTGAGGAACACGGCCCAGGTGTTAAAAAGGGACCTAGCAGTCTAAGGCTATACTGAGGAAGTAACTGTGGCTATACTGGGGACCTAACTGTGGCTTTACTGGAACCTAACTGTGGCTATACATGGGACCTAACTGTGGCTATACTGGGGAAGTAACTGTGGCTATACTGGAACCTAACTGTGGCTATACATGGGACCTAACTGTGGCTATACTGGGGAAGTAACTGTGGCTATACTGGAACCTAACTGTGGCTATACATGGGACCTAACTGTGGCTATACTGGGGAAGTAACTGTGGCTATACTGGGGACCTAACTGTGGCTATACTGGAACCTAACTGTGGCTATACATGGGACCTAACTGTGGCTATACTGGGGAAGTAACTGTGGCTATACTGGGGACCAAACTGTGGCTATACTGGAACCTAACTGTGGCTATACATGGGACCTAACTGTGGCTATACTGGGTCACCTTGCAATCTGTGGCTATACTGGGACCAAGCAGTCTGTGGCTATACTGGGACCTAGCAGTCTGAGGCTATACTGGGACCCAGCAGTCTGTGGCTATACTGGGAACCTAGCAGTCTGTGGCTATACTAGGACCTAGAAGTATGTGACTATAGTGGGTCACCTAGCAGTCTGTGGCTATACTGGGTCACCTTGCAGTCTGTGGCTATCCTGGGGCCTTGGAGTCTGTGGCTATACTGGGAACCTAGAAGTCTGTGTCTATAGTGGGTCACCTAGCAGTCTGTGGCTATACTGGGTCACCTAGCAGTCTGTGGCTATCCTGGGACCTAGCAGTCTGTGGCTATAGTGGGTCACCTAGCAGTCTGTGGCTATCCTGGGACCTTGGAGTTTGTGTCTATAGTGGGTCACCTAGCAGTCTGTGGCTATCCTGGGACTAGCAGTCTGTGGCTATAGTGGGTCACCTAGCAGTCTGTGTCTATACTGGGTCACCCTGCAGTATGTGGCTATAGTGGGTCACCTAGCAGTCTGTGGCTATCCTGGGACCTTGGAGTCTGTGGCTATACTGGGTCACCTTGCAGTCTGTGGATAAACTGGGTCACCTTGCAGTCTGTGGCTATACTGGGTCACCTTGCAGTCTGTGGCTTTACTGGGACCTAGAAGTCTGTGACTATAGTGGGTCACCCAGCTGTCTGTGGATATACTGGGTCACCTTGCAGTCTGTGGATATACTGGGTCACCTTGCAGTCTGTGGCTATACTGGGTCACCTTTGAGTCTGTGGCTATCCTGGGACCTAGCAGTCTGTGGCTATCCTGGGTCACCTTTGAGTCTGTGGCTATCCTGGGACCTAGCAGTCTGTGGCTATACATGGGACCTAACTGTGGCTATACTGGGTCACCCAGCAGTCTGTGGCTATACTGGGTCACCTTGCAGTCTGTGGCTATACTGGGTCACCTTGCAGTCTGTGGCTATACTGGGACCTAGCAGTCTGTGGCTATACTGGGTCACCTTTGAGTCTGTGGCTATCCTGGGACCTAGCAGTCTGTGGCTATACATGGGACCTAACTGTGGCTATACTGGGTCACCCAGCAGTCTGTGGCTATACTGGGTCACCTTGCAGTCTGTGGCTATCCTGGGACCTAGCAGTCTGTGGCTATAGTGGGTCACCTAGCAGTCTGTGGCTATACTGGGTCACCTAGCAGTCTGTGGCTATAGTGGGTCACCCAGCAGTCTGTGGCTATAGTGGGTCACCCAGCAGTCTGTGGCTATAGTGGGTCACCTAGCAGTCTGTGGCTATCCTGAGACCTAGCAATCTGTGGCTATAGTGGGTCACCTAGCAGTCTGTGGCTACCCTAGGACCTAGCAGTCTGTGACTATACTGGGACCTAGCAGTCTGTGGCTATCCTGAGACCTAGCAGTCTGTGGGTATAGTGGGTCACCTACCAGTCTGTGGCTATCCTGGGACCTAGCAGTCTGTGGCTATACTGGGTCACCTAGCAGTCTGTGGCTATACATGGGACCTAGCAGTCTGTGACTATACTGGGACCTAGCAGTCTGTGGCTATAGTGGGTCACCTAGCAGTCTGTGGCTACCCTAGGACCTAGCAGTCTGTGACTATACTGGTACCTAGCAGTCTGTGGGTATAGTGGGTCACCTACCAGTCTGTGGCTATCCTGGGACCTAGCAGTCTGTGGCTATACTGGGTCACTAGCAGTCTGTGGCTATACATGGGACCTAGCAGTCTGTGACTATACTGGGACCTAGCAGTCTGTGGTTATCCTGGGACCTAGCAGTCTGTGGCTATAGTGTGTCACCTAGCAGTCTGTGGCTATCCTGGGACCTAGCAGTCTGTGGCTATAGTGGGTCACCTAGCAGTCTGTGGCTATCCTGGGACCTTGGAGTCTGTGTCTATAGTGGGTCACCTAGCAGTCTGTGGCTATCCTGGGACCTTGGAGTCTGTGGCTATACTGGGACTAGCAGTCTGTGACTATACTGGGTCACCTTGCAGTCTGTGGCTATACTGGGTCACCTTGGAGTCTGTGGCTATACTGGGACCTAAAAGTCTGTGGCTATCCTGGGACCTAGCAGTCTGTGGCTATCCTGGGACCCAGCAGTCTGTGGCTATAGTGGGTCACCCAGCAGCCTGTGGCTATACTGGGACCTAGCAGTCTGTGGCTATCCTGGGACCTTGGAGTCTGTGGCTATACTGGGACTAGCAGTCTGTGGCTATACTGGGTCACCTTGGAGTCTGTGGCTATCCTGTCACCTAGCAGTCTGTGGCTATAGTGGGTCACCTAGCAGTCTGTGGCTATCTTGGGACCTTGGAGTCTGTGGCTATACTGGGACTAGCAGTCTGTGGCTATAGTGGGTCACCTAGCAGTCTGTGACTATAGTGGGTCACCAAGCAGTCTGTGGCTATACTGGGTCACCTTGCAGTCTGTGGCTATCCTGGGACCTAACAGTCTGTGGCTATCCTGGGACCTAACAGTCTGTGGCTATAGTGGGTCACCTAGCAGTCTGTGGCTATACTGGGTCACCTAGCAGTCTGTGGCTATCCTGGGACCTAACAGTCTGTGGCTATAGTGGGTCACCTAGCAGTCTGTGGCTATACTGGGTCATCTAGCAGTCTGTGGCTATCCTGGGACCTAGCAGTCTGTGTCTATAGTGGGTCACCTAGCAGTCTGTGGCTATACTGGGTCACCTAGCAGTCTGTGGCTATCCTGGGACCTAGCAGTCTGTGTCTATAGTGGGTCACCTAGCAGTCTGTGGCTATACTGGGTCATCTAGCAGTCTGTGGCTATCCTGGGGCCCTGGAGTCTGTGGCTATACTGGGACTAGCAGTCTGTGGCTATAGTGGGGCCTTGGAGTCTGTGGCTATACTGGGTCACCTAGCAGTCTGTGGCTATACTGGGTCACCTAGCAGTCTGTGTCTATAGTGGGTCACCTAGCAGTCTGTGGCTATAGTGGGTCACCTAGCAGTCTGTGGCTATACTGGGTCACCTAGCAGTCTGTGGCTATCCTGGGGCCTTGGAGTCTGTGGCTATACTGGGACTAGCAGTCTGTGGCTATAGTGGGTCACCTAGCAGTCTGTGGCTATCCTAGGAC